TGTTGTAGTTTGGCTGTTGGATGGGTTGTTGTGAATCATGGATGGCAGAGCGAACTCACTGATGAACCGAAAAGTGTTTGGAGGCAGTGCGGTGTAGTTGGAATGTCGTTGTAGTTGTAGTTGTAGATGTAGCTGTGTTTGTAGTTGTAGTTGTAGCTGTAGTTGTAGTAGTAGTGCAGTGTAGTGGTTGTTGTGGTTGCAGTCGCAGCTATAGTTGTTGTTGCAGTTGTAGTTCTAGTTGTAGTTGTTGTAGCTATAGTCTTTGTATGTTTTTGTCACATAGTTGAAGTTGTAGGTGTAGTAGGAGTAGGAGTAGGAGTAGGAGTAGGAGTAGGAGTAGGAGTAGTAGTAGTAGTAGGAGTAGTAGTAGTAGTAGTGGTAGTGGTAGTAGTAGTAGTAGTAGGAGTAGGAGTAGGAGTAGGAGTAGGAGTAGGAGTAGGAGTAGTAGTAGTAGTAGTAGTAGTAGTAGTAGTAGTAGTAGTAGTAGTAGTAGTAGTAGTATGAGTAGTAGTAGCAGTAGTAGTAGCAGGAGTCGTCGTCGTCGTCGTCGTCGTGGTTGTTGTTGTTGTTGTTGATGTTACTGTTGTTACTGTTGTTACTGTTGTTACTGTTGCTGCTGCTGCTGCTGCTGTTGTCGTTGTTGCTGTTGTTGTGGTTTTGTTGTTGTTGTTGTTGTTTATGTTTGGTCGTGATTGCACATTTACTTTGGCAGTAGTTGTAGTTGTAGTTTGGTAGTAGTTGTGGTTGTGGTTGAGTTGTTGTTCTAGTTGTAGTTTGGTTGTTGTAGTTGTACAGTAGTTGTAGCTTGGCCGTAGTTGTAGTTGTAGTCTGACCTTCTCTCCTCTGACTTTCTCCTATCTCACTTCTTTCTTCTGTAGCTCTTCCCATCTTGGCTTTTCCATTTGTCCATATTGTCTGAAGTTTCACTTCTGAACTTCCTTTGGTTATTCTAGTTCTAATGTAATGACCAATCAGTCCGTTGAATGGCTGGAATGGTGCGTTGACCAATTGGAGTGTTCCGGGTAGTTGGGGAGGTCAAGATAGTTTGGACAGTTCAACGTGTTGTCATGGTCGGGGATCGGTTTTGAAGGTTGCAAGGACTTCAGTATGCAGCTGCTTTCAAAGGTTGCGGTATGTTCCAACTGTCGGATGCGTTGGAACGCCTCGGATTGTCGAAATGGTTGGATCACCTTCATGTCAAAGACTAGCTGCGTGGTATGCTTGAAATAGGTGATGTCAAGTTCGGATTAATAGAATAATTTGGATCAAGAAGTCCGGATCATATGCCGTGTATGCCCCTGCCAAAGCAGGGACAGGTCCTGCGGTGATACCAAATGGTACACAAAAGGATATGTGAACCCACACGTCCTGCAAACTCGGCCTAGACAGCAACGTCAGTTCAAGGAACCAAAAGTCAAGTGCAGCTGCTCGCCAGTTTTCGCATTGGAGAAACAAGTTGGAAAGACCTACTTGTTCCGTATTGTTTTTGAAGCAGTGCGACCGAAGAACGCCACAAAGTGATTTTCATACTTGCTTAGCCGATGCTCTACAGAGATAAACCGGAACAATGGAAAGCACAACATCCTTTGATCTTGGAAGTCCCACGTCGAAGAAACCACCCACAGACTACAGTAATCCAAGAAGTCTATGTATTCAATCTATTGTCCACATTTTTTGGGAAACCACATCTATATGGTGGGAAGTGTTTGCACTTGGCGCCCTGCGGCGCCGTACTACTTGCCAGTGCCTTTTGTACCCCTTAGTTTTTCTGGAATACCCGGAATGATCTAACTATATTTTGATCACGGGTCCCTGCTTAGAATAAACCCAATGATTACCATCCAGACTGCCCTCCCTATGTTCAAATTGTTTTCTTCCAAGACTGGAACACACGCTGTGAACCAACATAATTTCGTTTTGCGTATTCTCACAATCTGCTCGCTTAAGCCCACAGATATTCACCCCGCTTCGCGTGGGGTGGCCGCCCACACCGCAGGTTTATTTCGGTCCGTGAGAGGGGCTAAGGGTGGTTTTCCCCCGTGGGGGCTCTTCAGGCTAAGAAGTTTCAATAAGAAATCCTTCCAAAACATGGTTTTTGACAGTGTTTTTCCAATGTTTCCAGTCAAACAGACGGTAATTTACACGTTTTTTGCCATAAAGGCAGTAAATCCTTCCAAAACATTGCTTTTGACAGTGTTTTTGTAATGTTTCCAGTCAAGCATACGGTCATTTACACGTTTTTTGGCTCTAACGTCAGTCCAAAACACTTGTTTTTGCAGTGTTTTCAATGCTCTGGCATCCAAAAACCCTGCAAAATCTTGCTATGTACAATGTTTTTTTCATTTTTGGCCGTTTTTCCCTTGCCGGAAAGCTACCAAAATGACCCAAAATTCCATTTCAATACCCTCTTGCGCTCAGACACCCAAAAATCCTCGAAAAATATCGAAAACACCACCCTATTCTGGTCTCGGTGCGAAACCGTTTTTGGGCCCCCCCCCAGCTAAAGCTGATATAGCGACTGCTATATTAACAAATGTCATTGAGCATTTAGTGTTGCTGTTGCCCCCCAATAAGCACGCCTTCACCGCCAAAGCGGTGTGGGCGGATTTTGCTGGAACCACACATTGACAACATATCACCTTTTCGTGTCTACCCCAAAACTATTGTCACTCGAACATGTTCAATTCTTCCACCCAGCTTAAAAACGAAAAAACGAAGTTCTATCTTTCACATCCAGAAGATTGCCAAACAAAAGAAACATGTGCAGCGTTGTAAAGACAGGCCAAAAACCATCGATACAATTCATCTATATGGAACGCTCTATGACATTGACTTTCCCCATCTAGGATTGTCGCCACACATGTGGCGCAAGAAAACGGCGCATCAACATCCGAGCGATATAGATTAAACAATTTTAGACAAAACTGCACACTGCATATGCCGTACGCCCACCTACTTTGACACAATGTAGGAAAGCTACTACCTACAAAAAAGCTCAAAAACATGTCAGCAAATTGTTTTCCTATTTTTAGTTTCCCCACTGTACAGTACGCAAGTACTGAAGTTTTTGTGTTTACATGCAATTCTAGACCCAATGTGACACATTACATTCACAATAAAATCCCTGAGTTGATGAAACTTGTTCCCAGCAAATTTAAGATTTACAATTTTCTCAGAATTAGGCGAAAACAGTTCAAACGTTCTGAACGGTTTTTGTTGTTTGCAGACGCCCTGTACTCTGCCTTGCACTTACAAAATGCTTGCCAAGAAGACTAACCGAAAAAGGAAGGTCCCATTTGTGAATATGCTGCGTGCTCCAAAAAAATCTTGCCCTCCAAAACGGAACCATATTATATATATCTCTCTCTCTCTCGACACCCAAAGACAGACAGACTGTTCTGGTTGAACCTCTGTGTGTTTACTTCTACATTTTCTTCTTTGATTTAGTCCACTTTTGTCCCATCTCGTCCTTGAAATTCGCAATTCCATTCACAGTTATAATTTGACTGTTTTAGTGCCCGACTGCGATGCCAACCTTCTTCCTCCCCTTGGGGACTGCAACGTGGACCATGTCGTTCCTAGCCATATTCCTTTCCAATTGTTTGAAAGCCGCAAGCTAAAAAGATACATCCAATCATGCATGCAAATCATGTCCTCTCATAATTTCAAACCTGATTGCATGGATTCGAGTACGCTAGCATCACAACATAGAAAGAAGTATTAGGTTTGAAAAATTAAACGCCACTTGAACCAAGGACAGTACCAAATTGTGGGGGTAACTGTTGACAGACTCATTCACTCTCCAACGCGCTTGGATACCATAAACAAACCCTCCCACAAATAAAACAGACGCTAAACATGTGGCACAACTGCGTCCCAACAAAAAAACAAGATACAACATGATACAACAACCTCGGTCGGACGGCCTGTTCACGCGCGGCCGACTTGGTTTGTCATCTTTGCTGAGTCAGAAGTTTGGCTAGTTACATGGAACGTTAACATCCCCCCCACCCCAGCGTGGCGAAACATCAACAACATGAGCAAGTTACATGGAACGTTAACATCCCCCCCACGAAGCATCAACAGCATGAGCAAGTTACATGGAACGTTACCATCCCCCCACCCCAGCGTGGCGAAGCATCAACAACATGAGCAAGTTACATGGAACGTTAACATCCCCCCCACCCCAGCGTGGCGAAGCATCAACAACATGAGCAAGTTACATGGAACGTTAGCATCCCCCCCCTGTACCATCAGTTACATCAGTTGTTCCTGCCCCCCCCCGCCCCCCCCAAGGAAGCATTGTAGAGAAGCAGAAAACACTGTAAAAAACAGTACAAAATGCACATTCAGCAGTGTGTCTGCGCGTGAACACCCCGTCGGAGGGAACAACCTTCAAAATCACAGTGCGACAGCTGCAGTTAATCCAAAGAATACCCATGGATCTCATTTTCATGTTTTTGACTTTTCGAGACAAGTGGCTACTTGTCGAGAAAAGTAGCTACTTTTCGAGAAAAGTAGTTACTTTTCGACTTTTCGAGAAAAGTAGCTACTTTTCGACTTTTCGGCTTTTCTACTTTTCGGGTTTTCGGGCTCCGCCCCTAAGAATCAACAGCTACTTTTCGACTTTTCGCTTTTTCGCGTCTGCCCCGGACCACCCCAAACCAGAAAAGTACGGAGCACCACCCCTAACCCCCACAGCAAAAATGTCATGTGTACCATTTTTTAGTAGAGGTTTATTGTTGCCCACTTATTCTGACTATTGCCGCCCAGAATATGAGCCATTAAATCCATAAAACCATCCCCAATATGGGTGACATCAGGTTTATTGTTGGCATATTGTTGGCTTTCTCACATGATCAATGGGAATTTCTATGAATTTCTCACATGATTTTGCTGGGAGATTCCCTTACATAAGCCTTATATACATAGGCCTTTTTTTGTGGTAGGTTCCTGACATGGCCAGGCTGTGCAGGCGTCGTATCATCCCAGCACTCCAGGCTGTGCCAGTTCTTGGCTGACGTACTTCGAGCAGTGCTAGGCCGGGCCATGTCACATTGTCACATCGGCGTCTCGTGGAACTTGGGGAATTCCCATGTTGCCATATGCCATGTGCACCGGGGATTCAACCAACCCCAAAAAGATAAATATGATCAGTTGGTGATTACCCTCTGGGAACAAACATAGCTATTGACAATGGCCATTTATAGTTGATCTACCCATTAAAAAAATGGTGGATCTTTCCATAGATTTTTGTATGGTAAACTAACATAACTATGAACAAATCACCATTTTTTCCTGGTAAATCAACCATAAATGGCCATTTTCAATAGCTGTGTTTACCAGAGGGTATCAGTTGCGCCGTCAATCACCAACTGATCAGATTGCCCAATTGGGTCACCTTTGGGATGCACCAGATTGATGCCAGGTAGTGAACACGCACCACCGCGAACCAAGGCGCCTTCGGCCAGCCATGTGAGTTTTAACGCCGGATGGATGGATGGGTTGTCCATTAAATATCCCATCCAGCCATCCAGTATCCCACTATGATCCATTGTTATCAATGATTAACTACTATTAACATTTATTAACAATCAATAACATATATTAAGAGTGTCCCATTTATTAACATATATGAACATGTTAACATGTATGAACACATATTAACATTGTTCTCATTTATCAACATATATCATATATATGAATATGACATGTATTCACCATCCTAACCATTATTATCCAGGAAACGACCAACCAGAAGTCTCATCGCTGCGACGGAACGTGCCAGGGCCTATTCCTGGAAGCCATTCCTCCGCTGTTGTTGAAGGCGGAGGTGCTATCAGCCAAAGGATGCCTTGGTTGATGGTGAAGATTTTCCAGCATTTATGCGTAAATTATTGGTTGTCATATTTTTTTTGGGGGGGTGGTTATACAGTTATACTATGTTTAGATTATTTTATAAGACTAAAAGTTGTTATAGGTTTTTGTTTTTTTGTTTAAATGTTTTTATATGTTTCGCAATTAGGTTTTGATAGGATTATGTTAGGTTGTCATTATGTTTTTATTGCATTTTTTTGTGTAGTGCGAAACCCCAGCTGTAAACACCCTCAAGAAGAATAGGCCCAATGCCGCCCTAAGTGCTGATTTAAGCAGGGGAGATGAATAAACATGAACAAACAAAAAGGTGAGAACATGGGGTTTGCACTAAGTGGTCTTGTGGGGCTGCTTATAATCCACCATGGGAATCCCGTTCTCAAGCAACCAGTAGAATCTCAGTAGAAGCAGATGACACAAGGTTTTGGGCATTGACCTGTGTCGATGGTGATCTGTGGGCATATTTGGTTCAACAGTGATCATCAGGATTCATTATTCATATAGGAATCCCTGGGAGTCAAGCATGATCCCAGAATGTTACGGGATGATACATAGGATGATTTTGTGTATGATTCACTTATGTTCGTGGGTCACAGCTAGTGGCGGCATGGATTAAGCGAGCTGCAACAGTTATTGTAGTCACGGTTTGACCCTGACTCACAGATGTCCGTCACTATACAGAGTATACACTACGAACCATCTCTGACTTGAGGGTACACGAAGATGTTAACTCTGTACCCTGTTGTTCACCCATATTTGGGGATGATTGTGGTGGACCTACCCAGGGTAGGCCCACAAAAGGACCCATTCAAATTCGCCTGATGGTCCTCATGCGACGATCCTGCAGTCATGGCATCCATAGTTACTACCTGGGGTATATCCCCAGTACCTCCAGGTTAGAAAGTGCTGCCCAGCAACAAACCTATCCAATGATGTAAAAACATGTAATTACTTTACTTCGTGTGATCCCCACCATGACATTTATACATTTTCTTACTGGCAAATCTTCTGGCATTCTATCTGACATATCTTCTGACATTCTATTTGGCCTTCTATCTGGCATATGATCTGGCATATCTTCTGGCATATCTTCTGGCATTCTATCTGGCAAATCTTCTGTCATTCTATCTGGCATATCTTCTGGCATTCTATCTGACATATCTTCTGGCATTCTATCTGGCATTCTATCTGGCATTCTATCTGGCATATCTTCTGGCATATATTCTGACATATCTTCTGGCATTCTATCTGACATATCTTCTGGCATGTATTCTGACATATCTTCTGGCATATCTTCTGGCATTCTATCTGACATTCTATCTGGCATATCTTCTGGCATATTATCTGGCATTCTATCTGGCATATCTTCTGGCATGTATTCTGACATATCTTCTGGCATTCTATCTGGCATATCTTCTGGCATATTATCTGGCATTCTATCTGGCATATCTTCTGGCATATATTCTGACATCTCTTCTGGCATTCTATCTGGCATTCTATCTGGCATATCTTCTGGCATATCTTCTGACATTCTTTCTGACATTCTTTCTAACTTTCTTCTGCACATTCTTTGTCCCATATCTTCCCACATGAGGTCCGGCAGGGAACACTTGGCGTGGATACTCGCGGTTGAGGTCCGGCAGGGAACACTGGGCGTGGATGGTCGTGGTTGAGGTCCGGCAGGGAACACTGGGCGGGGATGGTCGTGGTTGAGGTCCGGCAGGGAACACTGGGCGTGGATGGTCGTGTTTGAGGTCCGGCAGGGAACACTGGGCGTGGATGGTCGTGGTTGAGGTCCGGCAGGGCACACTGACGTGGATGGTCGTGGTTGAGGTCCGGCAGGGCACACTGACATGGATCGCAGTGGAGCAGGAGGAGGACGAGGAGGACGAGGAGGACGAGGAGGACGACGAGGAGGAGGAGGAGAGGAGGACGAGGCAGGAGGAGGAGGAGGCAACTGACATAAAATCTAACAACCCTCACCTGGCAGGTGGGGAAAAACTAACTTCCAACTCACCTGGACATGCAAACTTTGGGATTTGGAAGAGGATTTTTCACTTGGATATGACCATAGGGTGTGCTCCATCTTAGCCCCCAAGTGGATCAAAACCATACATTTCAGTTTTCGTTGAAGTCAGATACATCATTTGGAACTTCAAAGAGGTTCTTATCACCCAGCCACTATTTAATCTCCCCCAACACCTCATGCGAGTCTGAAAACTCACTACCCCTAAATCCATCCGTTGTCTTTTCCCTGTGAAAATTGCCATAAATTGGAGGCATACTTGGTGGTTCATTCTACTTAGTAAGTAGGGTATAACCGCAGTTATAAGTGGATGAACCCATTCCCACTTGTGACCAGCGATATACAGTAACCTACTTACGATTCGTGGGATGAACCACCACGTACCTTCCTGCATATCCTCACTCTTATTTTATCAAATTCCATTTTTTCATTGGTTGCATCGACATTTTTGTAGGTTCAACCACCAGTTCACCATACAAAGTGGGGTTTTCGGGATAGCTAAGTTGGTTTCTAACTCTAGTAACTATATGTAACTATGGTTTATGGTACTTAGAACCTATAGTCAATGGGGTTCATAAACCAACAGACATATACCTGGCCCCACATTGTACCCAACCAGGTGCTTCACAGAACTGCCAAGACCGAAGACCCCGAGAGTCTGTCGGCGGCGGCGGCCATGGTGGAAAGCACCGTGCGCGATATGGTTACCAACTACTTCCCGTTGAACAGTCGTGAATATCAACGGACGCTGGGATGGGTGGATATTGGTGGATTGGCCGTTGGGATATTGGATGAATTTGGATGATATTCTAACCAGCCACAGGGTGGCCATAATGACCATATGATATGACCCGACTTCGCCGTTGGGGATTTATGCAACCAGGAGATTGGCCAGATTTGACGCTGGGGTTTCCAAAAAAGATGGGCAATTGACCCATGTAGCCAGCCAAAATGGAGATTTTAAGCACCATACAAAGGGATTTATATAACCCACGAAGAAAAAAATCTGACGGGTTCTGGGATTGATTTTGTGTTGGGGATGGGTATGCCACACTTTCAACATCTTTCAACTAAAATATCAACGCAACCTGGGCAAACGTGAATATGGGACAATATGGGTGTGTCTTAAAGTGGGGTATATCCCTTGAATTTTTATGATGCCATTTGATCAGATTTGATTCGGGAAAACATGATCAACTACAGGATTTTTTTTTTCGTGTATTGCATGTATATAATACCATTCATTACCCATAGGATCCACGTACGGTATATAAATGTTACCATATATAGCATACATGGATCCTATGGGTAATACCATATTCATTATATACCATACTATCATTTGGGTAACCGACTGGTTGAGCAGGTTAGTTGTTCTATGTTTTGGTTAACTGATGTTTTTCCATCGGCATGGATTTGGGTTGCCCCATACAGATTTGGTCTTTGTTTTTGACATGTTTTTTTTCCGCAAATTGATTTATTGTAACCCTGTAGCCCTGTGCTCGGACTTCTTTGATCTTCTTTGTATTTTGGGGATTAGATGGGTTCGTGGTCGTTGGTGAGTTAATCACCCTGCAGGAATACGGATGAATATTCCACCTACCTGGTGTTGCTGGAAGGCTCACCGATGGGCTATCACTGGGCTGGTAGGAAACTTTTGTTACGGATTTTCTTAGCAGAAATTCTGGGTGTTAGCTATCTATTCTGGGTGTTGTTGCCGCATCACAAATGAATTAGGAACACCAGAAAATCGTTACAGACCACACGTGGTTGTTGCATGTTGTCGCTGTCAAGGCTGGTCGAATCTTGCTGTGTATTCTCTGCTTTTGTTGGTCTTATTACGTATGCTTCAGGGGGTTATCCATGGTCATCCCACTTTTCAATATACTTTTCAGCCGTCATGTCCCACACTTCATTTCTTGGTCCTGGAAACGACCCCATTTTTTTCCCTTAAGATCCACTGATAAGATGTGCTGCGTCCCTGTGATGCTAACTGAGCTATCACCTTAAACTGGAGGTACCATATATAAGGCCTAAATTTCAGGGAATATCCCCAGAAAATATGGTCAAACAATGTCAAACATATGGTACGTTTACGTACCTCCATAAATTGGATCCTGAATTTCCCCATTGAATATTGGTATAATACTATAAAATATAACATTATCGCCAATACCACATTATATCATCACATTCATCACTGTACTATTTAAAATTGAGAAATCCTATTATTCCACATTGAATCATGAACTGTCCCCCAATTTGATTTTCATGTTCCAGTTGTCCTCATCTTTATCCTGGAGACCAGGTCTCTTTCGCGCTCTCGAGAGGAGTGCCCCTTCCATGCGTCTGTTGGGTGCCTTGCACAGCACTCTACGGGTGGAAGATCATAGGGACACTCGGCAGGTTTAAGGCTGGTGAAGGATGGTGAAGGCTTGATGGAAACAGGTCAATCTCTACAAAGTGGGGCCCCCAAGATAGCTAAGTTGGTTTATAACTCCAATAACTATGGTTTATGGTACTATAACTATAGTTACTGGGGCTTATAAACCAACTTATAACTGGGGGGCCTCACATTGTACTATTTTGAGTATACGTGGAGTACCAATAATATCCTATAGTTTTTTTTTGTGATGAATAATTCAACAAATATCGAACATAAACTATGAGTTGATAATTCAATCAACCACAAGCAGCCAGATACTTTCTCATTCCTATCCTTCCTTAGTCGTGAGGTTTGATGTCGGTTGGTGGTTTCAAGTTGTCATGTCAATGCTACTTGCCAAAATTCATAACTGTGGTTTCAACTAACCAACAAACTCCTGTGGTGTCATAGAATATCCATGTTCTATCCAACTGTAGAATAGTTTCCCAAGAAAGTCTCACCTTCAACTCCCATGTTTTTTTTCTTCCATTGCACCCATCCCAAAGGAAGGCCTGCGCCTCCGGGAATTCGTGAAACGTTTCGTGCGCCACGTGGTCGCCATGCCGTCATCGTCATCGTCGTCTGGTGCTGCGGCAACTTTCAAGGCGTTGCTGCAACTCTTTTTGGACCAAACCTTGGACGATCGGCTGAATGACAACATCCGCTTTGCCATTCTGGAAAAGTTGCTTGGAGATCACAACAAGGGAGGAAACAGGAAACATGGATGGAAATGGGAGATGATATAATATATATATAATTATATATACGTATATATAGTTGATAGATGATGGTTGATAATGGTTGATAAATCATGGATAAATCAGCCTAAATCAGTGTGTTGCTTCGATATCTATCCACTGTTGGAGGCAGCGGGATCCAGTTGGAGCTACGATATGCTCAGTTGATCTAGCCCAGGGAAAAAGATATCTCTTAGGTTTGACCATGATTTGATATAGAGTAGTAGGATTTTCACTTTTATATCATTATATCCTTTAAGTATTTGATGGGTAAATGTGACTCCCAGAAAAGGTTACATTTACCACTATGTAATGTTAGCAGGATTTTCCCTTTTTTGTTCTCTTTTTGGCGGGTGCTGTAAATGAGAAATGATTGAATCACTGCCAACTTTGATTGTTCCAGCGGGAATACCTTTCAGTCTGGTCATTGTTCTCCTGGCTATCCTTGGGTCATGGAGAAATATCACCTAACATACCTAACCTGGTTGGTGGTCTGGAACATTTGGATTGCCCTCTGGTAAACTAACATAACTATGGAAAATCACCATTTTTAATGGGAAAACTCACTATAAATGGCCATTTTCAATAGCTATGTTAAATTACCAGAGGGTATTTTTCCATAATATATGGGACAATCCTTCCCATTGACTTTCATATTTTTCAGAGGGGTAGGTATACCACCAAGCAGCTAACATTTTGATGTCTGGGGACTGAACCTGGCAAAGAACGATCAACGTTTGTTTTTTCAGGAAGGCAATCTAGGAAGGGGGGAACGTTCCGTTGCTGGACTACTATAGGGTAAGATTGGGATATCATTTGTTGGAGGAGGGATACTCTTTCATTGGGGGTCATGATTCGCTATCTTTTGATGATCGGCTGAGGTAAAAGCTTCTGCTTGAATTTTGGGTAAGTCAGACATTCAGACATATCAGACACCTGTTGAGGACATCAAATATGCACCATTTGATGGTCTGTATACATTTGGCAGCGGGTCTAACATTCAAGTTCCCAACTGCACATATATTGCGATTATATGCGATTATCAACATATTTGTGGGAGATCCAGTTTTGATCCATACTCATTTTATGCTTTGTCTAGTTCTGGAAGTTTATCTTCACTTTTGGACACTTGATGCACGCCTCCACTATTCGATGCGGCTGCACAGATCAGATAACGATGTAAATCTATGTAACATATCTGGTTGGTGGTTTGGAACATTTTTTTTTCCATATATTAGGAATAATCATCCCAACTGTTACTCACTCCATCATTTTTCAGAGGGGTAGGGCTCAACCACCAACCAGATATTGCTGTTTTTTTTTTATCTCATACTGCTGTTTTCAACCTGGGGGAACAGTGTTTTGTTGGTGACTAGGTTGGCGCTGCCATTGCTCTGGGATTTGCTGGCTTCGCCACAGAGTTGCAAGGACTGCATCCCTGAAAATCAAAGCCACATACGCCAGAAACATGTGGAAAAAGTCGTCCCCAAATATGGTAGGTTTATCGTTAGGTTTACAACATGATTGTAATTACGCTTTTTGGTTGCTTCAACATGCTTCAACCATCATTTTAGTTGGTTTTGCTGCTTTTCTCTAGAGTTTGAAACCATGAAGGACTGCTGGATAGCACACTGGCAACAGCTGCTGCAATATGCCGATCCCGACATCAGCTTCGCGAACTTGCGCATGAGAGACGTTGACGCCTTAAATCTGAAGCTGGTTGGAAAGAAATGCTGCGGACTGTCGATCAAAATGTGTCATTTTTAAGGGTACTTGGTGGCTCATCCCACTTAGTAAGTGGGTTATAACCCCAGTTATAAGTGGATTAACCCTACTTATCCCATTTATAACTGGGGTTATAACCCACTTACTAAGTGGGATGAGCCACCAAGTACCAGATTTTAGATCTCTAATGTGGACAACCCAATGCCATAAACCTACAAATTCGGGCTGGTTTATATAACCCATTTCTGGTGGTTTGTGGATGGTTGATTCTTGGGTTTACCACATTGTCATTTTTTAGATTCAAGCATCTAATTGTTCGAGTTCTTGAGTTTGACCCCTTTTTTATTTGAACATTCTGTGCATTTTCCATTCCAAACTAGATCATTAAGAATTAAGAATAGATGGACGATGACTAGAAACATGGTCAAAAGAGCGCCGGTATCTGGAAGACAGTCCCTCTGGTTGTGGAAGATTGGTGAATAATTCTCATTCGGATGGATTATTAAAACAATTGAAAGCATCTAGAAATCTTGAAAACGATATTGGCAATATGGTGTATAGTACATGGTGTTTATCAATATTGACTTATATAGTATATATTTATAACATGTTTACATACTTAGTTGCTCGGGCACTCGCGTTGCGAGCACTCGGCACTCACGTGCTGCAACTTACGTGCTGCAACTTATGCCAATGCATTTTTCATGGACAGAAATACGTCATTGTTTTTTTTTGAGTGAGAGGCATGTCGATGCTTTTTTTGGTGAATCAAAAATGCATTGGCATATTAGCTAAGATCAAGTAAGCCCTTTAAGGACTTTGGATAAAGTTAAAACCCTAGATATGTGGCAGCAACAAGTATGTGTGTAGGAAAGCTGAGCTTCCACTCGGGGAAATGTGGAGGAGTGAAAAAGGCCTTTCTCTTGCACAGGCCCCCAGAGAAATGCCTTTACTTGAGTGTGAAAAAAGCATCCGGCAACATGTATAGTTTTGGGCTCCCCCAAAGCTTAGAACCTTAGCTGATTTTTTTTAAAGCTTCCAGTAAATGCATCCATATGTGTCGACCATACCAAAATCCCTTGTGTTGCGACAAATGCATTTACTTGACCGTGAAAAAAGCATCCGGCAACATATATATTTTTGGGCTCCCCCAAAAGCCTGGAACCTTAGCGGATGTTTTTTTTTTTTATCTTCAAGTAAATGCATCCATATGTGTTGATCATACCAAAAGCCCTTGCGTTGCGAAACAGCGTGTTGCAACGGTACGTTGCGCGTGCTGCGTGCTGGAGCTACTAAGATATTGACTTATATAGTATATATCTATAACATGTTTACATTATATATACATGTGTGTCTCTTCGATCCTACAAAGTGGGGCCCCCAAGATAGCTAAGTTGGTTTATAACTCCAAGAACTATGGTTTATGACACTTATAACATCTTGTACCTATAATCAACCAGGTTTATAAACCAACAAACGTTTAGTAGGGGCACGACATTGCCAATATCAGGAAGGTGCAAGAAATGGCGGGCATCTATGGCATCATTGAAATCCTCTTCGTGCGGACCTCGTCGGAGCTGCTGAAAGAACAAGTCCTGCCAGAACTGGGAGGAAGTAGCCCATCAAGAGAAACTTGCTCTTTCAGAATGTCTCAGAATGTCTCAGAATGTCTCAGAATTGGGAAGATGTGGTCGCCAGAAAAAGTTGTGAACATGATAAACATGGCAGCATGTTATGGAAGGATGGTTTCTATTTCATGATGTCCAAGTTTCGAAGTTTTCGGTCTATTCGAGGCTTGCCGGAAGGGAAAATCTACAGGAGCCCCTGTATTTGCTGATAGAACTATGGTTTCTGGTGAAACACATCCCTTACCCTCTGGTAAACTAACATAACTATGGAAAATCACCATTTTTCATGGGAAAAAAAACACTATAAATGGCAATTTTCCATAGTTATGTTAGTTTACCAGAGGGTAAATTTGTTTGCTGCCTTGGTCAAGTTGTCAAGTTGCCGGTAGCCCACAATTTTTTGGATAGAACATGACAGAAACATAGGTATAGAATGGTATAGACAACGATGGGACAATTGGATATTAATGACATATTAAGATATATTAAGAATATTCATGGGATACATTAATTCCCATTAATTCTCATTAATTCCCATTAATTCCCAAAAACAAACATATGATATTGGGATGTGATTGCATCGATCTCCGAAGAAGAGCCAAATCACTGGTTGCGGAAAATCGGAGGGCAGCTGAGATGACCCACAATTTTTTGAGTCGCTGAGTCGCTGGATTTTCGGAAAAACTAGATTCCTGAACTCTAATATAGTAAAACATCATAGATTATATGATGTTATATGTATGATATGATATGATATGATATGATATGATATGATATGATTTGATATTATATGACATTATATGATATGATATTATATGATATTATATGACATTATATGATATGATATGATATTATATTATATGATACTATATGATACTATATGATATTCTATGATATTATATGACATTATATGATATTATATGATATTATATCATACTGTTATATAAGATGATCTTATATAATGTAGCAAAATCTAACAATATATACAGTATTTACTTACTACTTGTTCTCACAGCTGTGTTGATTGGTATTGCAAGGCCTAAAAAACAAATCTGTCAACAGACTGAGGTTCCGCAGGAGGGGTCATTGAGGATATAGATTGCCTCCTCCATGATGTATGATGATAAGAATACTTGCGTAAATTCCATATTACTCGAGCAGATTGATCTATTCTTGTTGCCTCTAGATCTCTCTCTCTCTCTCTTTCTCTCTCTCTCTTTCTCTCTCTCTCGCTTTACATGTATAGACACTGTTTATATACACCCAAACACACAGATGTAATATGTGTATGATCACTACACATCATTCACTACACATCTGACATTCACACCCACTATGGCCATTTCACAGAGAAGTCCTAAAAATCGCTCAAGGATGTGATTCTCATTGGCAAGCGAGCCCTCAAGAAGCCCACCGGCTGGGAACGCGTTGATCCCAAAGTGCTGCGACGCTGTCAGTTGCGGATCTATGCTGCGCTGTCTGCGGCAGTCTGTGCCACGCAGACCAAACACGAGACTGGGATGGATTGGGCCAATGGTAACCATACTTGGTGGCTCATCCCACTTAGTAAGTGGGTTATAACCCCAGTTATAAGTGGATTAACCCTACTTATCCACTTATAACTGGGGTTATAACCCACTTACTAAGTGGGATGAGCCACCAAGTAGAGATCTACAATGTGGGGCCCCCCAGTGATGTGAACGTTGGTTTAGATTCGCCCCAGTAAGTAGTTCGTTATTTGCGTACCATAAGCCATAGTTATTGGAGTTATAAACCAACTTAGCAATCTTGGGGGCCTCACATTGTAGAATCATGAAATATCTAGATTGCGAAATAAATGAATTTTCGATTTGTTCTAGTCTTTTGGGCTTAGATTATGGTTTTATAGGTAAAAATCACATATCCCGCTCGAAGTTTTAGTTCTTAGCTACAGACAACCAAGGAGATGTACTCCGGATGGCTTTTCGAGAAGGTCAATTGGGATGAAACGATGGCTGCTTGACGGAAGGTTGATGATCACGCTTGCTTTACTTTTCCTCAAAAGATCATGCGAATATATTCTAATAAACGTATCTGAAAAAAGTAACACAGAGTTGTGCCAGCTGCTTTTCAGATTCTACATCCAATTCTACATAGGTTTGGTTTTGGATGGTTTTGGGGTTTTTGAAGATCGGGGGCCCAAGCCTAGGTTGAACCCTGGGACGGCAAGAAACCGGAGATGTCCAAGTTGACGCCTGACAGCCGCTACAACAGCTTTGCCCGCCCTGGCTATTCCTTCGCCTATCTCAGTGCTGCCATGCCGGGCCGTGCGGCTCGAAGAACTCCAGCTGTGCAGACCGAAGATTCCACCCTGCTGGGTGCAGGGCTGTGGGCTGCCACCCCAGCCACCCAGGGCACTCTGGGGCGAGGCACCCTAGGCACATTGGGGAGAGCAGCGGCTAGCAAGGCGAGTCAGGAGTTGACGTTGATGCTACCGGAGAAGCAACGAAGGAAGCTGGCCACCTTTGCCCGTGGCACTGGGGGCACTGCATCGCAAGTGATGAGTTTGGTGGTCACCGGGTCGTCAGATGGCCTAACATCGGGGGAAGGGGTGCCATTGCCACCGGGGGAAGAGGGTGCGGCCCTGCGCCTGCAAGCGGTGTTGGCAGGTAGGCGTCTGCAACAGGGTGACGGCGATCGAGCTGGTACCTGGCAAACTGAATGGCTTGAACATGATGAGGAGCAGATGGGGGTACACGTTGTCATTCTCAATGGGAAATACAAATGTGTCGCCTGTTTCAATTCTGTTTGAACCTCGATCCATCCACAAGACAGAAACAAGAAATTCCCATTCACTCATGGTTTCCCATGGTGGTACCATGCAAACATACGCTGAATTGCTGTATCATTAAACGAACCTGCTGAAAGAGATAGAACAGCACAAATTTACCATTATGATATAATTACATATATATATATATTATGTGCACTGATACATACATATATTAATTGAGATATACTAATGGGAGGATGTCACCAAAGTCCATCTTTTTGGACCCAAGCCAAAGGTAGAAAAAAGTCCAATTTCTTGCTGAATTCTCACGGTTCCAGCATTTGTTTTATCACCATAGGTTTTATCTCCCCATTTTCGCATCGCTTAAGTCTTCGCGGCCCAAAAAACGGGGAGGAGTTTTTCGCCAGCGGGCCTTCGACCGATTGCGCCTTGAGCCTTTTCCTGGTCTTGCTAAGAACCTTGGACGTCTTGACTGAGCGCTTTGGTCTTACTGAGCCCCTTGGCGACAAATTCCACCATGGAAAAAGCCATGGAAAATGGTGATGGATTCACGGATTCTCATGCGATTTATATAAGGGTGATTTGATGAGACATTTTTTATGGGACCTATAATCCCATTGGTTGCTTAAATCCCATTTGTTGGTTACATATTCCATAATATCTAAAACTCCCATTAGAAAAAAACAACTGGTTGGTGGTTTGGAACATTTTTATTTTTCCATATATTGGGAATGTCATAATCCCAACTGACCTGGTTTTCAGAGGGGGAACTGGTTGGTGGTGGTTAAATCCCTATTGTTGGTTACCTGGAAGTGCAGGACTTAGGCGATGGTGATGGGTATAGTAATGGTGATTTCAGGGACATTTTTGTTGGGATATGGGGCTTTTCGAACTATGGTGATGTATAAATTGGAAAGGCACCAAAACTATCTAACTACGACAGGATACAGTACCTTACTTTCTTCATTTGGATTATGTATCCACTTATAACTGGAACTGCACGAAATGAAGGGTTCTAGCTGGCAACATCATTGAAGTGTAAAACCATTGAAGTTTCACAAACGCAAAAAACAAAGGCACATTATTCTATTCTGGTGCTACATGTTGATGTTTATATTTATGATTTAGTGTGGTTTTGAATAGTTATTTCGATGATATTAGATTGCCAAATGTTAGTATGTTGATTCACCCTCCGATAATTCAACAATTTGTTGTGGAACATGGCCCATTTCTAGATTATTTTTTGATATATATATATATGTATTTCATCATTTATTTACCTATTAGAAATGATGATGCTGCATACCTATGCTGAGTTACTGGATGGTATATGAGTTAGATGGATTTCTCATTTTAGTTGTATCTTCATGTGCTCAAAATGACTTCAGCCCAAAAATAGGGAATGGTTGAGCTGCAGAGCCTGGTAATAAATCACAAAGCACCAATAAACAAACAACCATGTGTCCAATGCCCAATATAGCTTCGCCAATGGCTCAAATCCCGATTTTCAATTGGCCGGCTCTGTTCTTCTTTGTGAAAGTTACCATCTGGTTATTTAACAGTTCGCCATGGAAAATCACCATTTTTAATAGGTAAACCATCTATTTCTATGGGCCATCTATACCATGGCTATGTTAGTCATAACCAGAGGGTATAACCAGGGTAAACTAACATAACTATGGAAAATCACCATTTTCAATGGGAAAACTCACTATATATGGTCATTTTCAATAGCTACGTTAAATTGCCAGAGGGTATATCCCAATTTTGATGGCTCTGTTCACTGAAATCCATGGTGAACTGGGAACCAGTTAAACCAGGCCTGGAAGCTCCAAGTGGCTACAAGCCATGTTGGCAATCGTGGAGAAGGCTCGAATTTTCGCCAGTGGAAAGCCCGTCTTGTCGATGAAATCACTAAATTTTGGCTAAGCAAATCCTGTACTTTCCTTTGGCTTTAGCAATTTAGATTCTTTGCTTAAATCCAATTTCCTTCATTTATCTTTATCTATAATAAATTTAGTAATTTTAACTAATGTACCTTCCCATGCTTGGTGCTTGCCAGGTGTAAATTGGTTTATAACGCCCATTGATATACCCATTATAAACCTTCAGTTAACCTACTTAAAAAGCTTAGTTAACTATAGTGCATCAAAATCCATTACGCATTGGTTGAATTTAATGCCTGATGATTATAATGTTATATAAATACCGATTTTTGTGTTAAAAGACCTCATGTTAATTAGTTGAGCCCTCAAAAATCCAGTACTCACTGATCAAATCTCTATTTTGATTATAAAACCGATCAAATCTCTATTTTGATTATAAAACCGATCAAATCTCTATTTTGATTATAAAACCACCACATTTTTTCATGGCAAACCATTTGAACCCAGCCATGGCTAGGCCTCCGCGGACTTTCGACTGCGACTCTTGCTGCTGCGGGTCTTCATCCACCGCGCGGATGTCTTGGAACCCGTCCTGCTGGGACGCAACGTGGAGGTCGCGAGGATCACATCACTGACCCGGGAATCAGTAATAATGGGACCAGAATGGGGATATGATGGGGATATTTTAAGGGATATATATATACATTATATATATATATTATATATATATACATTATATAGATTACATATATATATATATTATAGAAGATGATAGAATATGAGATAATTAACCAGAAATAACCGATTTGATGGGGGATAACACCATTAAAAAATGGTGGTACAACGGAGACATAATGGAATGATACCGGGATACTAACGTAATATTACTAAGATAATAATATTTATTTGGTTAAATCCTAGGTTTTGGGTTGAACATGGACCAAGTACATGTATCTGGATGGTCTATAACGACCTTTACACCGAGGATTTCTTATGTCCCAAAAATTGGTATAAGGAAGAAAAATAGAGGCAACCTCAATAACTTGATTTGCCTATATAACATCATATAACCATGTTTTCCTCTAAATTGTCTCTTCCAATCCATTGATCCATTGCATTGCCCTATTCAACCGCAGGTCTTTCGCTTCGTGGTCTCCATCCTTCTGGATCCACGTTTTTGCGCTGAGAAGCGCTTTCACTACTTGGCCAGGGATGCTGTCCCTTGGAACTGACCATGTCCTGAAACGGATGGGGAATCATGGGGAATGATGGGGAATGTGTTAATCCGGTGTCATCAGCTGGGAAATCCAAGAAGATACAAGGTGGTGCCCCAGTTCGTTAGCTAAGTTGGTGCAAATAACTCCCATAACTATGGTTTATGGTAGATATAACTATAGTATTCATGGGGTTTATAAACCAACAAACATCACTGGGAGGCACCAGGTTTCATGAGGTTTCTAGATAGCTGGGAGCATCATCGAACTGTCCGGATTTTCATGCCATGGCACTGATTACTGGAGGATAGCTATGGCAACTGAGATAGGACTTGTGCATAGATGGCACTTGTCCAAGGTAATGCTGATGTCATGTGGAAACCTATGAAGTCAGATTGAATTTCAGGCTATTCCAGGGCTTACCATCTGGTTATGACTAACATAGCCATGGAAAGATCCACCCATTTTTAATAGGTAAACCATCTATTTCTATGGGCCATTTTCCATGGCTATGTTCAATAACCAGAGGGTATCAAAAATGGACACCGCTGTTTTGTTTGTTAACCACTCATCACTTGAATGGCTTGGGAGCTGTTCAATTGTTTTACCCAAAGAGGGTCTTTTTTGAAGGGTTACTCATGAAATAGGAAGTTTAAAAATTGATAGTCTTCGACAAATCCAATATCATTGGCACCAAGAGAGGAACAACTCTATGGATCCCTATGGTAATCTCAATTGGGAAACCGAGATCTCAAACAATGGGAATGTGGGGTACCTTTACATATTTTTAGCCATTCTGACCTGCGAATCAATTCACTCTCCAAGGCCACCCATTTTTTCATGGTCGCATCCCAAGATTTGCTACCCAAGATTTGCTGGTCAGAATACCCATAAACCATGAACCGGGGACCATGAACCAATACCCAATCTGGTTGGTGGTTTGGAACTTTTTTTTTCCATTCAGTTGGGAATGTCATCATCCCAACTGACTTTCACTCCATCATTTTTCAGAGGGCTAGGGCTCAAAACCACCAACCAGATGCCATGAAAATTCCCATTAGATCCTATTAAACCACCATAAAATGCCATTAAGCCCACCATTAAATGCCATTAAACCAGCCAATCATTGGTTCAAGATATATATGATACAATATTCATTAGATCAGGTATTAATCACTAATAACCACTATTAACCACTATTAATCACTATTAACATGGCTGGTTCACACTTTATGGCTGGATTTAGCCCTTTTTGGGCACCAACTCAACCCGCACCAACTGCCGAGGTGTCCACATTGCTGGTCCCTAAGCTTGGCCAAGAGGTCCCTCAGGCGAGTCGCTTCGTTGGTCGACAATCACAGCCGAGCTTCGTTGGGTATTGTGTTGTACCACGATGTTTCGAAGATTTTCGAAGTATAACTATGGAGAATCACCATTTTTAATGGGAAAACTCACTATAAATTGCCATTTTCAATAGCTATGTTAGTTTACCGGAGGGTAATGTGGGTGAAGCAATGCCATAAACCCACCATCCCCCAGGAAAATCACCATACATTTATAGGTGGTATAAACTTACCATTCCCAGGAAAATCGGTGGTTTATGGCATTGTTTTACCCACATTATTTCCAATGCTACCTTGGATTTTTAGTTCCAAACATTGTACTCATCCAATAACATATATGTATAATTGTTCAACGATTTTTTCCAAACATTGTGATTATCCAATAACCTACAATTTTTCCAAGATTTGTTCCCAACTTGGATGAAGTCCGGTAGCGTCAACAATCGAGGCGGCTCTGCCACGTGATTGCTTGATGGATGCTGAACGGCTGCTACATCAGCTACAGGTCGGAAGGGTGATGGCTGGCGTCGACCTTGGCAGCTCAGGTTAGTGGCTATGACCAACAGAATCTGAGATGGGTTCTATTAAAACTAAAAGCAGATTTCACCCATTGTAATTAAGCCATGAATATTATTACATATTAATATCAAACCATGGACTGGATTACATATGATTCCATATTGTAATTCACCTATTGACGTGAACACCAGCAAAATCAATCCACCTTTGGTCAGCTTTTGGAAACTGCTCAAGTCAAGCCATCAAGACGTTGCAAGTTCAAGTTCTTCCATGTTTTTTTTTTTATCGCAACAAAAAGACGTTGCACCATCTTCCGCTGCAAAAAAAATCGGTGGTTTTTCCCCATGGTCTCCACAGTCTTCACCGCCAGATCACCTGTCCGCATAAGATGACCTACTGGCAGAAAGCGCATCTCGGCATTCTGCGGCTCTTCGCCTCCTACTATTTGAGGCCGGGAGGACTGGAGGACTAGGACCAGGTCACCACCAGGTCACCTGGAAAAAGGTGGGGCCCAGGGGCCAAAAAAACTGCTGGAGCAAGTGGAATGATGAAGTACTGCAGCACTCTAGAACTAGCAATCAGTGGGTGAGCTGAGGGGGAACTTTAGGCTAGCTGGAGTAGTCACCTACTGATGTAGCAACTGTTGCAGGCCTGGCTGCACCATCCAGCCTGATGGAAAGGTCAGTGTCTCAGGCGAAAACACCATCCAGAGGTCACTGACCATTCATCAGTCATCACCCTCCTCATGATGATGATGATGATGATGATGAAGATTCTATCATCTCCATCACCCATACCATTTAGATGGCCACGTCAAAATGTTGGATCAAAAATCAGCAGTGTCCAAGTCCCTAAAAACTCAATTTTTATACAGATGTGTGGCATCCTTGATTCATTCACTGGTGGTTGCAGGCATTGTTTGTTGTCCATGCCCGCATGATGTTGCTGATCATCCCGAATAAACCAATATTTTTATGTAGTGGCCTTTAAAAGTGTCAATCACAAAAAAAAAACCGACCCTCCAGTAGTTTTCCCCATGGCAATGGACAATTCCGCCATTGATAGACCATTTTCTCAGTAAAAACAGTAAAACCTCCATTTTAGATCAGGATTTCCCATGTTCCTATATGATATGTCCATATGGGTATGGGTCAATACCTATAGATACATTTTTAGTGGGATGAACATCCATTTACCAGCTATTTTGATGTTCACCAGGAGTACAAGGTTTTGACACACTGCCATATATGTCCCATGTTTTGCCCATTTTTCATAGTTGATTTTCCAGCTTGCCATGTTTGAATACCAAGGGTCCAAGGGGTTGAAAATGGGGCCAGCACCATCAGCACCTCTGCACAACCGAGGTTTTGCTGCGTCAGTTGACAGCCAAGAACCGGGAGAACGCCATGGTGCTGCAACAGAGCCTGGGGAGCCAAGATCATTCGATTTTTTCCCAATATATCTGGGTACATTACAGTATTACAACGACCTCACTGTTCTCCCTCACTGGAATCATGGTTAGTAAGGGAAATCATTCCCAAATGGGCTTAATTCAGGTTAGTGAAATATTATAATTTACCCATATATATATATATATATGTATATTACTACTATTACTTTTTACTTTTATTTTTACTTATTATTTTATATCATTATTGTTATTGTTTTTATTGTTATCATTGTTATTGTTTTTAGTGTTATTATTGTTACATATTATTACTACAACATATATTTACAGTAGTTTAATTTTTTTTATCTTCGGTTTTTTTGCAATTTCACCAGGGCTACATCCAACTGGCAGTTATATCCATGGATCCGTTGTAGAACATGGAGACGACCAGAAATCCATGCTTTTCTCTGAAACGTCTAGGGAAAAGCCACGAAGTTTGATGGTTGACCACATATTTGTCCCATTAAAATATATATTAACGTGATTATGTGCTGTGTATTATCCACATGAGCCTATTGAAAATTAGGCTATTTTACCCTCTGGTAAACATACAAAAAGCTATTGAAAATTGCCATCAAAATTTTTGGATTCACCCATTAATAGCATGGTGGATCTTTCCAGTTCGCTATCTGGCTGTTTACGATGACCCTATAGTTGATTTATAGTTGATTTATGTGGATTATATTGATTATAATCATTGATTATGGCTATAAATTATGGCTATTTTATAGTGGATTTACTCATCGTCGTCGTCGTCATGCGTCGTGAGGTGGACTGAGGCAGCTGGTGATCTTTTTAGAGTCGGAATCTCGGGCGTTTTATCCCCCAGCCCCAGAAAGGTCCCAGTTGGAAAGGTGGGGAAATTCCCTACTACCCTCTGGTAATTTGTTACATAGCTATTGAAAATGGCCATAGAAATAGTTGATTTACCCATAAAAAATGGTGATTTTCCAGAGTTATGTTAGTTTACCAGAGGGTAAAGCCATAGAATGGGATGTTGAATGGGGGATATTCAACATTCTATGATCCCTTTTAGAAAGGTGATATTCATCATGAAAAATGGTTTCTTGGGATCTTGAATCTTACAAAGGGATTTGTATACGCATAATTAAAGCATAATTATAAGCCATCTAGGCTTATCCCACATATATCATGTATATATATATAATTGTATATCTGGTTGGTGGTTTGGAACATGAAATTTTATTTTTCCATATATTGGGAATTTCATCATCCTGACTGACGAACTCCATCATTTTTCAGAGGGGTAGGGGCTCAAGCACCAACCAGATATATATATATATATATGATATATTATTCATTAGATCAGGTATTAATCACTAATAACCACTATTAACCACTATTAACCACTATTAACCACTATTAACCACTATTAACCACTATTAACCACCACTATTAACCATAGGGTTTTCCACACATCTGGCGGCTGAAAAAAGTTGGTTTGTGCTTAGCGTTTCAAGTCGTCACAAGCGACACGATCCCGATGATTCCCCTGGTGAAATTTTCTTGCGAGGGAAATCATCCCCAAAAAAGGCCGAACTATTCAGGTTATGTTAAATACCATAGGAAAACCATAGGAAAATGGAGGTTTACCCTGCAGATACAGTGATTTACTATAGGAAAATGGAGGTTTTAATGGGAAAACCATAGGAAAACCATAGGAAAATGGATGTACCCTCTGGTAATTTAACATAACTATGGAAAGATCCACCATTTTTCATGGGAAAATCTCCACTATTTCGACTGGGCCATTTTCAATAGCTTTTTGTTAGTCATTACCAGAGGGTAGTGATGTTTTTTTTGAATTTACCCAGATTAGTAATCGTAACATAGTTTACATAGTTTACGATTTGTGATAATTCATTGTTTACCCAGATCTTGTTATTGTTTGTTTACCATTATAATTTACCATACTATTCAGGTTAGTGATTATATGACATGTTTGTTTGTTATTGTAACTGTTTTTCCCCATGCTATTTATATAAGATGATCATCCCCGGAACAGGTACACATATATGTTTGAGGTGGGTTGAACCGCCATGCAGCATACTTCAAACAGGCCCCCAAATCTGTTGTCGCAAACTGGTGCCATATGTATATATTATATATATATGTACCCAGGATACCCAGGCATACCAATGAAATCATTGGATATGTTCATGCGAGTTTTTTTTGAATCATCCAATTTGGTGGGTCTATCACTTGCAGGTTGTTTCAACTTTTTGGATTGTTCATCAAAATGGACAGATCCAAATTTCACCCCTTTTCGCACTTAGCTCCAATAAAAATCAGGTTCTCCTGGTGCCCCGTTTTTGGCAGTTTTTGGTCAGCCAGGATCAGCAAAAAAACCCAGGTACACTGGCTTCGACCCTATGATTGCCGGGAGCCTGGATGGTGCGCATCCCAACTGGACGGTCAAGCGGTCAAGTCCCGTAGGGCTTGTTCCATTTAGGGCTTGAACCAGTTGCCAAGTTACCAGGGTGATCTTTCAAGTATAGGGTCAACATGGGTCAATCTTATTGATTCCTTCACATGTCCAATTCTTAGCTGGTGATTCAGCTTTGGTGAGGAAATATCCGAGGCCCCTGTAAACATGGATGAACATGGAACGACACCGCAAATGACAGAGAAAAAGTCTGAACGACAATTTTTTAAATTCTTAGCTGCAGAAATTGTTGGATCGTGAGAAACCTATAGGGTTGACCTCCATATTTCTTATCAATACCAGCGAGGTTGGGTCGAACAACAATTGAGCAGTGGCTGCTAGAGCCCTGGTGATTGAGTATATGGAGTTGTACTATGTCATACCGTCCTGAACAATCCATGAACCGGGATATCCGTTCTCAACCAGAATTTCCAATGAGACTAACCAACCAGGGTTTTGAACACCGAAGCCAGGTAGTTCAGCAGAAAAAGCTTGGAAGGACAGATTCTGATTGATGGAAATGGGCTGAACTTCGCCATGACTAGAGAGATATTAAGCCGCAAAAAATGCAGGATTTGACATGATGTTAAATGTTTTTTAATCAACAAACATGAGAATATGGAACATCGTAATTTACGTGCCTCATTCCCAAAAAACATACTGTAATCTCATCAGTACATGAAATTGATGGAACATCGTAATCCATAAGTATTCGGGAATGATATGATTTCGGTTGAATTGTAGCAACCTTTTCGGTCGACGTCACCGTAGATCGGTTGGTGAACTTTTATGATTAAACTACAGTTTTGTCAGCAATCTTGCTTGAGATTGACAATCTCAAATGAAATTTTTATATGAGAATTTGAGTTTGTATGGAATTTGGAATTTAACCATTTAATATCCCAATGTTTGATTTTGTTTGAGGATATTAACACCTGTTTGAGGCTCATTGAGCACCTGGAATGATCCTCACCCTGGATGGATCGGCTATTTCTATGGAGGTTTCAATTGGGAAATGATCGAAGTCAACGGGATATATTTTTTGGGGATTTTCAATTGAGCAGTGGCTGCTAAACCCCTGTTGGTTGATGGGATTTGATGGGTATTCTACTACCCTTGATCTATTGTGGATTCTAATCGTCCAAGGCCGGGAAATCCCGAAAAAAACCAAGCAGTACCCTCTGGTAATTTAACGTAACTATGGAAAATCACCATTTATAGTGAATTTTTCTATGAACAATGGTGATTTTCCATAGTTATGTTAGTTTACCAGAGGGTATTTCATGGAATGATAGAGGGATGAATATTTCACACTGCTCAAAAAAGCCAGCTTTGATTACTCAATGGGAGATCTCCAGAATCCTAAATTGGAGGTACGTAAACGTACCATATGTTTGGCCATATTTTGCTGGGATATTCCCTTACATAGCCCTTATATAGGCCTTACCCTCTGGTAATTTAACATAGCTATGCAAAATCACAATTTTTAATGGGAAAATCCACTATAAATGGCCATTTTCAATAGCTATGTTAGTTTACCAGAGGGTATATATGGTAGGTACCTCCAATCAATCGGTTCCTAAAATGGCCATTGAAGTACTGGAGGTTAGATGCCAACCTTAATCATTGGAAGATCGATGTGCTGGAGATGGGATGACCATGGATCACCATCCACACGTCCCATCTGTTTTGCAACAGAATCAGGGTAGGGTGAGCTGACCTGTAGCCAGTTGAGATACGTTGAGATTGGTTAAGCATTTCTGGTTGGTGCTTTGGAACATGACTTTTATATTTTTCCATATATTGGGAATGTCATCATCCCAACTGACGAACTCCATCATTTTTCAGAGGGGTAGGTCAACCACCAACCAGATTTGATTTATCATAGCTCTGATGTTTTGGGAAAGCTGACACTTGAGACCACTCAAATCCTTCAAAGCAACATTTATGAGACCCACAATTTTCCTCCTACCACTACCAGCAAGTGCTGCCTCCCCCAAACATGGCATTCATCAAATGTATCTTCAACATCCAAAAAAGACGGAGGTGTTTTTCACAGGGATTTCAACTTGCCGCAGTTGGTTGGGGATCCTTGAATATCCACTGGAATCAGTGATGTGTGTCTCACTAGTTATGAATGCATAACATATATACAATATGATGTAATGATATCCGTATTCAGATATACAGTAGATATACATATATGATTGCATAATTATGTATGCATTATATATATATACACATTATATTTTATATACAGATACAGAATACATAATTAGGTAGATATTTCTATAGGAAAATCACCACCCTGATCAGGACGCCTTGCTGAACTGCGTCTTGGCGAAGGACCTGCAGCTAGCGGCGTATGCCTGCGGCGTGTTTTGGCCGAAAGGTTTCTGGCTGAATTTTGGCAATCTCCAAAGGTCGATATAGAACAGTTGGAATATATTGGAATCCTGGCCTGGTTATGACTAACAGGGCTAGCCATAGGAAAATACCATAGGAAAACCATAGGAAAATGGTGGTTTAATGGGATTTAATGGGATATACCCTCTGGTTATGACTAACAGTTCGCCATGGTATAGATGGCCCATAGAAATAGATGGTTTACCGTTCTTAAAAATGGGTGGATTTTCCATGGCGAACTGTTAAATAGCCAGATGGTATATATATATATATATCTGGGTAAATTATAACCACCTCACCATCATCCCTAAATGGCCTTAATTCAGGGTAGTGAAATGTTATGATTTACCCATATATATATATAATCTAAACCATTCTGGAAATACTTTTTGATCTTTTTGTTGGGTTACTATATATTAATATTTTGGTTGGGGATTTTCAAGTATGTATTGGTGTTTGAAGCAGACAAAAGGGATGATTGGTTGAGATGACCATCGTATTTTTGGGATATGTTATATATGAATACACTTGTAGAGATACTGCATATTTACTAGTATGTATATAGATAGCAGATAGATACACAACCAATATATTGTCATATTGTAATACATGACATGCTGATCTTTTGTAATACACCCGGTCCAATTTCAAGACCATGTCCTCTAGAATACACATGTGGATGTACTGTGTATGTATGTATAATATATATATATTAGATGAAATATACAACTCATATTACTATATACAAGGTGGTGCCCCCCAGTTATAAATTGTTTATAAGCCCATTAACTATAGATATATCTACCATAAACAATAGTTATTGGAGTTATCAACCAACTTAGCTAGCTATGGTGCACCACATTGCACATGTATTACAATCCCAGAGGATCCATGTATGGAATATTTACCTACATTGACCCCTAAAGTAATTTAAAATAATCCCAATGTAGGTAAATATTCCAGCACCATGGATCCCTAGGGAATAGTTCGATCATGGCTTGGTCTCTTTGTTTTTATTAGTCTTCTGAACAAGGGCCCAATCACGGCCCAAGGCCATAGCGTTGTTGGCGAAGTGGCATCCAGCCGCAGGTGGGGGGCAAGGGTCACAGCTCTTGTCCCGGTGGTTGCCCCTTACCCTCTGGTAAACATACAAAAAACTATGGAAAATCACCAAGTTCTATGGGAAAATCCACTATTTCTATGGCCATTTTCAATAGCTAAGTTAGTTTACCAGAGGGTAATCTTACTTGTCCTTAGTGGGGAATGAGGGAATGACCCACTGGCTAACTATCAATAATCCCAGCAACCCCCATTCCCATCCATTCCCTACGTTTGTTTAGCACGAGTAAGTAATAAGATTCATCCAAGATACCAGCTTTGTAAGATTCGGAAAATGAAAAATTAGGGTCTAAAGTTCAATGACGACAATCGCAAGTCCTTTGAAACCTTTGGCATGTCTAATCATATCTAGGTGCATTCATAACCACGCATCTTCAAGTGATCAGCATGGCTACGGCGCCACGGGGCGATAGTCTGATGGTCATCCCGGTAGCTGAAACGAAACGGTCTGGTTGGAGGGGAAACCTTGAATGGGGAGTTTAAGACTTTAATATTTTGCCATCAGTGGAGATATCTGAATTTTTATCAGCTGAAAAAATCAGTTTATGATTCATTTTATGATTCATTTTGCCATAAATGAGGATATCTTAACCTTAATTATCTTAACCAGCTGAGAATTTTCATGTTTTCTTCCCATCTGAGATTGGCCGTGTTTTCCATCCGCCAGTTGCAACTGGGAATTTCCCCAGCGCTGCAGATAAGTTGTGACGGGAAGCTACATGTTGATCCCTGGTACCCTCTGGTAATTTAACGTAGCTATTGAAAATGGCCATTTATAGTGGATTTTCCCAAAAAAAAAGGTGATTTTCCATAGTTACGTTAGTTTACCAGAGGGTATCTGAAATGTGGTAAACCCAATGCCATCAACTTCTATTTTAGGTCCATTTTCCACCCATTTCTGAGGAAATTGGGGATATTTATTATATGCTGGTTGGTGGTTTGGAACATTTTTTATTTTTCCATACCATATATTGGGAATAATCCTCCCACCAACCAGTATATGTTATTATTGGCTTCACCACATTGATGTCTCATTTCCTTAGCGGCAAAGTACAGACGAAGCGTCAACATCCACGAGCTGCGTATTTTCACTGTACTGGGATCATCTGATGATCATCCGGTTGATGATGGACACATTTGACATCCGCATTTGTTGTATATATATGTTATATATAACTATATGCGTGTGTATATTATACATGTATATATATATATATAACATATATATATAATATATATATGACACATATATATATATATATGCTTTTCTTCAGTTTTGTTTTTCAACAACATATATCCACACGCCAATTTTTTTTAAAAGTAACTTTGGGAAAACAAATCAGATCCTAACCAAGTAGCTGAGCGCAAGGCGGCATGGAAGCCATCCTCATCAGGAGGGTATCATCCCCTAGAGCTGCGGGATTTTCCAGCACGCTATGGAGCTAACTTCCATAGGGTATACCCTCTGGTAATTTAACGTAGCTATTGAAAATGGCAATTTATAGTGGATTTACCCATTAAAAATGGTGATTTTACATAGTTATGGTAGTTTACCAGAGGGTAGTTCTTGCCAGATTAAACCAACTATCATTTTATAGACGTTTCAACCATTATCTACATGTGTTATACATCATATTCACTAAAAAAAAGTGGACATTTCAACTATATGTCACCTACATTATACATAGTATCTGCTTGTTCTTAATGGTGGTATCCATTTTAATTTTTACCACCATGAAAAACCCTTAACATCGGTATATGTATTACCACCATGAATCAGGGTAAATTATAATGACCTCACTGTTCTCCCGAACCCTGGAATCATGGTGAGGATTCGGGAAATCCCCAGGTAAACGGCCGAACTATTCAGGTGAGTGAAATATGATGGCCTTTACCCAGATATAAGTTACCACCTAAGGTTAGATGTTAGTATATGTATTACCACCATTAATGTTAGTATATACACCCATATAATACACCCATATTATTATAATTTACCCAGGTCTTATTTTAGGTTAGTGAATTATTATAATTTACCCATATTAATGTTAGTATATCCCCATATTGTACCAACATTGTTCTTTGATGCCACGGCACTTGACTTGATCAGGTCGACAGATCCTGCAAGAGTGCTGCGCCATGGTGGAATCTCCACCTATTCAGGTCTGGTGCAAAAGCTCCCCTTTAAAAAACGAACAGTTCGCCATGGAAAGATCCACAACTTTTCAATGGGTCAATCCACTATAATAATGGTTAATCATAGTTAATAATGGTTAATAATGGTTAATAATGGTTAATACTGGTTAATAATCATCAAACATATATTATAATAATGGCTAGTAATGGTTAACAATAGTGGTTAATAATGGTTAATCACGAAAAACATGTTACCCGGCCTGGTAATGACTAACAGTTTGCTATTGAAAATGGCCATAGAAATAGTGAGTTTTCCCATTAAACATGGTGATTTTCCATAGTTATGTTAGTTTACCAGAGGGTAATATCCTATTCAAACATCATTCAACAATTGATGTCCTATTCCAACCATTGCTTGATATCCTAGTCAGAATTTGATTGATATCCTAGTCAAAAATCCACTCTTCATTGCAGAAATCCATTCCAAGATGGGTTGAAATTCTATCTTCACCGTGATTGAAATCCCAAAATTGCTTTGAAGAGTTCAACAAAAGAAGCAATTCAATGGCAAAGACCGTGATTTCCTGTGTCATTTTACCAAGATGGACCCAGAATTGATACACCAGTTGGCCCCCAATAGGCCAACTGTGCGGGGTTCTGCTACCTTGTTCAATTGGGATTGCTGTAAAGCCAGGAAGAGGGTGTTTGCTACTTACATTTGGATACAACTACTTCGTTTTATATTACCCCAAATTATCTTCACCATCCAATCGAAAGCGTCGTAGTTCAAGTTCTGGACCAACATTGAAGAAAAGCAGCAAGAAGCTATTTAAGTAAAGTGGGGATGATCCCGGCTGTTGGTATACAAGGAGGTTTAAGCCAGTTAGAAGATATTGTTTATTGCTGACTACAACTATTTATCACTACAGTTACATGATCTGATGGAACACCAGTGAGATACAACATCACTTTATAACGTCGATGAACATTCCCAGTATATACATATCATTAAAAACATTGGAATATTCCAATGTCATGATGATTGTCATGTTCAAGTAACAGAAAAGTACTGGGTTAAGAAGATATTTTGGATAAGTACGTACTGACTTCAAAACCATGCCCAGTGCTTTTTCAGAGTCCCATCAAGAGTTGGGATTTTCCTGGTAGTTTCCGACATTTCTGGCGTGTTACGACCCCGCCACTGTGCCAGCGTATAAGGCTCGGCTGCAAGACCGCAGCGACGGCTTGCGCCTGGCTCTGTGTGCAGAGCAGATCTTGGTGTCCAAAGAACCCAGCGGATGCGGGGAAGTGGAATCAGCTTGAGGGTTTAGTGGGTGCGGGCCCCACTTGGTAAATGGGTCAAAAGAAACAATTATATGTAGAATATCCCGAGTTATATATGGGTTAATTATATATAAACTATTTAATTACACGTGAGCCATGCTCAGGTACCATCAAAACAATTCTGACTGGTTTTTTGACACTGCTTAGATGAAGAATGCCTTCCATAGTTGCCGCCTGTTGGTTGCAGAAGTTATTTACATGAACAAATGGTGATTTGACCGCCAGAGTTGGTAGAACCACCAAGATAAATGGAGGGTTGGGTTGGGTTGGGTCTATGTTTATTGTTTCCTCCTTGACTATATAATTCTGCAAAGCAACTTGATGCTTCACAAATCAACCAGTCAAGCATTCTTGACTTGTTTCGGCAACACGTGAAGCTAGTGCTATTTTGGGGGCTGCCAGCTTCCTTGCGGGTAGCAAACCCGGTATACCCATATGTGTACACAATTCACCACTTGAAGTGTGTATGTTTTCTTGTGTCATGGTGTTTCTATATTTTTTGCATATTCCCAGTACACATCCGGGCTGCGCAAAATCTTCCTCAATTTTGCTAATGCAACAGCAATGAACTTGGTTTCCCAATGATAGAAGATGATACTGTAGTAGAGGTTTTTCATTTAGTGGGCCAATAAAGATTTTATCCATCAATTTGAGATATTTCAGTTTACCTGGGTTGCAGAATATAGATGAGTGTGTGTGTGTGTCAACATTTCAGAGCCTGGAGTAACCAGATTTGATACCTTCCAGTAGTCAAACATGGTTTGCTGGAAAATATCATTTTGTTTGATGATTTCCCATTAAATCTCCATTATCGGGGATTTATCAGCATCTTTGATTACCAAAGGGCAAATTTGTTATGTATCACATAATATCCCATTGCATCAATTCGTATTCCGGACTATGATATCATATGATATCCCTATTCATTATCCCGAATTACTGTTTGAGATTTCGTGTCAAATGTTGGTAGACAGCGCCTGTAGGATTCGTATCGTGAAAAACAAACCACTACCTCGATCAATTTCGTTGAAACCTGCTGAAGGTCCACGTGTTTGGTTTTCCATTCATATGCACATCCAGAGCCTTGTTCTATAGCTGGTTATCTAAATACAACGTGGTTATCTATCTGTATTAATATATATTTATATATATATACACGTAGAAATACAGCTAGTTATTTTATACTTACTTGGTGGCTCATCCCACTTAGTAAGTGGGTTATAACCCCAGTTATAAATGGGATAAGTAGGGTTAATCCACATCAATCACTGGGGTTATAACCCACTTACGAGCCGTGGGATGAGCCACCAAGTACTATAGTTGCATGTCTTTTTCGTTCTTTCAACTCAGGATGTGTCCCTGGGCGCTGTCTGATGCCCCAGAGGAGGCCGAGGCTCAAGTGAGTCAAGTGCGGCTCCGAGGACGACTCAGTGGTCGTTGGTGTTTTGGTACCCCAAGAAATGACCAATTTCTCCAGGCAAAATGGTGATTTTGAGATGAGTAAACCATAAAAGTCCATCAAACATAGGGATTTCACATGATTTATCTTGATTTAGTATGATTTAGTAATAAACAAATTGGTTTCAAGCATCAAAAAATCGGGATTTACATAGCCATCAAACGCACCGCTTTTACAACCCCAAGCTCACGGAAAGAGGGAACCTTATGATAAATAATTGGATTTGTGGTACCTGATTCTTGCACAGCCATTGAAACATGGTGACTGTCCATTGCCAAGGCGGATTGACAGTGATTCTACCCATGGGGCCATTGATGAGGCGATGAGCGATGATCGCAGCCCGCCCAGGAGCTTGGACCAGAACCTCACTGGAAAAGATAAAAATAGCAGCCACAACAGAGATAGAACAGTTGGAAACTTGAACATATCCGATCAATACATATATTGATATATATACATATATATATATCCTGTGGTGTTTTTATCATAGGTGAATAGTTGCTATAGGGTTATACATAATATATATATATATATATATATATACTATTCTATCGGGTCACCCCCACATATTTACATATATATTTTATGTAATTATAGTATATATAATATGTTATCCGGGTCACCCCCATATGTTTACATATATGATCATATATGTATATATATATATACTATCTTATCGGGTCACCCACACATACACACACACACATATATATATATACTTTAAACCCCACAACGCTTCCACTCAGCTATCACAGCAGCAACAGCAGCTGAATTGGGATTTGAGTGGATTTTTTCAAAAATTGGGATGATCGGGGTTCCTTAGAACGCTCGCTACCGGTAGTGAATTGGGGTTTGAATTGATTTTTTCTAAAATTGGGATGATCGGGGGCCCTTAGAACGCTCGCTACCGGTAGTGAGTGTTCTAAGAGGGAGCGACGGTCGCTCCCTGTTAGAACGCTCCCTAAGATAGATAGTGTTCTAACAGGGTGCGACGGTCGCTCCCTGTTAGAACGCTCGCTACCGGTAGTGAGTGTTCTAAGGGGGGGTTGGCAAACATCGGACCAGGGATGATCTTGTGTTTTCGCTGGGGTCTTAGTGAGAAGAACGCAAGATTGAGGGTGCTCCAGCGACAGGAAACCTCCCTTAGAACGCTCGCTACCGGTAGTGAGTGTTCTAAGAGGGAGCGACGGTCGCTCCCTGTTAGAACGCTATCTATCTTAAAAGCAGCAATTATACATATGGATGATTGGGGGGCCCTTAGAACGCTCGCTACCGGTAGTGAATGGGGAATTCTTTCAAAAATTGGGACGATTGGGGTTCCTTAGAACGCTCGCTACCGGTAGTGAATGGGGAATTCTTTCAAAAATTGGGACGATTGGGGTTCCTTAGAACGCTCGCTACCGGTAGTGAATGGGGAATTCTGTCAAGAATTGGGATGATGGGGAGCAATTAGAACGCTCGCTACCGGTAGTTAATGGGTAATTCTGTCAAAATGGGTAATTTTTGAAAAAAGCCGGCTGTCGCTGCTGTGATAGCTGAGTGGAAGCGTTGTGGGGTTTAAAGTATATATATATATGTGTGTATGTGTGGGTGACCCGATAAGATAGTATATATATATACATGTAAACATATGGGGGTGACCCGGATAACATATTATATATACTATAATTACATAAAATATATATGTAAATATGTGGGGGTGGCCCGATAGCATAGTATATATATATTATGTATAACCCTATAACAACTATTCACCTATGATAAAAACACCACAGTATCAATATATATATATAATATCATGTATATAGACCATCCTGGAAACTCTTTTCTGTATCTTTTTGGGGGTTACTATAATCAGCCGATTTCAGCTTTGTGGAGCCTTTCTCAGCCCACAAGGTACTCCCAAGAATGCACGGAGTGAGACCAGTTGGGAGTGTCACTGCAAATGGGGGAACAACTTCCAATTAGCGCTGAAGTTGTCACTCGACTTATATTCATATACAACATCCAATTTATATCTGTTTTACTGGGCCTCCCATTGGACATTCTCGAAGCGATTTCCATACCCCATAGGATCCACGGTGCTGGTATATATGCTAACATTGGGGGTATATTGATGGTAAATGTTACCATATATAGCATACGTGGATCCTATGGGTACCCTCCGGTTCCTTTTACAGCTGATTTTGCAGCCAGCCATTGTGACAGTCGCGTCGTCGCCTCGAGGAGAAAGCTCTTTGCGCGGATGCTGCAGCGGCTCACAACTGGCAATCTGAAGGCGGGCCGGGCCCTCGGCCGATTCAGCCACCGTGTTGCCAGTTTTATACCCTCTGGTAATGACTAACATAGCTATGGAAAATGGCTATTTATAGTGAGTTTTCCCATTAGAAATGGTGATTTTCCATTGCTATGTTAGTTTACCAGAGGGTAGATGGCTTTTAGGCCTTGATAGAAGACAAATGGATCTAGAGATGGAAACTTTTCAAAGATCTTTGGGGAATACTTAATATGAACAGGAACTAAAGAAGTGAAATACTAGGTTTAACATGGATCCAGATTGGTTGTTGGTGATTTGTAGTGCTTGTTTGGACCCACCTAGTGGGCGTCAAGCGTGATAGGTTGATTCAAGGCTATGAGTCAACATTTAAACCGTTTTCACCATCCAGTACTGCTGGTAACCGCTCGACCCACACCAAGATTTGCACGAAATGAGCCACTTCCTTTTTCCTGGGACTTAGTTTCGCAGGACTTGGCTTTTCTATCTCACTCTGGTTACCATTTTTTCATGAAGTGACGACGAAAATCCCTAGAGATTTTGTTTATCCAAGAAATGGGGCAGCAACCTCTGAGCTTTGGAGAGGTGAAATCCGGCCCCAAATTTGCTGGGATTTTGTGGATGTGCATCCTCCCAAATATGGTACCCTCTGGTAATTTGTTACAGTTTGCTATTGAAATAATGGATTTTCCCATTATAGCATGCTGGATCTTTCCACAGCTATGTTAAATGACCAGAGGGTATATTTCAACTTATGTATATGTGGTTTTGATCCAGACCCGCATGGATTCATAGTGCAAATGCATGCAACTGCAGGAGGGACGGGGAGCGGATTCCCGTAAGCTGGGTCAATCTTGGTAAATGCTTTGTAAATGAGCTCTTTTTGTTCTTTTTTTAAGGGAGAAATATTGTATCCTACCATATCCTCCCCAAGAGTTATGTGTTTTGCATGCTATCTCAAGGTTGCCATGATTGGGTCTTTCAAGTTCTTGAGACGGGCTTCTGGATGTTTCTGGTTTTTCATCAAGATATTTTAATCAAATGGGCTCCCTCGTGCCTGACCAAAGGTTCTCAGGGCCCTTCTATCTGGTCTGCTTGAACTCTGCCGTGCCCTTAGAGCCAGAGACGTCAACCCGCTGGTCTTTAGCCAGTCAAGGTCATGCTTGGATCTTGCTGAATAACATGTTCGAGAAAATCCTCGTTCATCACCATTCTCAGCAAAACTAACAATGACATGGTTGAGGTAATTGTTAATCACTGTACATCAAAGATTGTTTTTAATGACCATTGATTATATATGATTTCAAATCACTTTCCGATCTCACTATTACCTCACTGTGAATGGTCCTGTTGGGCCAGACCATCCTCGCCTCAGCTTATTTCTGAGTTGTGAATTATGGTGCTTTACCCAGATTCTTGGTTGTTTCATGTTGGGGTCCGAGTCAATCTTCCGGATGAATGACCAGAACCTCGTGGCAACCTCGCGGCAACGTCACCATGAATGATTTTGTCAATGTGGTGAATCCATATGATCTATGACCAAACATGATCCAACAAAATTCTAGCATTTGTTTCTGGATAAATCAGAATTCCTGAACATCTATATTCCTTACTGATGCTTAATTCGCAGGGAATTTTCGGGAATGATCCAATCCATATCTATGAATTTTATCATCCCAGCAACCCCCAGCAACCCATTCAGCAACCCATTCCGTTGTGGACCCAGAAACTGGAGCGCTTCGAAACTGCGGTTTGGACCGGTGGGTGAACACCCCAAGGATCCCACCTACAGAGAAATGGGAAAGGGCTATGATCAATTCTGATAACATAACCAATGATATTGACCCACCATAATATCTGGGTAAATTATAACAACCTCACTGCGACCTCACTGGAATACTGGTTAGTAAGGGAAATCATCCCCAAATTGCCTTAATTCAGGTTAGTGAAATATTGTAATTGACCCACCATAATATAGAAATACCATGTTTGTTTCATGACAATAAATTAATAGCATGTTTATTAAATTTTATTAATCTCCATACCTGGTTGGTGCTTTGGAACATGTTGGTTCATCCATGTGGTTAATACTGATTAATGATGTTTAATGATGGTTAATATCTGGTTGGTGCTTTGGAACATTTGGATTATGACTTTCCATTCAGTTGGGAATTTCATAATCCCAACTGACGAACTCCATCATTTTTCAGAGGGGTAGGGCTCAACCACCAACCAGAATAATATTTCAATAATTACCAATCATATTGACCCACCATAATATAGAAATACCATTTTTATTTCATGACAATACCAATAATTTATGAAATAGACATGGTATTGTCCCACCAATAATATTGACCATTCATGAATTATGAAATGGGACAAGCTTGTTTCTCAATGGTTCTTGGTACATGACCAGTGATATTTCATGACCCCTAAAAACGGTATTTTCTAGTCATCGGGACCCCATAAAATTCCGCCCACAAAAAAGGACATCTGGGGGGAGTCAAAAACCTCACCACATCACCATATGGTCCATCCCCCACCCAGCTTAAGCAGCTTACCCTCTGGTAAACTAACAGTTTTCTATTGAACATGGCCATTTATAGTGGATTTTCCCATGAAAAATGGTGATTTTCCATAGTTATGTTGGTTTACCAGAGGGTCAGTGAATTACGAACAACAAATACTTGGATGATCTTGGATGCACCTCCTAGGAATCGGATCCGTGATTCACAAGCATTAAAAAAAAAACCTTGAGCCTTCAAGTTTATCATTATTTTCATGGTTACCCTCTGGTTATTTAACATAGCCATGGAAAATGGCCCATTTATAGATGGTTTACCTATTAAACATGGTGATTTTCCATGGCTATGTTAAATAGCCAGATGGTACTATTTTGGGTATACCCCAGTCCACTTAGATTCTGGTTGGTGCTTTGGAACATTTTGGAACCATGGAATTTGGATTGACTTTCCACTCAGTTGGGAATGTCATCCTCCCAACTGTTACTCACTCCATCATTTTTCAGAGGGGTAGGGCTTAGCCACCAACCAGGACTAGTTGGATAATAGTCAAGTCATTGGATATAGTAATTATATGTAATTATCCCATTGTTACATTAGGTCAATGGGATATTGTTATACAGTAACAACATATTATTGGGATAATACTGGGTTATGAAAGCTTAAAACCTATGGTAAACAGCCACATAACTATGGAAAGATCCACCATTTTCAATGGGTAAATCCACTATTTCTATGGCCATTTTCAATAGCTATGTTAGTCATTACCAGAGGTAAACCTCCATTTTCCTATGGTTTTCCTATGGTTTTCCTATGGTTTTCCCATTATAACTATGGAAAATCACCATTTTCCAGTTCGCAAACTGTTAGTCATTACCAGGCCGGGTCACCATCATGGGATGATGGATGCAGACCTCCAGAGGTCGAGACTGCACGCAGCCGGATGAGTCCGGCGTGTCGCTGAACAACGTGCTGGACGCCAGGTCGCTCGGTAAAAGCCTTGGTTCAATGGATTGGTTTAAGGGAAAATCTTAACCGGAAACCATGGTTTTTACCATCAAATATAGGGGTTTCCTGTAAATTTTCCCGTCATCCAATTCTGTGATTGGTGAATGGCGACGGTGTTAGTTGCGACAGTTGCTGGTTGAGTTGCTGGATGATTTGCTGAAGATGATCATTGGCTTATTTTTATTCAAGAAGTCCACTACTTGGGGAATCTATAGGATATATATATATTCTTTATTTTTTGGTGTTCCTTGAGCACATCCAAGAATATGTAGCCATTTAGTGTGGAAGAATGTGATTATTTAGATGTATGATTTCAATATTTGCATGGCTGAACCATCCAAAATACTCAAACATTGTGAGCAACGAGAATAGGGATGCAGAACTGATATATCTCCAAGAAATGGGATCGATCTTTTATCGATCTTTTGCGGATCCCAGGTTCTTGCGCTTTTAAGCAGTCGCAATTTTCTGGTAAGCACCCTGGGAGTCTTAGGAGGGGCTTGTCCAAATCTTGATACCCTCTCCGTCTCGTGCCAAAAAGTCATGGCTGCTACTTCATGGCCTAATGATGCGTAATACATGATAGTGAGATGACTTGGGATTCAAATGATTTAAATTACGGTGTCAAGACCAATTGCGCTGAGGATTCTCTTGAAACGCAATTCAATTACCCTGAGGATTCTTGTAGAACAAGATGAATGGACAAGTATGGCAAAGTAGGATTGGGTACAGTTAAAACGTTGCAACCCCCCCAGCAGTAAAACAAGTTGGTTCATAAAGCCATGAAACTATAGAACGCTGTATATACATACACGGTATGTCCACCACCAAACCCATCCGTTGGCCTAGTTGCACAACTCAACTTAGCCAACTATGAGGCACCACTTTGATGTAGCAGTGTACGATTCAGCATTGGGTTGACAAAATCAATGATCCAATTCCAGGTGTTGCTATGCCATAGATATCTTTCTTGCGAACCTCACCACAGGTGTTGTTAATCAACGGGAATCACCCCTAAAATCGTTTACTCTCCGGTTTGCTCAGATGTGTCTAGCTGGGAAATCCTCAAAAATGGACGTGTTTAATGGTTTTAATGGGAAAATCTTAATGAACATCATCTAAATTGTAGAATTTATTTTGCCACGTTTGACTACCAGAGGGTATCTATTCAAGTATCAATCATGAAAAAATATACCGACCATATTTCACTATGATGATGATATTCAGTATGTTCAAGAAATATACTATCCCAACTGCATAGATGCGAACTGGCCTGGAAAGTGGCCTGGAACGACTTCCTTCTGCTGAGGCGACCCCCGCGACCTACGGGGGATGCGTTGCGCGCGGTGCGTGCGGGGCCCATTGGCCGCTTCGTGCGGGGATGGCCTTGGGAGTTTGATGCGACAAAGATGGGACAGTACCATTCCGGAGGTTTTTTTTCCAGTTGAACATGTCAAGAATATTCATTTGGTTGGTGGTTTCAAACATTTGACAAATTTTCGTTAATATATCGGGATAATCCTTCCCATTGACTCATATTTTTCAAGATGGTTAAAACCACCAACCAGTCATTGAATATTCTAGAATTGCAAATTTGACAATGATATAGTAGTGAGGAGTATAACAAGGCCAACAAAAACCGGTATTTAGCCAACAAACATTGAGGATATACAAACAAGAAATGACGTTTTTTTTTGTTTTTTTCGTCAGAGCTTGGTGGCTTGGTGACTTCAACTTTCTGAATAGACTAGTTTGTGTATATTTATTTATACACGGGGCTGTGCGACTAAAGGGCACCTGACACAGAATTCACGATACAATATGATACAACTAAAGTAGATAGTGTGTATGTACAATATATATATATTATAATACACGGTGAAGTATACATATACGCGTTATATTCTATAATCACATATATATATATATTATAGAATATATATTAATAATAATAATATTAATAATAATATTAATAATAATCATAATAATAATAATAATCATAATAATAATAATATATTATATATATATAGCTGCGAGTAAACATATAAAGTATCCATTGGACGCCGCGGACCACACCTGTTCCATACCCCTGATCCATGGTTGTAGAAACCCAAGTGGCCTGGCTTTTGGATGATTCATGATGTTTTATTCCCTCTTTTATGGCTCCAAGACCTAGCCTGGGATCAGGCCGTTCGCGATTGGAGGAGGTTTTGTTGACACTGAGAGCAGGTGAGATCTGGCACGGCGACTCAGGAACTCTGGGCAAATTTGTGTGTGTTCATGGGTGTCAAGACTAATTCATGGTCTAATGACTTGGATGATTTGTGGGCAAACCCCTATGAATTGGAAACCTCCAAATCACCAAAATGGAAAAATCACCAAGACCATCTATTTTGTGATTTAATGAATCTAATTAATAAATCTAACCAGGCACAGAGATTTCACAAAATGGGGATCACACAATTTTTTTCATGGTACAGCCAACGGGTTTATAGACCCATTTAGTTCGATGATTTTCCCAAGTATAAACCTTCATATATAGGGGATTTTCGAGCTAGACTACAGGAGAGTAGATAATTAATTTGATAACATATTATATATTATTTTGTTTTGAATTGGTTTTCCTCATTTTTAAGTATGAAATGAACCAATGAGTTGTTTTGCTATTCCCATATTAAATAACTATGATTCATCTTCTCCAGAAATCCATTGTATAACACCATATATGATAGTTCCAGTGATTATAAGTATCATTGTATAACTATGATATGTTCTCTAAATCATTAAACAACTATGATATCTTCTCCAGAAATCCATTGTTGAATTATACCCTCTGGTAAACTAACATAGCTATGGAAAATCACTATTTTTAATGGGTAAATCCACTATAGATGGCCATTTTCAATAGCTATGAGAGGCTAGATCATTCTCCAGAAAATCGGAAATACCACCACCTTTCGACTGGAAGTGTCACCTCCCAGGCGCCGAGCCTTGCAGTGCAAAGACGCTGCGGTGCAACTGGTCGCAGCGCGGCTGGTTTGTGCTGTGACTGGTCAGCTGGATGTTGGAGAACCCAGCCAAGGAACACGGTGTAGCTGGGAAACACCAAACATTTTTAGCTTTTTATGGGAAATTGAAATTCCCCATTGCTCATGGGAAAATAGGGATTTATGAGAAATGAATATGTTAATGGGTTATTTACTGGGTGAACCTTGTTTTTTTTTCACCAACAATGTGGATACTCAAGGCTGCAGTTCAACCAAAGACCCCATGGCAAATTGGCTGGAGGTGATACTTTCACAGCTTCCATTCGATGATAAGCAACAACTGCTGTTGCTTTCACTGGCGGCTGATGGCGGTCCCCGATTTCAAGGTGGTATTTTTTGCATAGCAAGCCACGGAAAGACAGCGCTGAGGATGAAGCACTACTTTCCTGCTTGGGCTTGATGTTGGAGGCCTCACAGGGCAAATCTCAAAGGATCTGGATGCCATTGAATAAGCATTAGTTGGACACCCGAATCCAGGGCGTTTTTTTGCAGTCAAAAAAGAGATGGGATACGACCGGATACGACGGTTCTGTCTCCAGTGTGGGTTGAAGCACCAATAGTTTGAAGCCAGGACGAGGATTTTCGCAGGGTGATTTGGTGATTTATATTGAGATAGCATGATGAGATACCTCAAAATTTGGTTCCTATCCTCTGGATGAATTCAACTCACACCCATACACTGGGTCATGTCAACCATTTTGTCCAAAGTAACGTAACAGTTGAACAGTGGATCATTTGAGCATGTTGAGAACTTGGTTCGATGAAGGAAATACATAGATTCAGTCCAGGACAGGAGTTCTTTTCCCCACCTGCCAGGTAAAGGTCTCTAGACTTTATCAGAGGTACCCTCTGGTAATTTAACATAACTATGGAAAATCACCATTTTTAATGCGAAAATCCACTATAAATGGTCATTTTCAATAGCTACGTTAAATTACCAGAGGGTACTTCCTTCCTTCTTCCTTCCTTCTCCTCCGGCAGCCTCGGATCGCAACTGGGAGCTCCGCATCTCAGTGGGCACTGCCGGACCTCAACCACGAGCGCCAGATCTCAGTGGTTGGGCCCCGTAGTGCCCATCTTAGAGAGATGTTTGACTAGATTCCAGATAGAATGGCAGAATAGAATGCCAGATACAATGCCAGAATAGATGCGAGAAAGTATGTCAGACTAGATGCCAGATAGAATGCCAGAAAGAATGTCAGCATACATGCCAGAAAGTATGTCAGAAAAGGTGCCAGATAGAATGCCAGAAGAATGTCAGAGTATATGCTAGAGAGAATGTCAGATAGAATGTCAGAATACATATCCAATATGTACTTCCAGGTAGTATGTCAGAAACTATGTCAGAGTCAGAATAATGTCTCAGGGTGGGGTTCACTTGAAGATCTCGAAGAAAGTCATTTGTCACGTTTGGTGGTTTTCAATTGTGCTCCAATGTGGATATGGGTCAATACCTATTAATACCATTTTTAGGGGGATGAACATCCATTTACCAGCTGTTTTTGGGTTCACTAGGTACCAGGGTTTTGACCCATCCCCAATTTATCCCAGTCGATAGTTCCAATTCTTTGCAGGCAGAAGCGGCATTGCGTGAGAACTCATCGTGCGCTGAGGGAATCGGCTTGATGCTGTTGCCCACCCAAAACGAGCAAAGTCAGCAATCATTCAATGGGAATTTCAGGATCCTAAAATGGAGGTACGTTAGTACCATATAAGGTCATATTTTGTGGGGATATTCCCTTACATAGGCCTGAAAAATAGGCCTTATAGATGGTAGGTACCTCCAATTTAGGTTCCTGAAATGGCCATTGAATCATGGGGATTGATATTGGTCCCTAACCATAGAGTCCCTTTAAAAATGGGGAGATTCGAGGCAAACAATGGGACATCAATCACAGAATCTGGGGTTTTAGCAAGCATACCCTCTGGTAATCAAACATGGTTTGCTGGAAAATATCTTCCCATTAAAACCTCCATTTACATCAATTTATAGCAGAGGGTGTATGGAACAAAATGAACAAATCGCTGATGAAATTTCCATCCCTGGTGGGTGACTGACCTAGATCTAAAACATATTTCCAATCACTCAGACGATTGGAAGGCAGCGAAAAATGTTTAAACATTCATCATCCACTTGCCAACGATTTTCATGTGCATCAGAGTACTATTTGTTTGATACACAATGATACACAACCAAATTTAAAGTAACCCCGCACAAAGATAGGACATTATAGAACCATAATTTATCACCGTGGGTTCCTATACACCCATTAATTAATATGTATATATATATATATATGTAATATTGATATGTATATTGTATATATATATATTTAAATCATTGTTTTGTTCCCATGATATTCCATCAAAAACCACCGTTGTTGTTTTTGATAATATTAACATCCTCCCGTTATGTTGATTCTTCTCCCATTGCTGGCCCTAGGGCCGACAGCGTGGAACACCGCATTGCCTTCGAAAGAGAACTGTGGGTTCCCTCAGAGTGATGAGGATATCCAAGATGCGGTCCCCCAAAGCAGTACAAATTTTACCAGCAAAAATTGTGATTTATTGGGATTAAATGGATTTCAAAGGATTTAGATAGGTAAATTGGATATAAGGATATAACTTATATAGCTATAGTTGGGCAACTGCCATTGGTTGATACGGATTGTATGTTTGTTGTTGCGTCCGATGGATCGTAAGTGAATTTCTAAGTCACCAGTCACTAGTCAAACTGGGGTATATCTTAATGCACAACTGGATTGTACTATTGTTTAACCAAGGATGCTAGCTGGGATGCACATCCAAGTATCCATCATAGGGTCCCCCCAGAACCCTTGTTTTTTAGACATTCATTCTTGGGGGGTCCTTATTGCTGAATGTACCCACTTAGTTCGACGAGTTCGTCATATACTTCTTAAAAACGGGTATTTTTGCATCATTTTTTTTGTGATTTTCCACGGCAAAATGGTGATTTTCCATGATTTTCCATGATTTTCCATGGTACCTTTCGAATGAGGGTACCTCTTGAAGATAGAGCTCCCGGTGTCGTGGCCCAGGTTGGCTCTGTGCGTCGCTGTGTGCGACAGACGGCCAGATGTGGCCAGGGGCGAGGTCGCGGAAGGACCGATTTGTCGAAGGTCACTTGGAAGGTGAGCGTTGAACCAATTGTGAAGTGATTGAAGTGCCACCTTAAAGCATGAGGAATTAACATGAATTAACCAACAAACATGAATTAATATGTTGTTTAACCATCAATTAACCAACATATATATTAACCATCAATTGACCAACAAACATGTTGTTTTTTTTGTTTTTATTTTTCTGGGTGATTGTATGCCAATATTGTGGGATGGTCATCAATCCATTTTCATACATTTTCATTCCGGGAGATCCATTGTAAGAAGGATTCCCAATCTGGGATGAAGGACCAGCAACGGGGCCATGCCGTGGCCATGACATCCTTGGGATTTGCCCCGAGATTCTAAGTGGTTTGTGTATGTCCTTGGCTCCCATGACATATCCCCTATGGATGGTGTAAGATGGAACTAAGCATGTAACGCTGCCGAGTTTTCTGCCGAGTTTTCTGCCGCCAGGAGTTCTGGGTTTTTTGGTGCGCGTGGCAGTCTCCGAAGAATGGCGCGGAGTCAAGGAGGTCGATCATCCCATGGATCACATCATCACATCATGTATACCCTCTGGTAAACTAACATAACTATGGAAAATCACCATTTTTAATGGGAAAACTGACTATAAATGGCCATGTTCAATAGCTATGTTAGTTTACCAGAGGGTAACTGGGTTGAAACCCCACTTACTAACTGCGTAAAGTAAGAATCTTTGTTGATCCTCAAAGTAAGAATAAATGAAATCCCTAACTGGGATGAAGGGATCTTGATCATCCTTGAAATCCCTAACTGGGATGATCCTCAAAGTAAGAATCTTTGTTGATCAGCTCCTCAGCGTTCCCAGAATTTCCACACTAAAACCAAGCACGATGGGTGTATAGTGGGAACATACCTAGTGGATTTTGATGGCATAACACCAGAAAATTATATACAGTATACAATATATAATCTTATACATATATATATATATATATTATATATATATAGAAAGATAAACATATATGGACAGATCCACCAGAAGAAATATGCACAAATATAAAAGACCTATCAAAATTCCCCATGTCAGGTGGTACTCTTAAAGCTCGGCGAGGCAAAGGCGCAGGACCGCTCCGGAATTCGCTCCAGTTTGCAACTTTGGGGAGGATCAAGCGGTAGCCAAGGTTTGCCAGAGTATACTGTTGCATAATTATACAATGCCAATGCACAATATATATATAATATAATATAATCTAATATAATATAATATAGTATAATATAATATAATATGATATGATATGATATGATATAATATAATAAAATATAATATTATATATTATATATTATACATTATATATTACATGTATCATATATAATGTATAATATATGATGTATAATATATAATGTATAACATATAATGTATAATGTATGATATATAATATATAATATAGAATATTTAACATATAATATCTAATATATAATAATATATATATATATAATACAATATATATAATATATGATATATGATATGTGAGATAATGTATATATATATATATGTATATATTGTTATTTGTATTTTGTTTTATTATTCTTAATTCTTAACTATATATATATAGATAATTTAGTTATCATAGTCATAGTTATCTAATGTATTCAATTGTAATATATTATCACTATAAAATGGTGCTGATCCTTGCCCCCGTTCATTTTAAACACCCCCTGGAAACCAGTGTTTTTTTGTTGGATGAAAGCACATACTTGAGACCATATTATAGGGGTGTTTAAGATTAGGAGGATTTCCAGACCCTTTTGGGGATGATGAACCCGTGATACATGTTTTTGTCTTTTATGGCTTGAAATCAGCAAATCAGTGACACAGTTGTTTCCCAACCCTGGTTCTTCCCCTGTTACCCATGTTGTGTGTTATCTAACACCCACAAACACACTTGATTCATCTTGATCGGACTGAAAATCATCTTTCCTGACCAAGGCCGAAAAAAAGAATCCGCTGTACGGAAAACTTCCAAGATGCAAGATACACTATTTTGTTGATTGAACATGTCCAACAACACGCTCCCCTCTGCTTGTTTACCCATTCATGCCTCAGCTGCTGGTGTCTCCGTCTTTGCCTCCGAACAGTGGATCACTCTGTCAAAAAAACAGAATCCATTTGACAGAATGTAAGTTCATCATGAAGAAGTGACGTCGCTTCAACAAAAGGTTTCTCTCCTGAATCATGAAAAAGCAGCCTCTGCAGCAGGTGCAGCGGCTTCAGTTGCCTGCGTGAGACAACTGCAAGAGTTTTCAAACGAGACCTGAATCTTGTGGCTCTCTCTCTCCGTGCCCCCTTGAGAACACCAAGTACAGTAATCCGAAATCTCGACTCAAAATTGCTGACAATGATTCACAATGCCACAGTTGAATCACATTTGCTTGACATTTTCCAAGCCCAAACGAAAGCTCCAACCAAGATCAAATGTCACAGTTTCATGCCTCGGCAGCCGGAGTCTCCTGAGGCGTCTCTGCCTTTGCCTTCCGGAGGGAACAAGTACATTCCAAACGGATAGGATGACAACCATGGCTTCACTGAAAAACACCAAAGCCTACACCTGAGAGAACTGGATTCCAAGTTCTGTTTTCATCTGTGGCTGTCTGTGGCTCTTTTGCACTTGTTTCAACATAACAGCACTTGTTTGCTATAGCGGCCTCGGCTGGTGCAGCAGGTGTTTCGGTTGCACTTGTTTCCGCCGGAGCCGGAGAAGAAACCCGAGGCAAACGAGTAGCCAGCGAACGTAGACACTTTGCGGTGGAAAATCACCATGTTTAAAAGGTAAATCATTTACCTTTTAAACATGGTGATTTTCCACCGCAAAGTGTCAACGTTCGCTGGCTACTCGTTTGCCTCGGGTTTTTTCTTCTCCTTCTCCGGCTTGGCGGATCTCGCAACCTCCGCGGTGAAAAACTCATGGGGAGATCGAGGAGATCATGCGGGAAAACTATGGAAAATGGCCCAGTCGAAATAGTTGATTTACCCAGCTATAAAATGGTGGTTTTCCGTAGTTATGTATACGTTTACCAGAGGGTAACATACGGTGGATGGCAACGCGAAATCCGACGCACCAGTTGATGGTAAACATCCCATGATTTTGGAAGTGAAAAACCATCCTTTTGGTGGTGGATTTCGCAATCATCTTCAACATGTCCATAAAATGTGGATTGATTCAATGTCAATATCACAAAAATAGTTCAGCATCAATGTTTCACTTCACCATCAATAATGGAGATGATGTTTTGTGAAGTGGATTGGTGGATAGATTCTTGGGATGATTTCTGGATGATATATATATATATATAAAATGATAATTATTAACTCCAGCCCCCTTTTGATGATCATCAAATTTCCCACTACGTCAGTCTCAATTTCTGTGAGATGTTCCGTGGCAATTGCCCCGCTTCTTCTGTCATTTTTCACACTTCAGCGTCCAGATTCCGGACCAAATGCGATTCCATATGGCTTCCGGGTCAATTTGGGGGATGAACATCCATGCCATAACTTACTGGTGCTAAACGTAGGGAATGGATGGGTTGCTGGGGGTTGCTGGGATTATTATTCATAGTGATTGTGGATCATTCCCGGAAATTCCCTACGTTTATATAGCAGAATATAGCACCAGTGAAATAAATCCATCAGCTATGGATTGATGTTCGCTACAAAAAACCTTGACCCATCCCCATATGGAATGGATGAAATAATGATGAAATCCCCAGTGATGGTGAAATCCCCCATGGCTGGCAGCATCGGATGAACATCCATAAATCCCAGCTATGGATAATCTATGGTTAATCTATGGATAATTTGATGTGGGCTACAAAAAACTTTGACCCACCAGGAATTGTCCCAAAGTGCCTCCAAATCCACTGGTTTATCCCATCAAATCCCCGCTGTCGATGCATTAAACACCCCTGTTCTATGATCCCAATTATGTGGTTTCATTCAGTTTCATCCCCAAGAACAAACAATGAAAAACATGGTTTCCGGGGGTGTTGCTTCAGGGCTCTTCACGGGTTTCAGGGAAATCTGGTGAGATTTGCGAAAAGTCATGGCCGCCATTCGCGGTTTCCAGCGGTCCAAACATGCGATGCGACGACTGCTGCGAGGAAGTGCAAGAGATGGCAGACCAAGTGAAATCCGCCGTGTGGCTCTTGAGCCGTTTCAAGGGAGCTTTTTGCGCCAGAAGTGGGGCAGCATGAGTCAAAGCCAAAGACATGCCATTTTTTAAGGGGGATGAACATCCAGTTATACTGATGTGAAAACAAGGCTACCATAGTTTTGACATGCTTTAACCCATAACCATGTGTTGTTCATTATTTTTCGATGTTTTTCGGTTCTTTGCTTCTCCCCAGGCTGGTAAGTTTAGGACTGGACATCTGGGGTCAAAGGAGTGAAAGTCTCATAAACTGATGGGACGTTGTATGGGGTAAAAAATCAATACCCACAGAAACACGGAACCAGACAAATCATAGGAAAATTGTGATTTAACCAACACAAATACGGATTTGGTGGGATTTATAGCTGATTTATGTTAGCTAAGTTGGTAGACATAACTCCAATTTCACGTATCATGGTTATTTGATCTACGGTATCATTGATAAACCACAAGCAAATTCAGAAAGCACGGACCAAACCATCCATTTCTTGGTGTTGACTTTTTGAGCCACAGCAATCTTGAAAAATTAGATGATATATCTTCACAATCCGAAACCAGTTGTAGCATGGATTCGGATTTTTTGTTGTGTTGTATTTCTCCATACCCACAGCATCAGGTCGATATTCCATGGTATTCCATTCTTCAATAGCTTCTTTTCATATTCTTTCAACCCTAGCCATACGGGTTTGTCCGAAAATAGAGTACCACTACTGTAAATCCCACTGTTTCCCAGTTTTCCTAGGAAATTGTCATTTTGGCGGTTTCTCCCAGTTTCAGATGAAACGAAAAATGGTATCAAGTTGGTTAGTCTTATCGCATTATATTCCATTTCTATCTCCGTTATTGCTGGGATTTAGTTTATGTATCAATATTGCCGAGATATCATTATTGCTGGTTATTACTTGAGATATTGAAAATTGCAATAATTGCTGTTATTCTCTATCATTCCCTATCCCACAAATTGATTGCCCCATTATTTCATGAAATATAATTGTACCATGATTTCTCTAAAAACAATAAGATTATTTCCGATGTTTGTGGCAATGAATCCTCAATCTTTATCCACAATAAGTCCACAGTATTGCCCCATCATTTCTCTATCAATATCATGTGATATAGAAATTGATACCCTCTGGCTATTTAACATAGCCATGGTATAGATGGCCCATAGAAATAGATGGTTAACCTATTTAACAATGCTGATTTTCCATGGCTATGTTAAATAACCAGATGGTATATAGAAATCATAGAGAAATGACAAATCCTATATCATTTCCATATATCATTTCTATAAATCCTTGATTTATCTATTTCCATGATTTCTATATATATATATCATTTCTATACCAAGCACTCCATATATTTTTCCAAGGCGCGAGACTTTTGGGAAGCACAGCTCAGTGGTGATGCGCCACAGCGTCTGGCCCGGGGTCCCCAGTGGGGATGATCTGATTCAATGGGGATTATAATACACCATAGGAATAACTACGAATCAACCAATACCTGGTTGGTGGTTTGGAACATTTGGATTATTTTTCCCATCATATTGGGAAGAATCATCCCAACTGACTTTCATATTTTTCAGAGGGGTAGGTCAACCACCAACCAGATACTGTTTTTTTTGGTTCCCAACATTTGGATTATACTACTAATGTTGGTTGTTTCCAACTCATTGGGATGATTTTTCCATGTCATATATGGGATGTCATCCTTCCATTGACGAACTCACTCCATGATTTTTCAAGATGGGCACTGCTTGCACCAGATATAACCAGATATAACCAGATAAAGATGGGGACTTACACCAGAAATGAATAGATTTCGTGGGGATATATCTGGTTATATCTGGTTGGTTTATCCTCTAGTTATATCTGGTTATCTCTGGTTAATGGGGACTTAAACCAAGATGGTTATGATGGTTTATTCTCTCATTTTTGGAGATAGAAGTACCTTAAATGGCCATTTTTATTCATGGGAACATGTGGATTCAACTACTGGAAAGAGTGGTATACCATCTGGTAAAACATAGTATAATGGTAATCCACATGTGGATTCAACTATCCAAATATAGTGGTATATCATGATATACCAGCTATTTAATGGGAATACAATGAGATATGTTTGGGAAAACATATATGATACTGTACCTTTCTGGTAAGTTAACATAGCTATGAAAAAAAAAAGACTTTATTTTTGCAAAAGGTAAATCATCTACAAATGGGCCATTTTCGACAGCCATGTTAAAGTTCCAGAGGGTACATCGATTTTACCAAGATGTTACCAAATTCAAGAGATAGAAAAGTAGTTGACCACTGAATCAACATGCCTTTTTAAATCAAAATCTATCTTTTTGGCTGTTTACGAGAAAAGGACACCTTTAAAAAGAGGTCCACATTGCCAGAAACAGAAAATCATATAAAATAAGGAAACTGCAGCTGACACTTGAAGTTTGACTTTCTATCCGGGGCATACCCTCTGGTAAACTAACATAACTATGGAAAATCACCATTTTTAATGGGAAAACTCACTATAAATGGCCATTTTCCATAGCTATGTTAAATTACCAGAGGGTACATTGGAAGGGGAAAATCCACCAATGCTTGGGGCTCCTACCAGCCATCCCGAAGAAACAACATCGCCACAAACGTTGTAAAATTTGTGTCCATTCCAGGCACCGCTTAGGTAGATTTGTCCCTGAAGTTGAGGGAACATTTGAGCAGTGTTCAAAACGTTAATGATTTTCATAGATGTTGAATGATTTTCATGGAATTCGAGTAAATCTATAACTATGTGTTTCGTGTATATGCCCATCATATCCCCATTGTTGCTGGGCTCCGTATCCTTTTCCTTTGGGAATTCAACTCGTCAATGAGAAATCCAGAAATTTCTGCTATATGTCCCTGTGGTGCCTCCAAGTTATGTTTGTTGCTTCATAGCCACCATTAACGATAGATATATATGCAGTATCCATAAACCCAATCTTTCGCCTAGTTACAAACCAACTTATATTCAGATATATATGTTCATATAATTTTCCAGGATTGTCCAACCAGGTCCAAGGTTTCCATTCTAACCTGCCACATCCGAGGCAGACCTCTGTCTTCGTTTGGGTGGCAAGATAGAACATGAGCCCGAGCGCTTGGAGTGCTTGGTCTATGGTGCCCCACTTCTCAGGATGATTTGATGAGATATTTGATGAGATGGTTAAGATTTGCACTTATATGTTGCTTCAGATTCGGTCCATACATAAGCCCTTATGTTTGGCAGGATCACCAAAATTTGGGAGGGTGCTTGAATCCCCACAAAGTTTGGTTTTGATTCAATGCGATGTTGGTGGGTGCAATCTTCGCTGCCACGACAGGCATATCTTTCCCCTCAGCCCTAGAACTGCCATTTTTTTTTTGTGAAGAAGTTGTGGATCTCAAATCGGATTGGTTTAAGGGAAAATCTAGAGGAAAGACCCATATTATCCCATATTTACCCTCTGGTAATTTAACATAGCTATTGAACATGGCCATTTATAGTGAATTTTCCCATGAAAAATGGTGGATCTTTCCATAGTTTTTTGTATGTTTACCAGAGGGTAACAGGAAAATCGATGGTTTCCGGTTCCAATTTTCCCAGCAAAAGCAATCCAATGAGGATCCCATTGATTGATCCATTGATCGATCCAAGCTGAGAAGGGCATCCCAGCTGGGTATCCAAGCGATATGAAAAAAATGACATCTCACTTAAGTGGTTGGTGGTTTGGAACATGACTTTTATTTTTCCATATATATATAAATATTATATATATATAAATATTATATATATATTGGGAATATATTTTTTCCCAACTGACGAACTCATATTTTTCAGAGGGTAGGTCAGCCACCAACCAGTTCTAAGTGGTTCACGTGAAAGTAAGTCTTCCTAAGTGGGATGACCCTTTGAAGAAAGCGGAAATGCCAGGAAAGGCAGCGGGCTCAGGAAAAGGCAAGCTCTTCCAAATGTCCAGTGTTTTAGAAAGCTTAGGACCCATTAGTCTCAAAACCATTAGGTAGATGGGAACCATGACCCAGTGACATATCCATTTGCCAGCCACATGCCGGCTTGTGATGAGCGGTGATTGTGTTCTGAAGCGACCTCGCACAATGGTCAATATCAGGAAAATAGTCAAAATTACCTTACTTCGAGTAATCCCGACCCTGACGCACTATCCTGACATAGTTTCTGACATATCATTTGGAAGTATATGTGGCATACATATTCTGACATTCTTTCTGGCATTCTATCTGACATATGTTCTGACATACTTTCTGGCAGAAATTTTGATACTCTTTCTTGCACTCTATCTGGAATTCTATCTGGCATGTGTTCGGGTCCAGGCGTGCCCTGCATCCGAAGCTCGGGATGACAAGGCTGACATCAGGCTCTAGAGACCCTCACCTGGGTGGGGAATTGGGAGCAGATTCAAAACGACGACCCCACCAAGGGTTTGAGATTTAAGATGAATTACTTTATCCAGAATGGGTGATAGGCTAGGAATTTAAGTTCTCATTTGCAAATCCAAGTGATTGCCAACTGCTTGCCCAGTCAGAGAGAAGGAAAGCCTCACAAATCCAGACAGTGAAACCCAATGCTTGTCCTGCAGCTTTTCCCTCCAATCCATCCTACTTGTTTGCTGATGAAATCTCCAGGTTTCTTTTATTAGCATTCCAATCTTCCATGTTTATCCATTAACTTTGTTGATTAATCTCCATATCTGGTTGGTGGTTTGGAACATGTTTTTTTTAATTTTCCATATATTGGGAATATTTTTTTCCCAACTGACGAACTCATATTTTTCAGAGGTAGGTCAACCACCAACCAGATATGTTATATCTAGAATATCTATATATAATCCCATCATATAATCATATATAACCACTATCATTGGTATTAATAACCATATAATCACTATATAATCCCATGATTGATTATTTTCTATATGTTACTAACATTTACTAACCACTATTATTGGTATTATAACCACTATTGTAACATATTATAAATCCCTCATTCGTGGCTCATATTGCTTTTCAGGTCCAGCTTCATCCCTGCAACTCTGCTGGGCCCCAAGCAGATGGCCCTATGGGTCGAGTGATTGGGGCAATGGATATGGCGGATTTGACCATGCATTCTTTGTCTGGTGCTTAGTAAGGAATGATGGGATAATGAAACTAAGAACTAGATCCCATGTAAATCACTGGGGTTATAACCCAATAGCCCACTTACGAGCCGTGGGATGAGCCACCAAGTAAGGAATGATGGGATGAATCGTTAATAGTATAAATAATATAAATCGATATAGATATAACTAGTTATATAACTAGTTATTTTGTGATCATTCCCCCATTCCGGCCCCATTGCCTGCGTTTAGCACCAGTAAGTTGTGCGAGAACATTTTGGATTTGCTCAGTTGTCTACTGTCGCATACCTCTTCAATAACCCCATTATTCATAATTCATCTGGAAATGTAAACTGGTAAACTATCTCATGTGATGGATTTCCAGAAGGAAATTGGGGGTTTCTGCAATAGTGCCTTTTGTGATTCAGGATGATTTGTAGCGACCTCCTAGCTGTTTTCTGGTGGTTGTAGATCAAGTACAGATGGCGTGCTGCAGGGAGTGCTTTATTGCACAAAGATCTGCCAACCACTAGTGACTAGTAAACATATATAGATAATATATATATATATATATATCAATCTAGCGCATTTTTGTACCACTCTCATGTAGTCAGACATGTAGATATGGACTAAAGCCAGTCGTCACCCAGTTCGTCAGCCAGGGCATCATGTCGCTTCCCAGAGAGCCCAGGCAGCTTCTCCTGTCCTTGGCTCGGAAATCGGAGTGGATCTCAGATCTGAGGGGGTGAAGAGCCAGATCTATGGTGCCCCAGTTCGTTAGCTAAGTTGGTTTATACCCTCTGGTAAATTAACATGGACCCTGAAAATAGCCTAGTTTTAATGGAAACTAATCTTTCAACCCCGATGACTGCCAGGGTCTATGTTAATTTTCCAGAGGGTAACTCCAATAACTATGGTTTATGGTAGATATATCTATAGTAAATGGGCTTATAAAGAATTTATAGCTGGGGGGGGGGCACCACCTTGTATGAATGATCCATAGCGGAAGATGATTCTGGAAAATTGATGAAAATTGCCTGTTGAAGCCTGGCAACCACTAGTCTATCTGGGTTGATATGGGTCGGTTTACGTCCGATTGACTACCTTTCTGTTGGGCTTCGGGTTTCATCCCAGTTGTTTGGTCCCTCTGAACAGCGCTTTCGATGTTTGACGCGGGTTACGGGTTGTTCAAGGCCGATTATCGACAGATCAAGAACAAGCCCCTGTCCGACATTGAGTTCCGTCCCATGCAGGCGCAGTCTGGTCCTCCCAGGTGAGGCCCAGAGTTTTCGCGAATTTCGATCCAAGAACTCCGATCCAAGAACTGTTGGGTTTATGGCAATCATAAGTGCAATAACTAGAAATCATGGAAGTTATAAATCAAGATGTAACAGGGGGCCCACCTTGTGTAAATTAATGATGATATTGGGGATCTAGTTCTTAGTTGTTCTTAGTAAATTTAAATATCTCGAGATCTTGGTTCCCGATCGGCATCGGATAAATCAACAAGTTTCTGAAAACCTGTTGCATGGCCAGGGTTCTTCGGATGTGGATTATGGCTTATGGGTCATTCTTTCCTAGGTACCAAAGTGAAAATAATCTATTGACTATAATTCTAGCTGTACCCCAGTCACGTTTCACCTGTCTTTCAGGTTGAGTCAGGCTGATACACCACACAGAATTCGTTGGGCGCGAGCCTTTTCACCTAAAAGCCTGACAGATAACTTTCTTTCAAAATGCTGTCATGATCCGATTTAAACTGTAGAAGTGCACAGAAGTGCAAATCCATCATTTACCCTCTGGTGAACTAACATAGCAATGGAAAATCACCATTTTTAATGGGAAAATCCACTATAAATAGCCATTTTCCATTGCTATGTTAGTTCACCAGAGGGTATGTCCGCCAAAAAAAACAGACCATAGGGGACCTAAGAAACACAGCGATTTAGACACCTTTTGGTGCTAAGCCAAAAACTATTTCAGCTACCCAAGTTTGACCACATACGAAAAAGCCAAACATGTGACATGCTATTTGCATCTATTTGCCAGCGCTACTTGGCAGGTTGGATTCCGTAAAGGGTGAGTCATATTTTCTGCAGCTGTGTCCAAGCATTCCAATTCAAACATGTTCAAACAGTTTTTCTCTGACACATGGCCCAAACGACATTGGAGTTACCCTCTGGTAAACTAACATAGCTATTGAAAATGGCCATTTATAGTGGATTTTCCCATTAAAAATGGTGATTTTCCATAGCTATGTTAAATTACCAGAGGGTATCAGCGGTCATTTGGTGGAGTGAAGAGTAGCCTTGGGGCGTACCCTGATGTAACGCCTCGCATCTACCCTCTGGTAAACATACAAAAAACTACAGAAAATCACCATTTTGAATAGGTAAATGAACTATAAATTAGATATTTTCAATAGCTATGTAACAAATTACCAGAGGGTAAATGCATTTAGCTATTAAACAAAATGCTGCATTGGAGACTCAGGTCAGGCCCCCGAAACGCTGGAATGGAGGTTTCGAGGTAGGAACACCCCATTGATTTCGTGGGGATACAGGGTGGAAGTCCTCCCAAGACAAACAAGTTCAGTACCTTATTGATTGAAAGTCTGCAGCGGGGGATTAACGTTGCTATCCTGCCAGGACCATCACGATTCATGATTATTCATATTCATATCTATCAATATCTATTAAAATACATAGCTGTAGGTATCCCTGATACATCAATATACATCATACATCATCATTCATATACCTCTTACTTCAAGAGGATCAGAAACTGCATTGATGATTTCAAACAAGAATCATTTTCCAACGGTTTTTGGGACGCATTGAAATTACCAACCAGCAAAGGCGTTCATCAAAACGGCCCGGGATGGAACATTTCCTCCGCAGATCTCGGCATCATCTTGGGCCAGCACTGGATTGTGTGGCTCTAAGCAGTGTGGATCATTGGCCTTTCTCCGAGACTAGAACTAGTGTTGATGAAACAGAGGCGTTATCTATTTTTTTTATATTTGGTTATTAACTAGAATTATAGTATATTATAGTTATTTTCAAATTAAATAGCTATTAGCAAACTCTACTCATTAGCCCTCATTCATTTAATTGGAATATATCTAAGTTTATTGTACTTGGTCCATTGGTTTATGTTACCCGAAACCAAGTGCCGATCTTTCGCGATGGTGACACATTTGTTCAACATTTTTCAAGCGGGGAAATCCCCGAAATAAATGGAGGTTTACAGCTGGGAAAAGCATCTATGAATGGAACAAAATCTGGTTGGTGGTTTGGAACATTTTTTATTTTTCCATATATTGGGCATAATAATCCCAACTGACTTTCATATTTTTCAGATGGGTAGGGCTCAGCCACCAACCAGAAATCCACTGCCATGTGTGATTACCGGGGAATGGATCCCATTTCCCTAATCTTACAGTAGCTATACCGTAGCTATACCCCTGTGATTAACGGTCCCATTGCCATGTGTAAAACTTCATCCCCTACTAAAGCTTGGTTTGTAGCAGGTGTTCCAGTGGTGAACGGGGCATGGAATTAATTGGTGGAGATTCAATATGTTTTGGTGTCCTTTGCATGTCTGATTGTTTTAGGTGAATTTCCATGTTCAACCAGGTTTGTCTCTCTATTGGCCGATTCCAGATCTTGCAGATGCCTCCAAAATTCTCAAAATTGGGTTTCCTAAAATGGGGGTACCCCTAAAATTCATCCATTTTAATAGGATGTTCCCTTATAAACCATCCATTTTTGGGTATCTCCATTTATGGAAACCCCCAAATGGGAGTCACATTTCAGAATCCCAACCGATTTTCTTCTTGACTTCAGAGCCTTGCACGCACAATCCCCTTCCATGCTTCAAAATGCCTGAGAATCTAGGGACACTCCAGGAGAAACACATCAACCCTGCATTCTATTTGACTGGTCACAAACCACAATATATGTTATATAGACACATCATAAAACCACAACTTAGGCTAGCCCCAAAGTGCTTTAGCATCTTTCAACTACCAGATGGGAACACCAGTTTGAAGTTGGTTTAGTTTCACCCCATTGTTTATAGTTATACGGTTATACTTGCCATAAGCCCAACAGTTATTGGAGTTATGTCTACCAACTAAGAAAAGCAGCTATAGTTAGAATCACATAGATTCCCATGTTTTCCTTGGTGAAACCAGTTTTTCTAACCAACTTAGCTAACATAAATCACCCATCAAATCACCTGTTTTTCATGGTTAAATCACCATTTTTGTTGGTTAAATCACCTTTTTTCCATGGTTCAATCACCATTTTTGTTGGTTAAATCACCTTTTTTCCATGGTGAAAAGCACCATTTTTCCATGCTGAAATCACGCTGAAATCACCATGCGACAACCGAAGGCCTCAGACCTTTCAGTTGGGCTCCGCCTGGGCGTCCACGCTACGTGGATCTCATAGCCAGACGTGGCCCGGCACTGGCGGCGAAGCGGCGAAGTGGGCTGCGGCGAAGCGTCTGTGTAAGTCATGAGGGTCTGAAAATTCTAAAGTTATAACAGTTATATACTATTGTTGTTGATTATACCAGATTATAGATGGTTGATATATATATATATATAGGGTTACTCAACATCAACCACTAGGAATCACTATCTGGTTGGTGGTGACTGGAACCATGGAATTCTATAACTTTCCATATATTGGGAATATACTTTCCCAACTGACGAACTCATATTTTTCAGACGGGTTGAAACCACCAACCAGTGTTGATTATACCAGATTATAGATGCTTGATATAATTGATATAATTGATATAATTACCAGATGGTTGGTAATGGTTGGTTGATATTTATTGATATTGGGTATAGTGTGGGTAGAGCAATGCCATAAACCACCCATGACTGAGAACGGTAAGTTTATACCACATATATTTATGGTGATGACTGGGGGATGGTTTATGGCATTGTTTTACCCACAAAACCTCATATTCCAGTGGTTTTGAACATCATGTTCACATGAAATACAGGAGAAGTGCTAAGGTTTTGGGAAATCAGTGCATAAGAACCGAAATATGAAGTTTGTTAATATATTGTTAAAATTATCAAGTGCTTGGGAGGGAGGGGTGAGCTTAGTGACTTAGTGGTTCAGGGGAAAGCATGGGGAGCCACTTGGAGCTACAAATTGAGTTTCCAAACCATACGATAGAAGAAAAAAAAGACATGTGTTTCCAGGATGTGAAGTCGATGATGTTTCCTGAATAGTTTCCAGGTGTCCACCTTTTCTATGGATTTGGGGGGTTGCTACAACAGGCTTTTGATGTTAAATGGTGGTTTCCGGTGCCCCGAAATCATCCAAACTGAGACTATAGTTATTTTAGTATTGAAGCCCATGGTCCATTGGTTTTGGGCATCCATTTTAAGATTTTTTCAGAAACCAAATCTGGCAATTAGACAAAACTGCTGCAGAAATCCCCCCATTTTGCCCGGATGCCCTCTGGTTATGACTAACAGTTCGCCATGGTATAGATGGCCCTAATCGAAATAGATGGTTTACCGTTCTTAAAAATGGGTAGATTTTCCATGGCGAACTGTTAAATCCCATAGAAATAGATGGTTTACCTATTAAAAATTGTGATTTTCCATGGCTATGTTAGTCATAACCAGAGGGTAAGTCCTCCTTCTCTGAGGCGCTCCGGTGCTGGAGGCGGACGTTTTTCCTGGAGATTTTGGGAGAAAAATGCTGAGATTTTTCACCGATGATTCAAGAGGTGATGTACCCGGCCTGGTAAACATACCAAAAACATCCAAAAACGATGGAAAGATCCACCATTTTTAATGGGAAAACTCACTATTTCGACCGGGCCATGGCTTCCAGTTCGCAAAGTGTTTACCAGAGGGTAAGATGATTCACTTGGGAAAAAATCTGGCGATGGATCAGCATTCAGAGGCCGTGCACCTGACGTGGCCGGGTCAGTGGTGGCTTCACTCTCAGCAGAGGTGCGGAACCGGCTAATTTTGGGAGAAAACCGGCGTTTTTTCCGAAGGGTTTACCCTCTGGTAATTTAACATAACTATGGAAAATCATCATTTTTAATGGGAAAATCCACTATAAATGGCCATTTTCAATAGCTATGTTAGTTTACCAGAGGGTAATGAGTTTCATGAGTTTAAAATGAACTGTTAGAGCCATTGTCCATGGGTTTGAACGATTTATAACATGTAACATCACTGGATTTGTCCGTTTAAAAATGATGATTTGATGGTTCAATTGATTTAATGGTTCAATGGTGGATTTAAATTTTTAAAAAATAGGGTTGAACCAGCAAAATAGGGATTGAAACATGGATTTGGGTGTGTCTGAAAATTGTTGTTGTTTTATATTTTGAGGCAGACCCAAATCCACCATTTTCCTGTGAAAATTGAATTCCCTGCTAAATGAGGATTTTATGACCACACATCAGGAACACTGATTAATTCCCCAGGTTTAATCCACCATGTACATTTACCATTTTCTCTGCCAATATGCCAATTTGTCATTACTGTTATTGATGATATACCAACTTGAAACCCCAGTTTTGCTGGTGAATATTCCCATGAGATTCAATCTTTCTTGGGCCAACCCTCCATTGGTGATAAACAGATGTTGAGTCACGCAGACGGAGGTTGCATTCATCATTCAATTGTGGTTTTAACCTACATGTTTTGTTGTTTTGAAAGGTTTATAAGCCAGCAAAACGAATGCTTAAGGTTGGCTTAAAGCTCCATTTTTTAGCCTCTGGTTATCTAACAATATAGTTAATTTTAGAAAATGACGAAAGATGGCCCATTTAGTTTGATTATTTACCTAGTAAGAAATGGTGGTTTTCCAGTTCGAGCTACGTTTAATAACCAGAGGGTATCATTTTTTGTTACGAGAAAATGTATTATATTTCCATGATGTATCACCATTAAATCACAAAATGGTAAGTATTCCATTATATCAGCATTATATCACCATTTCCATTGTATTCCCATTTTTGGCAAAATGGATTAAATAGGATGTACCGCCATTATATTATATCGCGAGTAAGTCCCATTAGATCCCATTAAATCACCGTATTTTGCGGGTAAAATAGCTATAGAAGCCCATTAAATCATAAAATTGTAAATACTCCATTAAACCTCATTATATCACCATTAAATCACCATTTTAAATAGGTAAACTTTGGGAAACCCTCCATTTTTTACGGTTCAATGCGCCGCAGGCGCTGCCCCGAGAACTTCGTGCTGCAAAGCCAAGGAAGGAGCTGCCGCCAGTGCCGACCTTTGCCGCGCAGGCTGGGGGAGAGGCCCGACTTTCAGGAGCAAGAACGGAATATTAATATAATTATATACGATGATGCTATTAATAATAGTTACAGTTATAGATAGTATGATAGTAGTTTTTTATTATTTGATTATAGTTATATTATATTGTAGTTACAGTAATAAATATAGTTCTAGTAATAGTTTATATTGTATTAATTAGTAATATTGCTATATATAGTAAATAACAATATAATCCATATTAGGAGATAATTATGTATGATACTGTAATGCTTATATATGAGAACAATTGTTAATAATAGCTATGATGATAATTATTATTATGTATAGTTATAGTAGTTGGATATTATTGGAGATAATTGGACCACAATAAATCAGACTCCCCCTAGTTGTAAGATTTACAAGCCCCGTCAACTATATGATTCATATGAATATGAATATGCATATAATTGATTATATAACCCACAATTAATTCACTTGGAGATAATGGTTGATTTTCCATATCTATGTTAGTTGACCCTAGGTACCCAGCTATTTTGGAGCTTTCCTGAAATGGGCATACCACAAGTCGCCATGGGCTTCAATGCTAAAATAGTCATCCATGACTTGGATGATTTGGGGTCCTCCCAATGTGATTGATATAGACTATACAAATACTATATGACTATCTCCAATATGATTATAAATTATATATAATTAAAATAATTGTAGATAATTGGCGATAGTTGGATATATGATTAGTTAAAAGTGAATATGTACAATTATAAAATGTTAAAAGTATAATCATATATTGGAATGGACAAAAATTTAAGCCCTATGAGACCACAGATTTTAGTATGATCAATACTAAGCCTCTATTATTTGGGTATCCAATGTTGACCTATACCTGTAGCATAATACTGTAATTTAATTGAATATACAATCATAATTGAATATATATATATATGAAATATATGAGATAGCTGATTGAATCATCAAACAAATGGATATAATTGGATATAATCATATAATTGGTATATAAGCTATAAATGATAACTGGTTATAACATTGGAATAATCAACTGGGAGTCCCATTCCCAATAACTGGTGAACTAAGAAGCAACTGCTGTTTCCCTAAAGTTGGATTTAATTCACAAAACATGTTTTCTATCCCCAAGAACTCATGATCATGATGCACCATTCGAAGTTTTGCTATACAGGTAACTAACCTGTATATGGACAAACTCTAAGTGTGTAAACAAAAACACTCACGTAATATATATACCATATGTATACAAATATATTTAATATTTCTTTATATGCACAGGCTACTGTAGTTTTCTGCAGTGTTATCGTAAAACTTGGGGAAGCCAACAAACATGGAACATATGGTGTGAAGATGATATACGGTGACCCTCAAACGCGGAAATGGATGGGTTCTATGAACATGATACACTGTACCCTCTGGTAATTTAACATAACTATGGAAAATCACCATTTTCAATGGGAAAATCCACTATTTCTATGGTCATTTTCAATAGCTATGTTAAATTACCAGAGGGTAACCCTGAAACAATGGTTGGATGATTGTAAGGAGTGGGTTCCAATGGGTTCCACGGACTGGATTGTGCATATGGATTGCTAGAATCGATTGTGGAATCCTTATTAACCAACCAGTAAGGAAAGTTGTGGCGGAATGTTTTTGACCCACTGCCCTAACGGAGATATCACCAAACATGTTTCAATCATAGAGAGGTTTGAAAGGCAATTCAAGGTTCCATTTCCTATTTTGAAGACAATGTATATAATTGTGATTCACAGGATAAAATACCAAAGAACAATGTAAAGTAATGTAATTTGGAATAATAAAATCGCGCAAAAAATGTGATTTCAACAGCAGAACAGTGTGGGATAATTGACTCAAAATAGGGATGTAGCAAACAATCAGAAGCCAGGCATTTGGCCAGTTCAGAACGGGTAGTTCACCATCCCTGACGTGCGCATTTTGAGAGGCAAAGTCGACCGCACCAGGCGCGACCGAAACAAAACAAAAACAGATGACGGCGATTGGAAAAGAATCCCCAATGTTTTCTGGTTTTAGTGGGCGATTGATTGGGGTTTTACTACTAGTAATGGGCTGATTCTTATTGGAAAACAAACGGAAGAAACCGTAAGTTTATTCTTAAAGTTGGAATCATAGTTGTTTATACTCGTTACATATGGTTGTTCCAACTATGATTACATATGGTTGTTTGGTTCTGTACTCGTTGGAAGTAAGGTTGAAGGGGAAGTCTCTGAATTGGTTAAGCAATGTTAAACGTATGCACATCTCTTCTGTCTTGCAGCATGATTTCCCAGTGACCTGACAGGTAGAGTCCAAACCCAATGCCATAGCATGTTGCTGTTGCTTTATTTGGCAAGATCTTGCTTCCATTTTGGATTATTATTATATATATATATATACGTATCTGGGTAAATTATAACGACCTCACTGCGACCGAACCCTGAAATCATGGTTAATAAGGGGAATCATCCCTAAATGGCCTTAATTCAGGTTAGTGAAATATTATAATTTACCCAGATATATATATATATTACATGGATTTGGACAAGTGCATGGTGCTGGATGTCAAAGATGCGTATCCCTTGGTCAATGTGTCCGGCCTGAATGTTCCACCACGGAGGAAAAGAGATGGCGCCAGTTGCAACCGGAACTGGTACAGGCGGGCAAATGCCCCAGAAAGAGGGATGGGGTACCGCTAGTTCTCCCAGGTTTGGCAATGTCGATCTAGGAGTCCCATCATGGTACCAGATGATGGATGAATGGCACTCCATTCGTTTGACAATACACTAGAGTCACTAGATGTTTCCCAACCATGGAGGACCCCACCCACCGGGTTTGTCACATAGGGGTACCTTAAAAATCTATAAGATCCTGTGACTTAACATCTCAGTTTCCCATTCAACCGGCAATTTTTAGGGTTTACCCCATTTCTTGAGAAGCAATGTGTGGGAGCTGTAGACCATACCATCCCCTGACGCGATCTTTATGATCGACTATGTTTGGTGCTCAATCACTATGTTTGATGGTGTCAAACCATTGTTGTGTTGAAGTAAATCTCACATGTTGATGGTAACATGATATTTCCTATTTGATGGTTAAATCGCCTATTTTTCATGGACGCATTTCACCAGTTTTGATGGTTCAATGAAATCCAGAGTCTTGATGGAGAATTTGTGGCATTTTTTGTCAGTTTTGCCAGCTTAAAACCACATTTTCCTGAAGGTTGGTGCCTCCTTAGGAAAAGTTTAGGCACCATCCTAAAATTGGGAGGCACCATTTTCCTTAAACTTTATAGCTTTTTACCATTTTCCTTATAGTAAATGGTGCCTCCCAATTATAAGTTGGTTTATAAACCCCATTAACTAGTTCGTTATATCTACCATAAACCATAGAATTCAGTCACTTACAAGGCAACTGAACGCTATCGTCTGGGTGCCCTATCCTGTGGACATTCCCGGTATTTTTGGTCCCCACCAGGTTTGTTGCGGCACACGGAAGAAGACTCGCGCCGCGTGGCCATCTTTCGGCAGGAACGGGAGACAAAGGCGGCCGGTTTTTGGCGGCTGGAAGATCTGCCAAACGGAGTGCTGTACTATGGATTAACATGGTATGACATGGTATAACAACCTCCTTCAACCATCTAATATTAGGGATTTTAATCGTTTTTTTTTTTTTAATGGGCTTAATGCGGTTAAAACAAAGATAAATGAAGTAATTCCCTAATCTATAATTAGTAATTTATTCCACTATGGATTGCGAACATGTATTTCCATTGGATGGTTGTGTAGAAAGATAGTAATCCATAGTAATCCCCAATGGTGGGATTGATTTATGGTGGTAAAAGTGCTTCCAGGTTTCCCACTTTTCGGCATCTGTGACTTGGGGTTACGATTTATTGACTTCAGGGGTAATATATATGACGGAAAATAGTCGTTTAGTAGTTCTTAAATACCATCTGGTTATTTAACATAGCCATGGAAAATCCACCCATTTTTAATAGGTAAACTTCTATAAATGGGCCATCTATACCATGGCTATGTTAGTCATAGCCAGAGGGTAGTTCTTCAACACTTAAAAACGGCGGTCAAACATCACGTCAGAATTCTTTCTTGATCCCAGAGGATTTCACCAATAGCCACACCAGCCATGGTGTGAGAACTAGGGTTACAGGCTACTCTTAACATCTATCAACCACTAGGAATCACTATTCTGGTGGTTTGGAACATGAATTTTATTTTTCCCATCATATTGGGAATAATCATCCCAACTGACGAACTCATATTTTTCAGAGGGGTAGGTATACCACCAAGCAGCTATTAGTCTACATTTGTTTGCTACATACCCTCTGGTTATTTAACATAGCCATGGAAAATCACCATTTTTAAGAACGGTAAACCATCTATAAATGGGCCATTTCCCATGGCTATGTTAGTCATAACCAGAGGGTAAATTGAAAGGTTGATCGAGGGAGTCACTGTCAGGCAGCCCTTGCAACCTTGGAGCGCCGCGAACGAGAGGCCAAGTGGCCAAGAATCTGAATTCGGAGTCCGTAGGGATTTCACCATGATGACCCCATCAACAATGTGAACAATAAATTTCTATGGATACCCTCTGGTAAACTAACATAGCTATTGAAAATGGCCATTGATAGTGGATTTTCCCATTAAAAATGGTGATTTTCCATAGCTATGTTAAATTACCAGAGGGTAATTTGATGATTTGGATGTTAATTCATAAATCTCACCATAATTAACAATTGATTATTCATGATTAAATCCCTAATGATTATCTCAATCTCACCATAATATGAACCATTGAGATTGAGATTTAGTTGACAAGACGGTGGATTTTTTTTTTGGTACCTTAATGTACCTTTTGTTTAACAGAAAACCATATTTTCTTGGCGACAACCTCACCCATCAGGGATACTAAAACAAAAACCAGTCCCAAAGAAATATGTTAAGACTAAATATGTTTTTTGTTTAATTATCAGGCTACAATTTACTTAACATTGTAATATTGAGTAATACACATTGTATCTGAGTTTGTTTCTTACAACTTACTCCAGATTTTGGGGCATCAGATACCCTCCAATGAATCGGAATGAGATGGACCCCCTTGAAAAAAACAAAAATAGGGACGATGACTTTGCCGACAAAGAGATGGCCTAAAATTTGGCGACAGGTGATGATTCAAGTGCCCGGTGAACGCATTGCGGGGTTTTCAACACCTCTTCCTTGACTCCATATCAGGAGGTTCACATCCAGCTTATTCTGCCGTATATTTCCATATATTTCCCTTGGCGTGAAAAGAGACACCAGCTTTTGCTACTATTTGTAACACCAGACAGATCCCCTTCCACACTTTCTTTTGTGACTTGGACGATCACACCAATTAGTACTTGGTTGGTAGACACATGGGGTTAGCTCAGCAATGGTATCAAGCTTGGTGTATAACCAATCAAACATGAACATATGGCCTACATTGATTGGTAAATGGGAATTCAGGCCACTTCCCATCTGGTTATTGAACATAGACATGGAAAATCCCGTAAATCAATGGAGGTTTCTAGTTTCTAGCTGGGAAAATCATCTATTTCTATGGGCCATGGCTTAATCCCATGGCAAACTGTTAGTCATAACCAGGTTGGGTATATCCCATTAAATCCCATTAAACCACCATTTTCCTATGGTTTTCCGATGGTATTTTCCTATGGCTAGCCCTGTTAGTCATAACCAGGTTGGGTCAATGGGAGAATCCCATCGACCAAGTCGACCAAGCCCCCAGGGCAATGAGGAGGACAGCACCGTTGATCTCGTGAGTGGCTATCGCAGCTGGGCGTAACATGCCGGAACTGGGCCATCCCAAACTGCAATCTGTCTGGGTAAATTTCATCACGACCTCACTGTTCTCCCGAACCTGGTTTAATCATGGTTTATGTTAGGGGAATCATCCCCAGCCATGGCCGAACTATTCAGGTTAGTGAATTATTATAATTTACCCAGATGATATAGCGATATACCATGATCTACCCCTTCAAACGTGCATGAAACCCAAATCAGGTCAGATGAAGTTCCTATATTAGTAAACTCTGTATGTTTTCAAAATATGTTGGATTTCATGTTACTCGGTGTAAAATCACGGATGGATATCCTGAGGTGGTTGATTGCTTCCAACTCCGCTTCCACCCCGCCAGTTCAGCTGTTCTTTGTGTTCCAAAATTACCAGAGACTGGGACTCAATACTTCAGGTTTCAATCTCCATGACTGAGTTTGATCTAGATTGTAAGCCTAGCCAATCTATGCGAATTTTTCTGATGGTAGTTCTAAACACTGGCCCAGTTGTGTATACTGTAGGGATAGACATGGGCGAAGGTGGCCATTTCCAGGCGAGGGAAGCTATCCAGATGTGGAGGTGTCGCTGGCGGACGTGGCCCTGCCATGTTTGGGACTCCCAACTGCCTCCAGAGTGATCCCAAGGAAGATGTTTTACAGAACTTACATAGAAACAGGTCACCCACATATGTCAAAACACCCAGGAATAATTGGGCATCACCAGGAAACACCCAGGGATTCTTCAAACCATTCATTGGGTCACCAATGTTTTGACATATCTGGTAAACTAACAGTTTGCTATTGAAAATTGCCATAGAAAGAGTTGATTTACCCATTAAAAATATGGTGGATCTTTCCAGTTCGCAAAGTGTTAATTTGACAGAACTTATGAGGATCTCACAACGACTTCGCTGTAAATTGTTTTTTGGGGACTCAATCTCCAAATGATCTTTCAAGTTGTTGGATGCAATTGAGGATTGGATTGGATGGATGGTGGTGTCATTGGGTTCACCACCATCCCTTTTGCCGACATGGCTTTCAACAATCGGCAACCTTGGACATAGGAGCTCCGTATTGTTCGTAGGGGACACACTTGGTGACACCAAGAATCTGGGTAAATTTGATCACGACCAAACCCTGTTCTCCCGAACCCTGGAAATCATGGTTTATGTTAGGGAAATCATCCCCAGCCATGGCCGCAAGATTCAGGTTGGTGAATTATAATAATAATAATAATTACTATTATAATTATAATTTACCCAGAAGAATGTGCTTGACGTGCGTATCGGTTGCCTATTGGTGAAAATCTCTAGGGACTCACGTGCTTGATTGAAGTTGTGAATCGAAGGGGAAATTGATATGGGGCTTTCATAAATAGGGCTACCCCAATAGCTGGACGGTTTATTTCATGGAAAATCCCATCTATAAATGGATGAGAACTGGGGGGTACCCCTATTTTTGGAAACCCCCATATGACAACGGAAATGTTCTAATCAATCCAGTGAATTGCCGCGTACTCACATGGAACCGGCACGTGTCCGACGTGTCCTGTTCCAAAACGCGCCAGATCTTTGAACCCTTGGCCCGGGCCGCAGCCGAGGCGCATTGGGTTGGTAATTCGCTAGATTTCTGCAAAACAACGACTCCCTCGAATGTTGGATTCCTCAAAAACGAACAATTCAGTCGTGTTGTGTTTCCACTTATAGATCATCATTCTCAAAAAAAATTGCTAAGTTTAATCCATAATATTAAACACCCCCCAGAAACTATAGTTTCATAGTTTGGTTTCGTAGGAAAACCTCTTTGGGACTATCTATAGGTGGTGTGAAAAATCTGGTGATGGGATGATTTTTTTCTCCATGTGTTTTTCCCTGGAGGACATGGGCCTGGCAGAAGAACTGCTGTTGGCCATGTGGTCTGGCATGGCGAGCGGAGCGACTGTGGAGGCGAAGCTCCGGGGTTGATGATTTGTTGTTTTGAAATGTTGAAGAAAGATGAAACATCCAACTTGAAGAATAAAGATATTTGATCACTTCTATAGATTTTGGTGATTGTTGATGATTTTTGATTGAGAGATCGAACGTTTAAGTTGATGTTGGTTGTGGTTGTAGTTGCGGTGGTGCTTGTAGCGGTTGTGGTGGGGGGCCCATCCCGGGATGGTATCATGATGGACCCCGCAATACGGTCAGGACAAGGTGGGGATATATTAATTGCTATGAGGATCTACGAGGCAAGGAGTCCATCATCAGGACGCCTCAATAGGCTTGCATGATTGCTCTTGGTTTGTGCGGCCATCGAAAAAAACATGCATTCCCTGAATTGGCTAAAGGGGATACATTCAGGATTCCCTTCTAGTTTGGAAGAAACATTATAAACACTAGAAGGGATTCCTGAATGTATCCCCTTTAGCCAATTCACTAAAAATTGATTTTAGAGAAACATGTTCACTAAAACATGTTTTTCTGTAAAACAATCGCTAAAATCAATACATCGATGCCATCCCAAGAATTGTTCACGAGGTACTTTCTGGCGCCGTCAACGGACTCATCAATGGATGTCTGGGTGATGTAACCCTGGTGCCTTGGTGCCATAGTGGTTACCCTCTGGTAAACATACAAAAAGCTATTGAAAATGACCATAGAAATAGTGGATTTACCCATGAAAAATGGTGATTTTCCATAGTTATGTTAGATATGTTAGTTTACCAGAGGGTATGCGTACCATCAGTGGAATGATGGTTAGGTTTCGGGCATTATCCCAGGGGGAAAGCCTTTTTTCAGGTGAAAAACGCTATGGCGGTCCAAATGCTGAAGCCCTGGACCATAGATGTTAGGATATGTGTAGTATCATCTGGTGATTGGGGTAATTAATAATTACTCAATTTTGATCCGTACCAATATTCTGGTAGAGAGAGGCTGGCAACTTTTGTTTTTGGGTGTGTTTACCTTCATTGATGTGCAGCATTGACATAATTATTGATTTTGAAATTATAATTATTGATCCATACACCTTCATTGATGTATTTTTATTGATTTCGCATAATTATTTCGTTGGGTATGGATCAAGTCAAAATCTCAGGGGGAACGCACATCTTGATGTCACGTGGTGGTAGTTAAAAAAAAAAACATGCCATTTAAGTGTGATGTTGAACACCTTAACTCGAATGGCATTTAGTTATTTAAGTGGAGTGGAGAATACCTTTGCTTAATTAATTACTAGTATTTGATGGGCATAGTATACTAGTAGTACTAATGCCCATGACGAATCACACAGAGCAGCGGGATATGAATTGCTTCTATGATGATGTATTTCACATCCACAGACATAGTTCCAGACATGAGCTATACCAGAGACACTCGTTTTTGTTCAAGTACATCTTTTGTTATATCCTCCATTTCATCATACCATGTGTACATATCTTTGTGAACATGGGCTGCTTAAATGATTACATATCACACATCATATCACATATCATATAGTATTATGATGTATTATGTATCATAGAAATCATACATGCGCATCATCTCAGATTCACTACACTATCATTTCATAATGATGATACCCTCTGGTAAACATTTACATAACTATGGAACGATCCACCATTTTTCATGGGAAAATCCACTATTTCGACTGGGCCATTTTCAATAGCTTTTTGTATGTTTACCAGAGGGTAGAAACACCATTAATCACCATTAATCACTATTAACCATTATAAACCATCATATATAAGTGATATCACCATTATCACTATTAACCATAGTATCATCATTATTAACCATTATAAACCATTATAAACCATTATAAACCATTATAAATGATGAACCATTAATGGCCAAAATAACCATTTCATAATGATAGACATTTTCTAGTGTCATACATGCCATTTCTAAATGATAGATATGATGATACTTGGTGGCTCATCCGACGGCTCGTAAGTGGGTTATAACCCCAGTTATAAATGGGATAAGTAGGGTTAATCCACTTCAATCACTGGGGTTATAACCCACTTACTAAGTGGGATGAGCCACCAAGTAGACATGCCATAAATAAACAAGTCGCCCCAGGTGCGGTGCTCTTATGTCACGTCTCTCCCCAGGTGCATTTCCTCCATAGCTTGGTGGTGCGTTGCAGCTCGGTGGTTCATTTGTCATAACGCCATGGAAGAAAACAGGTGACTGGTGGCCCTGGTGATTACTGCAAAAACATAGGAAAATCATAGGAAAATGGAGGTTTTAATGGGAAAACCATAGGAAAACCATAGGAAAATGGAGGTTTTAATGGGAAAACCATAGGAAAACCATAGGAAAATGGAGGTTTTAATGGGAAAACCATAGGAACACCATAGGAACATGGAGGTTTACCCTCTGGTAAACTAACAGTTTGCAAACTGAAGAATCACTATTTTAATAGCTAGATCAACTATAAATGGGTCATTTTCTGTAGCTATAGTTAGTTCACCAGAGGTAACTTAGTTGTGCGAAAAAATACCAGAGGATACTTAGTTAGACTATGTTAGACTAGAGGCTTTGACTTGTTTGTTTGTCTAATTTCTTTCAAGAGACACAGATGCATACATGCCCATTTATAGTAATTGGGTATGCATGTCTTTCTTTTCCCTACAGATGCAATACCCAGTCGAACATGTCCTTTCCTGTGCAGTGCATCAAAGATTAGCCATGTTGGGAGTCTAGATGAAAGTCCCACGAAGTGTTCCAATATTGTGGACTAAAACTACTTGAACATTTTGATTTGGAAGACTGGGATGATCCATTTTTCTATCGTCATGGATCATCCAGATTCATGTTTCAAAGTTTTGGCACATGTTTCACATTAAGACATTCCATTTATCTATTTGTTTGATACCCACTGACCTGACACATCTTAGCCAATGTTCCAAAAACCTTGCCGTACGAAAATTCACTCGGCAGATACGACCCCTTACGACCCCTACAATATCCTATATATAGAATCATTGATTATTAATAAGCCTTCATTATTGTCGGAAATTGTAGGTAATAGTCATAGTCCTTCATTCGTTGTATTGGCAATTTTCATCACTTATCCATATCAATTACTTATATCCTACAATAGTTTATTTCATTAGTGGTTGCAGGTTATAATTACCCTCTGGTTATTTAACATAGCCATGGTATAGATGGCCCATGTATGGATGATTTTCCCAGCTAGAAACCCTCATTTATAAGGGATTGTCCATGGCTATGTTAAATAACCAGATGGTATAATTACTATGAATTATTAACCATTATGTGTCCTTAATAGTCATAATTCATATATTAATTACTAATAGTCCTGTGGTTGCAATATAATGAAAACATATAGCATATATTATAGATAATGAATAACATATAGCATAACATTAATGATAATTCTATAATAGTAATGATCAATAATGATTATTAATAATAATAAATAATTCCCATAGGATCCATGTATGGTATATATGCTAACATTTGGGGTATATTGATGGTAAATGTTACCATGTATAGCATACATGGATCCTATGGGAATTATTAATTAATTATAATTAATAGTCCTTAATTCATCCCCTTGCTATATGACTGCTTCGGCCTTTTGGGTTTCCCGTGGACCGCCCAGGTCGTGACTATGGCAAGACGCTGCCGTTGCTGGTTCCATGGCTGGAGAATTCTTATGTTTGATAGGACACATTAATGATATATGTTATATGATATATGTTATATATGTTATATGATATATGTTATATGATATATGTTATATGATATATGTTATATGATATATGTTATATGATATATAGTAATATTGTTATATGATCATCACATTATGCTGGTTTATGATCATATTATAATCAACGAATATAGTAATGATGATCATATATGATTACAATACCCGCGATACTGGTTATTTGATAGGGAAAGTCATGATTGTTCTTTTGTATACTTTTGTAAATTAATATATTATGGATATCAATGCCAGGATTGTTCATGGTCAGGTGACATTGGCAAACGATGGCCCCAACAAAATAAGCGTGCTTTACTACTCAATATTACTCAACCAAAGCAACTTGGGTCCCCCTGAGCCAAGCGAATTTTGAGCGGATGCGGCCGGATTTTCTGTAGATTTTGGGGTTGCAGCTGTTGAAGGTGTGGGCTGTAGTGTTTGCTTTAGGATGTTTGTCACGGACAGAGAAGGCTTCGTTCCGGCAGCATTCCATTCAGCGTTCGGGCACCATGGCATCCTTTCTCTTGGGTGAAGTCGGGGCGGACGGTGACGCAAGACATTCCTAGGATACAATGGCAATTTCCACTGGTGTAGCGTATGTACCATGAGATACCATGTGGATGGGCCAGCGAAATCCTGCATCACCAAACGGATGGTTGAAACATGTTGAAACCCAAAAAAAATAATGGGATGTTTACCACCTTTTACCACCTATGAACTGGTGATTTGGATTTTGCTGGCCCATCCACAGTATCTCATGGTATCTTCTTGAGAAAAACATATTTTTTGGATGACATGGTCATGGGTTAACTTGCTGGTGCACAATCATCCCAGCAACCCCCAGCAATTCCCATCCAGCAACCCTACGTAAAGTTTAGCACCAGTAAGTTAAAGCTCCTCAACAAATACCCTCTGGTAAACTAACATAGCCATTGAACATGGCCATAGAAATAGTGAGTTTTCCCATTAGACATAGTGATTTTCCATAGCTATGTTAGTCATAACCAGAGGTAGCGGAATCCTCCGGCCTTGCCGAGCCACGAGGCCTTTCAATGCACCTTGGCTTCCTCTCAGCTCAGTGGCATTCAGGTGCGCCGGTACGCAGATCCCAGCCATGGGGATTTGTCGCCAGAAAACAGCCAGGTCACGGTTGGTCATGTGGCTACCCTCCGTGCCGTGGCTGGCTTGGAAATCATAGAACTGGCTGCCTGGCTGGAGGTTTTAGCTTGGACATCCATAGATTCCTGGATGATTTGCCACGTTTGATTCCAGGCCAAAAACTGGGTTTTTGGAGGCGGTATAAACGACCATATCTGGGTTGGTGCTTTCAACATGTTTCAGATATGGTTTAATGTTCAGCCCTAGAAATGGGGATGGAATGATCCCAACGAGCATATGTTTGGTAAACCAGCAGCTGGGTTATGGGTGTTCCCCCCATTTGAATGATATGTACCCTCTGGTAAACATACAAATAGCTATTGAAAATGGTGATTTATAGTGAGTTTTCCGATTAAAAATTGTGATTTTCCATAGTTACGTTAGTTTACCAGAGGGTATATTCAGTATCTACCACTATAGTTCTGATCATTAAGGAGTATCAAGAAATATAGAGGACAATGGTCGACAGTGGAAGTGCCATCGTTGAGATTTGGTTTAACCAATTTGAAGAAACAGAACTAATATACTTATCAATGAGTGACTTAGAGCGGCGAGTTTCACCACATATCAGAGATGTAGGACTCATGAACTTCACAACCTTGTACTACAATCCCCCAAATTTTTGAAGAGACCCTGCCAAATAGTGGGTTGACAAATTAGTTTCCACTAGAAATGTGCTATTTTGAGGGTCCATGATATTTTGAGGGATGGCCACACTTCAAGTTTTCACCATTTTTTTGATCTGGGTGACCCATAGCTATTGCCACTTGAAAATGACCCACAGGTCACACATGTGGGACAACATAGTACCCTCTGGTAAACTAACATAGCTATGGAAAATCCCCCTTTTTCATGGGAAAACACACTATTTCTATGGCCATTTTCAATAGCTTTTTGTATGTTTACCAGAGGGTATCGGATAATACCAAGAACCTGTTGGTTGAAACGAGAAAACCATGCTGTAGGCCTGTGAAGGCCTTTATATAAAGCCCATGAAGACGAGCCTTGGAGTTCCCAAACTTCACCTCGAATCTCATTGAACTACACCTTAAACATCTTGATGTTTCTGGAAATGGTGGACCTCCAAATCCAAAAAAATTGGTCATTTTAAGATATGTTAAGCAGGAAAACCACATGTTTTCAATGGTGTCGCCTTGTTTTAGGACACCCACATGAACCGCTTTGGGCGAAGCCCAAAAACCAACCAGCTGTCGTCATCCCGGGGAGGCTTTAGAGGAACTCCTTCCAGAAGGTTCACTGGGGAGACCGTCCGACAAGTGATGGGATGGTTTAAAAAACGAAGTCGTCAGAAAATGTCAGAAATGACCAACTATATCCTTGGTTTAATATGGTTTAATAATGTTGATTACCATGAACCAACTAATTATCATTAACCACATATAAATTACCAACTATGACTATTACCATTAACCAAATATTGATCCCTTTGTATTTTTGTGAAAAAAACAGTACCCCGAAATCCGTCGGTTAATGTATCCCGCTATAAGAATGGCCAGTTGGATCCATTTGGGGACTATACAGCCTATTTTCAAACACAGCCATGTGGCATTGAGGTTGGGTGAGCATCCTGCTTGGTGGTTGGACAGTGGTAGGGGTCGAGTGGAAGGCCAACCACACTTTTGGTCATTTATTTGTACACAATGGAGGTTTCCTAAGTCATGGGGGTAGCCCCAAATCATCCATTTATACATGAATGTTCCATTATAAACCATCCGTTTGGGGTACCTCCATTTATGGAAACTCCCATATTTGTACTACATATTCCAGAAGATTGGCATGTGTTTCTGCTTCTCCGATTTGAAGCCTCCAGAAACTGCGTGGCTTGCGGCAGGTGAATGGCTTGTGTTCTTTGTTTATTTCCCACTGCGTCCAGTGGTTTTCCTTCCTCCAACAGAGGAGGTTCTGAAATCGGAACTTGTCCTGTCGATACTCTTGGTCGCCAGAAACTTGTTTGGAACATATACATGTCAAAAGGTCTTCAATTCCCAGATTGGATTCCCAAAGTGTCACTAACAAGACATGGCAGATGTACCAATTTCATCGCGTGCCAATATTATTCATGATGATCCAAAAATTAGACTGATATCTGATGCAGATTGCATAGCCCATAGGATCCATGTATGGAATATTTACCAACATTTACCCCATAAATGACCCAAATGTAGGTAAATATACCATACATGGATCCTATGGGTAGTGGTAACATGCCAAATTGTTATTTTCGTTAACCCAGCTGCTACCTGCAGGTTTGGGCAAGGCTGGCATCCTTCGGTCAGCCGTGTGGTCCTTAGTTGCGGAACTTGTTTGATGCATGGAATGGGCCACGGCGTGATCATACATTATCATACTAGATCATAGTGGTCCCAAATCAGTTACTGACTGGCACCCTTACTGGTCTAGATATCTTAATTATATTTAATCTGGTTGGTGGTTTGGAATATGTTTTTATTTTTCCATATTTTTGGAATAATCATCCCAACTGACTTCCATATTTTTTAGAGGGGTAGGTCAACCACCAACCAGTAATTATCTGATTACTGATTAGTCTGACTTCTATCTGAGGATTCGGCTAGTATGAACGTTATACGTCGAGCCTCAACCTGCATTGGCTCAGCTTAGCTCAGCCGCCCTCCCCCGGCCCTGCTGTGGAGCGATGTTTCGCCGGCACAGCGCATGGATGCGGGCGATGCGCGCTGCAGTTCTAGTGAGCGTGCTAGTGCTGTGCAAAGTATCTGAGTTCAATTGGCTATCCCGTGGTTCAGAGATATGAGGGGGGGACCAGTTTGGAGCTATGGGCATCCATATTCCGTATTACCCTCTGGTTATGACTAACATAGCCACGGAAAATCCCTTATAAATGGAGGTTTCTAGCTGGGAAAATCATCTATAAATGGGCCATCTATACCATGGCTATGTTAAAGAACCAGAGGGTAAATATGTATGAACTGCATCTGGAGTCGAGGAACTAAGAGGTCCAAGACTTTCCCAACCACGTGATAGTTGGTTCTATCATCTTTTCTGAGACTGTTTGAAGATGTTCGGATTTGAGTGAGCCTTGAACAAGCTATGCTGCTTGATAGGATTTATCACCTTCTCCCAGGTGATTTTGACTCTATAACAACTGATGTTGATCAAACTTCCGGCATCGTTTGCAGCTGATGTGGTTCTATTGTCTGTTCCATTGATATTGGAGGAGCTAAAGAGCCAGAGATTGTTAGCGGCAAGCAATCCTATGAGGCAGACACATTCTTAAATCGGGATACCATTTTTTGTTTTTTTGGATAACCCTGACGATGTCTCAAAGTCAAAATTGTCATTGATTTAAATTCATTTTTTGACGCGTTTTATCCCTTGCTGGCAAAACTTCAAGTTGCTGTACAGCAGAACTTTTGCTGGTGAAATCCAATTTTTGCTGTTTGTTCCCCACCAGCCAGGTAAGGGTCTCTAGATTCTATCAACGGTGCAACTTTTTCCTTCCCTCCTTTCTTCCTGCCTTCCTTCTGCCGCCATCCTGCTCTTTGTGCCTGGCTCGTCACCACTGTGAACCCGGGGTGGGATGGAGTGGATAATGAATCTGAATCGGAATTTGGAGAGAAAGAAAATTGTAATGAATATGAATAGGTGCCAAAAGAATGCCAGGTAGAATGTCAAAATAGATGCCAGAAAGATTACATGCCAAAAAGAATGCCCGATAGAATGTTGGAGTAGATGCCAGGTAGGATGCCGGAAAGAATGTCAGAATATGTGCGAGAAATAATGTCGGAATAGATGCCAGATAGAATCCCGGAATAGATGCCAGATAGAATGTCAAAATGGTTGTCAGAAAAAGAACGTCGGAGTATATGCATAGAACATGCCATATAGAATGTCAAAATGCTTATGCCATAGAAAATTCCACATGATATGTCAGGAAGTATGTCAGAATCATCACTCGAAGTAAAGTATTGTTTTGCTGGAAAAGTGACGTGCTGTAAGTTTTGCTGATGAAATCACTAGAACTTCCCGTTGTTTGTCGCAGGTCTGGTACAACAGGGCTTTCGCAGCGGAGGTTTGCGAGACAGGGAATGCCCATGGATGTGAAGGCCATTTGGGCAAGGTTAACGACAAAAAAACGTGATTTAAAAAAAGTTTTGTCAATATTCCCCAAATTTATACTTAAATGGTAACCCCTCAATTAATCCCTTCCTCCTAATACTAAACCCCCCCCCTAATACAAAACACGGCAGGTAGTTTTTAGTATTAGGGGGGTATTTATTATTAGGGAACCAAATCGAAGTCATGTTAATTAATTAATTAAGTTTCCTTATATAACGCAATTAAAATATTGCCAAAAATGGCAGTTCGAAGCTTACCCCTAATACTAAATTAAAACCCTTAATACTAAAAACTATTTTTTCCGATCTCAAAATCAATTAAATTTCCTTATATAACGCAATTAAAATATTGCCAAAAATGGCAGTTCGAAGCTTACCCCTAATACTAAATTAAAACCCTTAATACTAAAAACTATTTTTTCCGATCTCAAGATCAATTAAATTTCTTTATATAACGCAATTAAAATATTGCCAAAAATGGCAGTTCGAAGCTTACCCCTAATACTAAATTAAAACCCTTAATACTAAAAACTATTTTTTCCGATCTCAAAATCAATTAAATTTCCTTATATAACGCAATTAAAATATTGCCAAAAATGGCAGTTCGAAGCTTACCCCTAATACTAAATTAAAACCCTTAATACTAAAAACTATTTTTTCCGATCTCAAAATCAATTAAATTTCCTTATATAACGCAATTAAAATATTGCCAAAAATGGCAGTTCGAAGCTTACCCCTAATACTAAATTAAAACCCTTAATACTAAAAACTAGCCCCCCTAATACTAAACACCCCGGGATGAATTAGTTTTTAGTATTAGGGGGGAGAACCCACAAATGGTAGGTTGATTTTTGAATTGTTTTTTAAAGGGGATCAATTAAAAGTCAAATTGGCCAAACTGAAATTTTCGGAAATTGGAGATGGATGCCTGTTTTTAGTATTAGGGGGACGTTTAGTATTAGGAGGAAGGGATTACACAGCCTAGGCGTTCATTAATCCGGGGTTGACATTGGGGAGTTCTTGAAATGGGGACCTCAATTGTGATGCAAACATTGTGTTTTTCTTTGGTTTGGGGGTTCCCCCACCTTACCCTCTGGTAAACATACAAAAAACTATGGAACATCACCATTTTTAATGGGAAAATCCACTATTTCTATGGCCATTTTCAATAGCTTTTTGTTAGTCATAACCAGAGGGTAAGAACCAACCTAGTTTTACCATGTTTTACCATGTTTTGCCATGTTTTACCCAACCGTTTTCATGGAGATTTCACAGATCAAACACCACGCGATGGACCATTGGAACGGAGGAGCGTCCATGGCGCAATCAGCTGGCATTGGCGTGGGTAAATTTGATCACGACCTCACTGCCAGTGGTAATAACTGGTTGGTGGTTAATGATGGTTAATGATGGTGAATACAAGGAAGTGGAATATCACCCATATACATATATCATATATATATATATATATCTGGGTAAATTATAATGACCTCACGTCGCGACCGAACCCTGGAATCATGGTTAGTAAGGGAAAATATCCCCAAATGGCCGAACTATTCAGGTTAGTGAAATATGATAATTTACCCAGATAATTGTGGCTATACTTCCAAAGCAAACAGCAACTTGACACTAGTTGAAACCACCAAAACCACCATTTTGGATGGTCACCGCTTCAGTTTCGCTGATCCGATTTCTTCTTGGGTTTTCTTGCCCTTTACCAGTTATAAGTTAGTCAGAACATGTTAGATCCCCATTTATGGAATGATAACCTCAATTATAATTTTTAACCGGTTTTAACCATGGTGAAATCTCCATTTTCAGCCCCCCTACGGGAACCACCACGGACACCACAGACCGGGGCCGGCGCCACGTGCTCCAAAGCAGCGTGGCGGCGCTGTCCGGCGCGAGCGCAGCAGTGCCACCAGCGCTGGCCGTGGGCGGGGATGTGGCGGTGCTGAACAACGGCATGAAGTTCCCCAAGGCGGAAGATGGATTATATATATATACATATGATGGTTTATAATGGTTAATAGTGATTAATGGTGATTAATGGTGTTGTTACCCTCTGGTAAACAAACATAGCTATTGAAAATGGCCATAGAAATAGTGGATTTACCCATTAATAGCATGGTGATGTTCCATAGTTTTTTGTATGTTTACCAGAGGGTAAGTGGAAGTTTAGTTCAATGGGGCTACCCCCCAATCATCCAGAATTAGACATTTCTTAGTATTGAAAGCCATGATTTTGGGGATTCTCCACTTTAAAACACCCCCAACTGCACCATCTAAAATGCATAGTTTACCCACGTTTACCCACTGTTATCTGATGTCACACATATTTATAGTTGAATTTGGCCACTTGTGAACTAATTCACAAACATGTTGATTGATATAATAGGGAAATCCGCATCTATGGATGGGATTGGCACCTGGGATACACCTGCTAGGATGAGATTTATGGTAGACCAGGATTTATGGAGGACTTCAAGGGCCTTTAAGGAAATGATATGGGAAAATGGGATTGAACAATGGGATCAATGGGGATTTGGGGCATGAAAAACGTTGATTCATAGTTGATTGATACGAGGTGGCTTGGCTAAAAAAATGGATGATGGCTAGCATGGAAGGGCTTGCAGGGATGATTAGTCAAAGGATTTCTTGACCCAGGTGCTAATCAATGAAAGAAGACACATTGGATGGTTGTCAACGGAGTGTTAGAACCATCCAAAATGAGGTGTGGGATGATTGTGGTGAGCTCACGAACCACCAACAAACACCAATGTTAATGGATTATTAATGGTATGGCCTGTTAAAAAAAGAACGTTTCAAAAAACTACCCATCCAGTATTTGGGGCCCAAACGTACGTAAGCTGTCGTACATTAAAAACATAACTAGGACTTATGGTAGACAATGAACTTATAGTTGGGCGATAAATGGGCGCCTTGCTGATGAAAATTCGGGTGAAGGATGGATCTATGTCGATTGGATGATGGTGGATGGGATATAGAGGTCTAACCAGGTGATTAGCGATGATTACGGTTGAGATAGGGTAAATAACTAGAACGATAGTCATGCCAGAACAGATTGCAATCGTCAGCCAAGAGCAATGAAGAACTTGACCCTACAATGGTATAAAAATGATAAAATCATATAAAGTCATCATCAGTTACCAAAAGTGAAGAAATGAAGCAAAACAACGGGAAGCTCAGGGAAGTCCAGAATGTTCACCATTTTGTGAGGTTTGACATCGCTTGAAGTGGTTCAATCATGAGTCATGTCCCGAAGATGTGATGTTTGTCATACCCTCTGGTTATGACTAACAAAAAGCTATTGAAAATGGCCATTGAAATAGTGAATTTTCCCATGAAATATGGTCATTTTCCATAGTTTTTTGTATGTTTACCAGAGGGTAGAGAAAATATGAGAAAAACACATGTGCACTAATAGACCCATCATTATCTACCAAAAAATGATGAGCATGTCACCATCGGACGACCCAAACATATGGGATGCTCTACTAAGCTTGTGGACCGTAGAATCAGCAACCCGCAAGAATGGGAACAGCACTCATAAACATGACAAAATCACCAGCATGGCAAACAACAATGCCAGCAGTGTCTCATCTTTTCGTTCACACTCCAATCACATTCCAAAAACTCAGCATATCCAACCCATATAAGAGTGTTAAATGAGTAACGCGTCTTACACACCATCCTCTCGCGTGGTGTGAGGCATCCTTTGGTCTTCAGCTGCGACCTTAGTTGGAGGATTTGGGAGCCAATGAAGATTTCGCGCACCAATACGTGGAAAATGAGCCCCATTTAGCCAGATGATAATTCTAAGCCAAGCATAATATAACCAACTTAAGTTGGATATAAACCACCAAAACTGCAGCTACACTGGAAAAACGAACCAATGACGACCCTATCTTTGGTCCATTTTGGTTGTTTTTTGAGTCAGCAAGCACACAAATTCACGACTTTGCCTGCGGTGTGTCACCTGGGATGATCCCCATTGACCGGCATATTTTAAGGATGGCTGGTCAATTTGTATCTAACAAACCACCAGTATATTATATATATATATATTTATTTATTGTATTATATACATACATAATACATATAATATATATATATATATATGTGTATATTTATATATTATATTATATATGTATTAATGTTCATACATAATAGGTGCATCTATGAGGGTCTGTCTACACCATACCTAGATAGACCTACACGCATATATTTTGTATATATATATGCAGCATAGAAACGATGCATGTATACACATATACACATACCTATAGGATATATATATATATAGATAGATTGCATATATATATATATACTATACACATTCTGGTTGGTGGTTTGGAACATTTTTTATTTTTCCATATATTGGGAAGAATAATCGCCACTGACTAATATTTTTCAGAGGGGTAGGTATATCACCAACCAGCATTAATATTCATATACATATTGATACATAGAAACATCTACAGTACACTATGAAAAAAAATCTATTTTAATATACCTGTAGATATATAGTACTGTACACTACACATTTATTTTTTAATACCTAGAAACGCCTACAGTACACTATGAAAAAATCCTGTCGAGGATCTACAACGATGACACGGCGCAGCAGCTCACTGAAATGGCCTTGTCCTTGGGATATCGAAACTTTTTCTCCTCGGTGCTAGTACCTTGGCGGCCGGATGCGTCCAGTTTTGTTTGTTTTTCATGGTAAAAAAAAACAACATTAACAAAACATGATATATCCCATGGAAATTCAACAACACATGGTATTCTATGGAATTTAATGGGATAATATTGTGATATAATTATTACCAGCTTGGTAATATATATGATACATAAATCGTTGATTTCTTGCCAGAAAAAAACATGGATGAAGAGCATTTACTGGGTTTTACCGCCATAAAAGTCAGCAACATGCATACAGCAGGAACCATCGAGACATAGGCGTGTTTCTCATCGATACTGCATCAGCGTTGAAATGGTCCTAAATAAAACCTTCAGATTAGGACGCTAGAGGCACCAAACCTATACAAAATACGGACACATCACAGACAACAAAGCTCTATATCAGGGGCATTCTTACATCCCACATAAGATTCGCTGGTCACCCAACCGTCGCCTGTATGGTCTGAGTCACACTTCTCGCATGAGTTTGACTACAAATGAAATTTAACAACAGGCAATCTTCAGAAAATAGGCCAATAGTCTCAACAAACGCATATATAGAGTATATATGTAGATACACATAGAGCTGTTATTCACAGAAGAATAAATAGATCTCATTTGATTTCTTTGGTGCCACCTGTTGGTAGCTCGGGTTGCCCCGGCCCAACAACTTCATAAAGAACTCGTGTAGAAGCCGCGCCATGGGAGCTGTAAAGATTGACCACGCAGATGCGGGCGAGCACAGGGCTGGCATCATGCAGCAGTTGCGACAATTCTGGATGCACGACCATCTCTGCGATGTGATGCTGAAGAGCAGTGATGGCACAGTGCATCGCGCCCATATGGTGGTGCTATCCACCGCCAGCGAGTTTTTTAAGACTCTGCTGGGCGGGCCGTTTCTGGAAGCAAAGAGAGTGCAAGATAAAAAGCCAGTGAACATCGCTGCTTCCAAAGAGGCAGTGACGGCATTGCTCGACTATATTTATGATGGGCACCCCGAAGTACCAGTGGAAGTTGGTCTTGAACTCCTACAACTAGCAGATGCTTGGGGTCTGCCAAAGCTACTAGGTGCGATTGAGGCAGGTATCCTTGCCTCCTTGGATAGCAGTGTATGCAGTGTTGCCCTGCAAGTTCTGCAAGAAGAGCATGGCCGACATTCTTTAAGAACTGTGTGCGAGGATAAGGTTGCTGAAGAGTTCGAGGCTTGCAGCCAGCATCCAGATTTTGGGAAGCTTAGTGCTAGTCAACTGGCTCGACTTTTGAAGAGGGAAGATCTGGCCGTCTCTCGCGAAGAAGCAGTGGCGAAGGCAATCTTTACTTGGATCACGGTCTCCGAGGACAGACGTGCCTTTCTGGTCACGCTGCTGCAACACGTGCAAATTCAATCCCTTTCGATTGACAATGTGATTTGCCTTGGCCGTACAGCTCTTTTCTCTGGCCTGAGTGATGATGAACTTCAAAGAGAAGTTCAGGACGCCTTGGCCTCCCGAGAGAGAACCCAAAGTCCAGGCACCTTTCAGTCGAAAAGGCACTGTTTGAAACATTGGTCGCCATTTTTGGGTGCCAGCACTGAATCTGCAGGACGAGAAGTGCTGTCTTTCCCAGCTCGCTCTTTATGCTGGCATCAAGATACACTTTTTGCTGCGCACACCATGGATCGAGGCATCCTTAGCTGGAAGCCTGGTGACCCTTCAACCTGCGTCCGAACTGAAGCGGGTAAATTTAGTGCTTATACTCTAGGCAGCGACTTGGGATTTGCTCCTCACCTGGCCATCTCGCCAAGTGGACAGATGTTTGTGTCAGATGGGCAGAAACAGAGGCTTTTTTGTTTTCACAATGGGACTGCGCAAATGGCCATGGGCCAAAACTGATGTTGGTCCTTTGTATTGCTCAGCCATTTGAGTACCCCCATGACTTCGGAAACCTCCATATAGGATGTGTATATAGCTTTTTAGCGTTTGTGCACACCACCTCCGTACGCCAACTGCAACTACAGTAGTTGCAGTTGCGGTACGCTGGTGCTGTGCACCAATGCTAAAAAGTTTTCCCAGACCTAGTTTTTTAGATTGCACCAAGGGGCAGCGTAAAGCCGTAAAATCGTAAAGTTCAATTTTCTTCAAAAAAGCTCTTTGATTTTGATTTTTTAAAACTGACCAAGACTGGAAAAATAGTAGAAAAGGTGGTGGACTCCAGACTCGAGACAGTCGTTGCCTCCGAGAGTCTTCCAGCAGACATGCAGTTCCAAACCTACAATTGTTTTGTTACAAGGGAAGAGGTGATCTATTTGGTGGATAATCTGAACGAAAATTGCATTATACGCATCGATCCAGCTGATTCATTGGAACCTACTGTGATGGGTCGAATGCGTGCGGAGGACCGGGCTTTTCTATCGAACCTGCTTGTAACTGAAGCAGGTATTATTTTTGTGTCTGACCTAGAGAGTAGTAAGGTGTTTGCCCTCCACCCAGGCAGCCCAACTTTCACAGAAGTCTGGAAGTGTCCAGGTGGATTGTACCCACAGGGGCTGTTGGTACATGACAGGTCGTTGTATGTGAGCATGGACAATTCGAATTTCAATTCAATGGTGGGGAAGGTTTACGAAATTATGTTGCCTCCCGATGTTTTCCCCAAACTTGGATGGAGAGCAAGGTGGAGATCCCGGAAGTTGAACTTGAGCTGACTGGCCAAAAAATGAAAGCCCGTTGTTTGCTGGTGAAGTGTCCTTTTTCAGTATGGCAAATAGTACGACATGCAGCATGCATATAGTAAATAGTTCATTAGATATCATCTGGTTGGTGGTTTGGAACATGTTTTATTTTTCCATATATTGAGACTAATCATCCCAACTGACTAATATATTTTCAGATGGGTTGAAACCACCAACCAGTCATGGTTTGCAAGTAGAAGTTGGATAGGTGACATTTGGATCCCTATGGTTTCCCACCAAAACAACTAGTAAATTTGTGTCATTCGCAAGAGGCTTTTACATTTCCAATTACATCCATCATGTGGGGTTAAAGCATTGCTAAATCCCCATGCCTGTTGGTTATATATATACCCATAAAATGGGGATTTCACCTCCGAAAATGCAAGATTTTTTCCCATTTATGAATAATATTTAGGATACTTATGGATACTTTAAATCATGAACATCCTCATTTTTAAACCCATGTTAAACTAGCATATTGTTGGTATCCCACCATTAAACCCCGTTAAAGGGTTGGCAACCAACATGGCGATTTAGTAGTCAACTTTCGCCAACCAGGTTGTGGAATCTAACCATGAAGACACGGAGGTCAGATAAGTTGATAAGTTGATGTTGGGCCTAGTTGAGTACCCTCCAGTAAATTAACATAGACCCTGGTAGATAGGGGTTGGAAGATTAGTTTCCACTAAACATTGGTTATTTTTTAGGGTCAATGTTAATAAGTTAATTTACCAGAGGGTAGGTGCTGGGAAACTCAACAGTTGGCCATAAATCAATGGCCATGCAATAGGAAGCGATTGATTGGAGGTACCTACTTTTTTTGGAAGGCCTATTTTTGAAAAGGCCTAAAATTCAGGGAATATCCACACAAAATCATATGGCCTTATATGGTACTAACGTACCTCCATTTTATTTTAGGATCCTGAAATTCCCATTGAATAAAGTAATCACAAACGATGTGACTTTGAGCAGGACAATTTGGGGGAAACTTGGTGATGGCTAGTTTAATACCAGTTTTTAGGGATACATTAACCTAATTTAATCTAGTTAAACCTAATTTAACCTAATCATTTGAAAATCGTTTTTTTGGGTGGAAATCTACCATTGGCCATGTATGGAGCAAAGGCCCAGAGAGTTGGGTTGTTGAGTCAGGTGGGCCATTTTCAGCACTTAGTCTGGTGAAAACTGAGGGATACTTGTTTTTTTTTCTATCACATCTAGAGTATTTTGTGTGTGAAATGTTGGTGCTTGAACTCTCAGAAACATGTTGTTTTTCAGAAAGCAACCCTCTCACGGCGGTTCATCAGTGGATGAAGCATCCAACGCAACAAGGCTGGCAACCAGCCGGGCTTCGCGAAAGGTTGGAAAGCATCTGGCATTCCCAGAGAGGAAGTGTTTATTTGCGGGTCTGTGGTGAGCAATCGCGCTAGGGGTTCCTTGTCTGGAATAGGATTTGCATCACAAGTATCAGGCGCATCACTCGTTTGGTGATTTCCCTTGATTCAAGCACCCCAATCCCATTCTGGAACATGTTCCATTGCGTTTTATATAGACTGATTATTTCTGGCTCCCACCGCAGATTTGCATGAGCCACTGACGAGAAAAGCACGGTTCTTGGCCGGGGCGATTCAATCGGTGGTATGGTTTACCCTCTGGTAATTTAACATAGCTATTGAAAATGGCCATTTATAGTGGATTTTCCCATTGAAAATGGTGATTTTCCATAGTTATGTTAGTTTACCAGAGGGTAACAATTGTGAAGCAGGAATCTAAATATGAGGACCATGTCCATTTCTAAGACATACGTTGGACATGGTGGCAACCCACTGCTAGCCTCGCTAGTGGGTCCTATAGATTCTTGATCATTTTTGAAACCATTTCATGGATAAGTGATTGATCTAAAATCATAGATTTACCATTCAAACGCATTGTTATAAAAAAAAAATATATCCAAACTTCTATACCCAATGAAACACAAATCTATGAACCCCCAATGAAAAAAATGTTTTGAAGCCTGGTTTTCCTGAAACACCTCAAGTTCCAAGGTTTCAAGGCAGCTTACAGGGCCACCAAGAGAGGATGCGATGCCAATCTTGCGGCCTTCCTTACTGGGGGCATCACTTATGTGGATATGATGATGCTGGACTATCCAGGACAAACTCTCCTTTGTAGCGGCCCGGGTTTATGAAATCCATTTACTCCGTCCTCAAAATGGATGGCGCTAATTCTTGAAATGCGCCATCTATAGGTTCCCGACACACGTCCTTGAAAACAATCCCATAAATCCCATGTATATAAATCCCATGTTTCACTGTGCCGAATTAATGGCTATTCATGGGATTTATTTTTGGGGGTATTAGCGGAATTTGATGGGATTATTATGGACTATATTTGCGGGTGTCATCAAACATCGCGAATTAGTTCGGATAAATGGGCATAAAAAAAAGGCGAAAATCATCGAACTGAATGAGTGATTTTGCAGAAAACCCATGCTTGATTACCAAAGGGTAAAACTCTAATTATGGCTATATTATATCAAATTATATCCACTTTTATCTCCCGTGGTGAATGGAGGGAGCGAAGGAGCTATGGCTGCATCCATATTTCCAACCAAAAAACTGAGAACCAGTTAAAGATACAAATTAAGTTGAGTTTCCCAACCACTACCCAATGGCAAGTTCAGCTTTGAACGACAGGTTTCATATCAATTATATCATATATTTGGTTGCGTGTATCCCCAAGATTGTGATTAGTAATCTTTTTATGTTGTATAATCATTTACACATATTTATATGCATGCTATCCCGGCATTCATGATCATTCATGCTGATATTAGTGATCTGTATCGTGGAAAATGGATCGTGGAAAATGGTCCTCACAATGGTAATAAGTTATTATCCAGTTGCAAGCGCCATACATTCTTGGGTAAATCGACCATGATTGTGAGCCGCTTTACTATTCCTGGGTCCTGCACACCCACGCAAAGATTGCAGCCATAAGATCCATAAGCTGTTTCCCAATTATTCAAGCATCCCCAGGTTGAATCATGAATACCACCTCATAAGCAAAGTAACAATCTTAAGATATCTAAGATATCTAACATTAATTTAAGATAAACATTGTTAACATTTCTGATATCCCCGGCTTTCCTTTTAAACATATTACGTCCGGCCATGGTTTCAACAACGTCCATCGTTGGTTTCTCAAAGCGCCAGGACCTGACTGCGACTCCATCAAGGGCCAATGGGAAGCCTTCGAGGAGATGTTGGCGGCGGGACAGACCAAGAGCCTGGCGGTGCGGAGAGATGGGAAATGGCGACTGACGACTGGATCATTAAACTTTATAAACCAAAGTTGGGGATGTGTCCAATGGTTAATCATGGTTAATCATGGTTAATCATGGTTAATCATGGTTAATAATAATGGTTAATAATAATGGTTAATCATGGTTAATCATGGTTAATCATGGTTAATCATGGTTAATCATGGTTAATAATGGTTAATAATCATGGTTAATAATGGTGAATCATGGTTAATCATGGTTAATAATTGTTAATAATGGTTAATAATCATGGTTAATAATGGTGAATCACTACATTGTTACCCGGCCTGGTAATGACTAACAGTTTGCTATGGAAAATGGCCCTGTATAGTTGATTTACCCATTAATAGCATGGTGATTTTCCATATAGTTATGTAAACGTTTACCAGAGGGTAATATTACTATAATGATATTGATAGGTTGACTAATTACTACATTGCTATCCTAATGATTTGTATTTTTTGATATTTTTTGATATTAATATTAATAAGGATATCCTAATGCGAGATTAATATCAACTAATTAATGAGTGAGGAGAATTAGTTCAATAGCTATATATATAATAGTTCATTAATATCCTAATGTTTGATAGTTAATATTTGTTAATATAGTTATATAATTATTATTTGTCAATATTAACCTGGTTGGTGGTTTGGAACATGGCTTTTATTTTTCCATTCAGTTGGGAATGTCATCATCCCAAGTGACGAACTCCATCATTTTTTCAGAGGGGTAGGTTGAAACCACCAACCAGTAGCTATGTCTAAGTGTGCACTACTTGGAGGATTAGTTGGGTAATATAGTCAATGATTAATATAGTTGTTAATATCATATTACTCTATGGCTAATATTTGTTAATATAGTCAATGATTGATTGGATCATAGTTGGTTAGTCGTGATGTTCCTACTGTTTCATCGCCTGATTCTCCTGTTGTTGACCAATTTTTATGCAGAGAGATGGGAGATAACCATCAATTACAACAGTGATTGAATGGTTTGTAGCCAGAGAGATATTGATTATAATTCATGGTTATAATTCATATATACTGGTTGGTGGTTTGGAACATTTTTTATTTTTCCATATATTGGGAATTTCATCCTCCCAACTTACTTTCATATTTTTCAGAGGGGTTCAAACCACCAACCAGATATGTTATATCTATATATAATCCCATCATATAACCATATATAACCACTATTATTGGTATTAATAACCATATAATCACTATATAATCCCATGATTATTTTAGTATATATTGCTTTTTTGCTTAGTAACTGGTTACTAAAAGTTTACCCGGTAGCATGGGAGCCACGGATCGTAAGTCGGACTTACGATCAGCGATTTATTCACCTGGAATGATGCTCCAAGCAAAACTCCTGTGGTGGGATACGATATATAAACCTATGGAAAATCACCATTTTTACTATGGAAAACTTATGGAAAATCACCATGGAACCATATAAGTTACCTTGTAAACATACCAAAACTTATGGAAAATCACCATTTCTACTAGGTAAATCAACCATGAATGGCAATTTTAAATAGCTATGTTGAATTACCAGAGGGTAGATATGTGGGTGTCTTATAATGGTGGTACCCCAATAGCTGGATGGTTTATCGTGGGAAAATCCTGTTATCACGGATGATTTGTGGTACAACATAGTATAACCCCATTTTAGGAAACTTCAACATACTCTCTGGTATTTTTGTTGTACTTTTCTATGATCACAAGTTTTGATAGTTAGATCATCGAACTACATGGGCAATATGCGATAGCTAAGTTTGTTTACTGGAGGGTAGTAACCCGCGAAAAGATGATTGCCACTACAGGAATTATAGATGGTATATCCCAAAATTGCCAGTTTAAGGGGGAAAAAATGGTAGATGCCCGGGGGGTACCTCTGACTTTATACTTTAGGAAGCAACATCCAAGATGTCAGAGATTATGCTACTCTTATCGCCTTTTTTTTACCCAGGCTTCCATCTTTTATCTCCAATTGTGGTTTGGTATTGTCAGTTTCATTTCGGACGTCCGAAGGGATGCTGAATCCTTTCCATGAATTTTGGGTGCATCCTGACAGAAATTTAATCACGGGAGTTCCAGGTGACATTCTTCATGAGTGGGGATGAAACTTCTCAGAGGGGGCGAGTGAACAATCCCTTACCCCTCATATTATCTCATATTAAATACAAAGCTAAAAACTGTGGTTTAGATGTCTAGTAAAGTACTTGATCTATTCATTTTGGGGATAGATATAGGGGGAATATGTAATATTAGGGGGATGAGTTGTTTCATACGGCAGAACGAAGATTTGAACAGATCTTGAGAGAGATGGGTCAAACAAGCTCCCTATCCAAATTCAACTTGCAACTGTATGGTCCACCATAAAACAGACTCCCATAAGTTATAAGTTGGTTTAATTCCAACCCCCATCAACGATATTCCCCATAAACCCTGGTGAAACACATCATTATTTGCATTTATTTGCACCAACTTAGCTATCTAGATCCCATTAAATCACTATTAAATCACCATTAAATCACCATTAAATCCTATCAAATCCTATCAAATCCCATTAAATCACCATTAAATCCTATCAAATCCCATTAAATCACCATTAAATCACCATTAAATCCTATCAAATCCTATCAAATCCCATTAAATCACCATTAAATCCTATCAAATTCTATCCAATCCCATTAAATCACCATTAAATCCTATCAAATCCTATCAAATCCGATTAAATCACCATTAAATCACCATTAAATCCTATCCAATCCCATTAAATCACCATTAAATCCTATCAAATCCTATCAAATCCCATTAAATCACCATTAAATCCTATCAAATCCTATCAAATCCCATTAAATCACCATTAAATCCTATCAAATCCTATCAAATCCCATTAAATCACCATTAAATCACCATTTTTGTTAATGCCAGGTCAGCAATTTTTCGCCCGAGCAGCTCGATTGCCTCTTGTCGAACACCACGGCGACGCCTCCGGCGGTGAACCAGTTGCCGTTCTCCATCAGCCACTTGGAGGTGAGTTAGTGGAGTTTCACATGGGATTAGACAGGGGTTGGTAAATGTCCCTTTTTGGGGATTTTGAACATCACCTTCAAATATTTGTTAGAAATTATATCCCCAATACTTGGGTGATATTCAATTGGGACATTTACCAACCCCTGTTAGATAATAATAATGATTACCCTCTGGTGAACTAACATAGCAATGGAAAATGGCCATAGAAATAGTGGATTTTCCCATTAAAAATTGTGATTTTCCATTGCTATGTTAGTTCACCAGAGGGTAGATAGTACCATTATGGTAAAAGGGATGGGGATGGATCAACATCATGAAATGGTTACGGGATATGTTCATCCAAGCACCATGTTTAAGGGATTTCTTATCATAACTAGCACATTTTAAGAGTATTACCCTCTGGTAAATAAACATAGACCCTGAAAATCACCCATTTTTAATGGAAACTAGTCTTCCAACCCCGATGACTGCCAGGGGTCTATGTTAATTTACCAGAGGGTAGATAGTACCATTATGGTATTGGTGAGTCACTAAATAATGGCAATGTATAATGATAATGGTATTATCTAGTTAGTGGAGTTTAATGAATGGGATTAATTAGATAATAATCATAATAATGATATGATCCCATTGGTATAATAATAACTAGTTTAATAATCACTAGTTGGATTAATTAGATAATGATAATGAGTAATATAATGGGATATATGAATGGGATTAATACATAGTTTCATTAATTGGATAATAATGATATTACAATGTAGTTAGTGGAGTTATATAATGATTGATGATACTCATAATAATTGAATGTGATTATTTATAGATGGTATAATGGTGTTATTATGGTTTATAGTATTATAATGATTGATCAATTGGATTATCACTATTATAATTAATTAGCCATGATATTATCCCATTGATCAATCAAATGGACTAATGTTATTATTATTATTAATATAACTTATTATTATTATTTGTATTAACAGCGTTATGGGATGATATTGTCTAGTTCTTATTATTCAAATGGTGTTTTAACATTTTATTATAATTAAATGGACTAAACATGTTTATGCTGATGAATAATTAGATGTGCTAATGGATTTTTGACATAGACGGTACGGTATTATCACCATGAAAACATAGATTAACATATCATACTGCAGTTGATTAGTTCATCATGTTAGTTTAAATCCCATTAACACGAGTAATCAACTAATTAACTAATCTTTGAATTTATGGCTGATTGGGATATGATTGAGGAAGATTCAGGGATATTGAACGGGGGTTAAGCGGATTTTGTAGTTCCATTGAAATGATTTTGACCTAATTTTTAAATCTGTGTAATGTATTTCAAGGGTATTTTGCCAATAATGGAATCTATCCATCAGTTACCCTCTGGTAAACGAACATAGCTATTGAAAATGACCATTTATAGTGAGTTTTCCCATAAAAAAAATGTGATTTTCCATAGGTATGTAAACGTTTACCAGAGGGTATGGGACTTTGTTGATGGTTTATGGAGTTTCAACCATCAAAAATCATGGGGAAACTCACCTATCAACCAAGAAACGATCCGAGTCAGAGGGGATGGTGGGAAAGCAAGGGGAGAACCGGGAGAACCCAGACCCCCAAGCCGTGCATTAAAAACAGATAAAATACCCTCTGGTAAACAAACATAGCTATTGACAAGGGTAATTTATAGTGGATTTACCCATTGAAAATGGTGGATCTTTCCATAGTTATGTAAACGTTTACCAGAGGGTAGATTAAAATATAGATTATGGTACTTTATGTGTACCAATGATTAATAGATTTACTTTAGATAACAGATAAAATAGATTAAATGATTGGTAAAAGTGATTATCCGAACACTTTGGTACTTTTACCAATCATTTATGGGTCAATTGGGGGTCAAGGAATGGGACAAAAAAACAAATGGAAGGAGTCTGGGGAAGGTTAGGATGAGCGACCATCAAGATGGAATTACTGTAGAAATAGAATTATTCCCTTGATTTCTTGTCAGTTGTGTGATGCGCGCGTCTTGACTTGGGTTTCCCCCGGAGTTGTTCACAGTATTTTTCTCGCAAGATAGCAACGTATGCCCAAACTTACTGTTGCACAAACTCCCTTGGTCAAGCTGAATATGATCAACCAGATGAAACAGTATACACACATATACAAACTATATATGGCAATGTTGTGGCCGACACGACACGGCTTTGTGCATATACATACCTTGGATTATCCAAATGGCCAATGACTGATGATCCAAGGCTATGTGGAACCGAATGTCTTGGAGGAGAACAAGAAGCGTCCCTGGGTTCTGCAAGAGAATGAAAAACACCTATTTTTATGGGATATACCCTCTGGTAAACCAAAATATCTATTGAAAATTGCCATTTATAGTGGTTTTTCCCATTGAACATGGTGATTCCTCTGGTTTTGCCCTTCCGGTAAGTCAGCTTTGCAGGTTCTGCTGGTCTTTCGTATTTTGTTGCCTTCTCCATATGACTGGGATGATGAATGCAAGTAAAACATGGGAACTTGGGCGTGAGCTGAGCAATCGAGTGTGTGCGAAATTCACAGTTTGCCTGACTGTCATCTTTAGTTGCTGCTTGAATACTTTTGACCGCCAGATCACTGCAAAAGTGATTCAAAAGTGGAAAGCTTTGAGGCTTTGAGGTGAAAATTGGGAAGTGGGCAGATCCCAATTCCCAGCAAGTCTCAGTTCGTGCTCGGTGGCTAGTGACCTTAAATCACAGCAAGATCACCAAAGTCTCAGGTGGGTATGGATCAATACCTATTAATCCCATTTTTAGTGGGATGAACATCCATTTACCAGCTATTTTGATGTGAACTACAGGGGTACAAGGTTTTGACACACTGCCAGGTGGCATTTTGGTACAAGCTTGGGCTCCTTTAGGAGGAAGTACCGGGGGCATCTCCAAACGAGCTCAACAGCTCTGTGGAGAAATCGGCAAGAAGTATGGAAAGAGCTGGGCGCAGGCGTGATGGGCCCGATGGGCCAAGGTGTGGGCGGTGTCCAGGTGTGTTTTCCCACTGGGAAATCCACCATGGCCGGGGAATCTATAGCGTTTTTGCTGTTTTTTTGGGGCCATCTTTAGCACATTCATGTATAAGTCCAATACCCTCTGGTATTTTAACGTAGCTATTGAAAATGGCCATTAATAGTGAGTTTACCCATTAAAAATGATGATTTTCCATAGCTACGTTAAATTACCAGAGGGTAATTCTTAGGTCTAGTGTAGATCTATGGGACCAGCCAGAAGGGGTTATTTTTCGGTGAACAAAACCGGAGGACACCAGCTTACATGGATTTTGATACATCCGGAGTGTTTGGAGCAGTTGGACGATAACTATAACCCAACATCAAACAGTTTAGTGAAATATAACTATATATGGTTCCAACTTATGATAGCTATATATATATGTATATATATAGTTAACTATATGGTTATAAACCAACAGAAAGCCATGGAACTTGGGGTCCCTACATTGTAGGGACCTCATTCAAACCCGTAACGGGGCCACGCTTTAGGTTGCCTTGCGGTGGATCGTCGACCAGGGCGCCACATTTTCAACGCAGACGCGTTCCAAGAAACATTTTCAGGAGAAAAGCTGGGTGTGTTCGAATGGGGAAGTCTTGTAGTACATGGGGGTATAAGTGGGATATAGTGGAAGATCGGTCCATGTCGGTTGTGGATGCGTCATTTTGCGGAAATCAATCATGACATATCACAATCATGACCAGGATTGGTGGTATGCCCTCTTGATGAGTGACTGCAGGATTTCCATGGGCCTCATGTTTGTTGAGCTTTACATGTTGCATACCAGCTGCCCACACTGAACCCGTGGTCACCTGTCGTCATCGGGCGCGCTGAATTCCGTCAATAGTTTGATTATTTCCCAATACCACAGGACGGTTTTAACATACCTCGACATAGGAATTTATAAAATCCAAAGATTCTCACTATGGAATGGATGTTTTTATGACTATTCTCATTTCTTTCCCCATGAAAGATCATCATGATCCCATTTGCATAGGTCTTTACCATGGGCTTACCCATTTTTTTCGGATTCCGGGATGGCTACCATGGGATGGCTACCATGGCCCATGGCACTTAAATTTCCCAGGAGGATATCGACATCTTCGATTTCAAGTTGTCGGCGGAAGACCTCGCCACTTTGGAAAAGGTTGCCTAAGAAACACTGGCGCCCAAAAGAAAAAAAAAAGGTGCTGGCGGCGTTGCTGTCCAAGCTGTGGATTCCCAAACAATGGAGAATACCCTCTGATAAACGTTTACATAACAATATGGAAAGATCCATCAAAATCATCATTTTCAATGGGTAAATCCACTATAAATAGCCATGTTCAATAGCTATTTGTATGTTTACCAGAGAATATATCCATGGAGATGCCCCGTTGCCCATGAAAATGGGAGGATCAGCGGATCAACGGCTGGGATTGATGGAGGTGAAAAGTATTGAAAAATGGGGTAGTTTTGAGGACTCCGAAATAGAGGTAGGATGTATTTGGGATCCGAAATCATCCAATTTTTTGAAGTTCAGGAGTTTTGAGCCAGAGGCAGATGGTTTGAAGTGTGTGAAGATGTGTGAAGTCTTTAGTAATTGGATGGAAAAAAAACAATGAAACATTTCACGGGAAAAGATGATTTCTCTCATCGAGTATAGGACGGACGGACGGACGAACAGACGGACGGACGGACAGACAGACGGACAGGCACATATAGATAAATAGGTACAGGTAGATAAATCTCAGATAAATAATGATAAATATATCACTATGATCCCTAAAAAGATTGATTCATTATCCCACCTATAGATTGATCTCAGTTCCCAGATCCCATCCATTTTTCCTATCCCTGCCATGATCTCCCGCTATGAAAATGGCCGCAGCAGCGGGGAACCACCATCCCCAGGTGGATGGAGAAGATATGGGACGCTGCAGAGCTGTGTTGCTGGGCTGTTTGACGAAAATCGGAGATGGCGGGCCAATTTGCCAATGGCGGGTACAGGAAAAGTCACAAACGATGGGAAAAAAAATATGGGTATGTCTGAAAATAGTGTACCCCTAAACCCAATGGTTAATGATCATTATCCCTATTAAATGGCTATAATTGGGAATATACCCTATTTTCAGACAAACCCATATATTGATCAATCTATAGTGGGATAATGAACCTATCTATAGATTGATCTTAGTAACATTGATCAGGTTTTGTCATAGCTGTTTTTATCTTGAGCCATTTTGGCAGCTGGAACCCAAGACCCTCAGCAGATTCAACACGCCGTCCTCCCAGCCACGGGAGGGGGGGTGAGAACTGTGCCTCTGGAAACAACCTTACACAAGACAGACTGGAATGTCCCTGCTGTTGCAACTTCAACACCTGCCTGGTGTCAACTTTCCCGCTTGGCAAATGCCTCCAACCTGACAAGCCAATGAATCAACGCGCAAAAAGAAAGTCTACTTAAGAGCGAGTGAGTGCAGTTGTGACAGTTTCCTGCATGTGCAGTTTGTTTTTTAAAAATAAAAATTAACTGAATATAGAGATAATAAAGGTTATATATGTGCTTTTGTCAGCGGCGTTGGTGTTTATGTATGTTGTGTGTATAGCCAAAAAGTTTCTGGAGACTCTCCAATTCCAACACCTCCATGTATAACTATGGTTGAATTTCAAGTTTCCAATTTTGCCATTGGTATCCCATTAATTATCCCGTTGAGTATCCCAATACGATCCTCTGTTGTCAATGACTAACCATGGATGACTATCATTGCCATAAACCATCATCCACCAACAAATATAACATATATAAATTATATATATATATAGTAGTTATATATATATAGTAGTTATATATATATATAGTTATTGGAACCACAGATATCAATCATAGGTAAATCATTTATGTTATTTTATTTTCCATTCCTATCATCAACCATTATAGATAATTCACTTCTGCTCCATTAATTTATCCGTAAAATATATCCAGATGGCATTATATCAATGGAATTATTGTAACGTTTTTTACCAGACGTAACATCAATGGTATCACAATATATTATCTGGTTGGTGGTTTGGAACATTTTTTACTTTTCCATATATTGGGAATGTCATCATCCCAACTGACTTTCATATTTTTCAGAGGGGTAGGTATACCACCAACCAGTTATTATATCAGATATCCTTAATGCTATGAAAAAGGATCGGTATTATATCAGATATCAGATAGCTTATCAGATAGCTTATCAGATATCCACCAACCACATATCTCAGTTATTAAAAAAAAAACATATTGAAAATTATAGCCATTCCACCAACCAATTATTATTGAAAACACCAGTTAATCAGTTTAATCAGTGAATCATGGTTAGTAAGGGGAATCATCCCAAAATGCTTCAGGTTAGTGAATTATTATAGTTTACCCAGATGGTATGAAAAAGATGTTTCCACCAACCAATTATTATTGAAAACACCAACCAGTTAATCAGTTTAATCAGTGAATCATGGTTAGTAAGGGGAATCATCCCAAAATGCTTCAGGTTAGTGAATTATTATAGTTTACCCAGATGGTATGAAAAAGATGTTTAAGCGTTCCATATCGCGCTTTTTTCATCGCGGCCACAGGCTTAGCGCCCTCTACGCAGCCAGTTCATCGCTGGGTGAGGAAGCGTGGGGAAGCCCCAGTAATGTCACCAACAACAAAATGGTGATTCAACCGAGCCCAACATGGTGATTTAACCAACAAAAATGAAAGCCACAAAATGAACCAAACATGATTAGTGATTTTTCAGGATGAAAAAATGAGATTTAACCAACAAAAAATATGATGTAATGGAAATGAAATGGGAATGGAAAATTAGATGGTCATGTTGTTCAGATCAAATGACCCCACATGTTTTTTTGGTTTACATCCCGACATTCAACAGTTAATTTGGATGTGAACTACCGAACATCATAGGCGTGTTTGGTGGTCAGGAGAGAGCTGTCAACGGAACCGTGGGTGTCCATAATCTTCCCTTTGAATTTGGAACTTAAACATCACCTATAACAATCATAGTGGATTTTCCCATGAAATCATAGGTGATGTTTAATCCCCAATCACCTATAAAATCATAAACTATGGAAAATCACCATTTATAGTGGATTTACCCATGGAAAAGGGTGATTTTCCAGAGTTATGTTTGTTTTCCAGAGGGTAGCAGGAAATGATACACCACATCTGGAGAGGCACTTTCCTTATCCAGGGTGATCACAGGCCATTTTACGTCGATATTTTGATCCGTCGACAACGCAGGATAGGGAACACATGTCACTCTGAGAATAGAAAACTCGCCACAGTTGGGCCAAACACGAAGCATTTTGGTGGATTTTGACAAGGTTTGAATCGAGATTTATAATGTTTTATGCATATATATATAATTGGGCCAAAACTTTGGTTATTGGATAAATCATGATGATTCCTTGTTTTCAGTCCTCATTTGATAAACATATAAGACCCGTTTATAAACTGTAACTTTTTGATAGTTACATCGTACTTTTATCCTTTGGTCGCGGAGGTCCATGTCTGCCGTGGTGTCACAGCTGAAAAGCATCAGAGCCTTCAGTTCACCCCACAGGTGGCTGATCTCGGACCCTCTGGTAAACATTGAAAATAGCTATTGAAAATGGCCATTTATATTGATTTTTCCCATTAAAAATGGTGATTTTCCATAGTTATGTTAGTTTACCATCATGAAGCCATTGTTTTTTAACCATTAGCCATATCTATGTTATGAATGTCACATAATCATTGATTAACCATTGTTAACTGACCATAATTTAACCACCACCATAACTGGTTGGTGGTTTGGAAGATGTTTTTATTGTTCCATATATTGGGAATTTTATAATCCCAACGGACTATAATTTTTCAGAGGGGTAGGTATACCACCAACCAGATGATGATGTTGGAATTACATGGAATTACCTGATAGTATATGAAAACTATATATCTTTGGAATTTGTGTATACCCCCCAAAAAATGGTTGTTTTCATATGGACAAAGGGTGATTTAAGTGATACAGTTGAGTCCATGGGAGTATTTGAGGTACCCTTTTTTCAGAACGCATATGGGTAGCTCCCAAAATTGCCCTTCCCTTCCCCAGGCTGGCGACTTCGAATTTATCCAGGTAGATGATACTAAAATATACTAAAGTACGGTTGAAGTAGCATATCTAAGTGAATTTAGGTATGGTTGTGGCCAGTTGTTCAAATCATTTTCTGAGTGCAGGAATCATGTTGATGGGATGACTGACGGTTCTTGAATTTTGGGGCAATGCATACACCAGCAACATTGGCAGCTGAAGCAGCAGCAAAGTTCTGTGACCAACAAACATTCTGATAAAATAAAAGGAGAAACGAACATGGGTTCTCAGAATACAACAAAGATAATATAATTAGACAATTAAACGGGAAGATGCTGGTATAATGAAGACATCATATGAAATAATGTTTTTTTGGCACAGGGAGCACCCATTCTGAGATTGTTACACCATAAACGTCAGCCACAAAAAGTCAAGATATCCTTTATAATTCTTTTATTTTTTAGGAGCGGACACACAACCGACTTCCACCAATGTTGGGATATACGGGCTGGTAGTGTGACATCTCCTTCAGGTTGCTGTTGAATAAAAGTGATACTCATTAGTACTCCCAGGTCGATTGAATTAGATATGGATCACTATCCCTGTCACACATTCACCAACATTATCATATGGATCATTTCACCCCAGAATCTTGATACACCAAATAGCTGGTGAATTGCTACATGTTCCCCCATTTTTTTTTGGTATTGATCAATCCTACAAGATGCGGCCACTCATTCATAAGTTGGTTTATAGACCTCTATAGAAACTGTAAGAATACTATAAGATAATTCCGCGATAAATCCTACTGAACTTAGTTCTGAACTAACTTAATTCGGGCGCACCAAAGTCCAGTAAATTTACTGGTCAAATCCAAGTGTTTCTTGATTCAACCACCATTCCCATAGGATCCATGTATGGTATATATGCTAACATTTGGGGTATATTGATGGTAAATGTTACCATATATAGCATACATGGATCCTATGGGATTTTAGATGCTTAAACCATGTTGAACCCACCTTTGAACCCCAAACATTTGGTCACTGCTGTGCCAGTTCGGTGGCTTTGAACGCTCTGCGCGAAGGGCAGGCGCCATCGCGGGCTGCTGAATCCATGGTGGCATAGTGGAAGTTTATGAAACCCCCAAGAAGACGGAAAAGTAATTCCTCACTATTTTAGTGGGATTTTCTGTGTGTGTTTTTTTTTCCGAACTTTGATTTGTTTGATTCCTTTTTGGAGGTTGCTTTATACAGCTAAGTTGGTTTACAAGTAGGTTAATTAGGATTGATCCTATTCCAGCATAATTCCAGAGAACCCCCAACACTAACTAAAATGCACTAAAATTCCATGTAATTTCATTGGTTTTTGGGCTTAACCCAGTGTTCCACTTAATCAAACGTAATTACCACAAAACAGCGGAACTTGCAACAAATCCTAAACATACAATTCCACTTACGGAACATGTCCCGGAAACACTTGGTTTTACATTATACTTCCATTGCAATATTCCTATAATACTCGAACTGTTGGATATCCTTGCAGTATTTCCAATGGTGTACCAATTTATGCCATTACCTGTATGATACCTCACTACTGAATTTCATGGCAATGGTAAATAACTTGTGGTAGTTTTCGGTGTGTTGTTTGACTTGTCCATTGCTACTTTTGATGCTGACACCGCTACTTGACATTCTTCCCGAAGGTGGCTCGAAACTACCAACGAGCAATTCTTATGTTTAAGCAGATTTTCTTGATTCGTCTCCCTATGATTTCTCTACTGGTACCACACACTCATGTCTCAGAATATATTAATATAGCGAATGGATTCAAAACCCTGAAACCTTATATATTTCATATATTTCACATCAACATAGTCGATGCAAAAATGGATGTTTCCCTCCGCTATTCCTTCAAAATATCATCGGTTTTACGTCATCCCATGGGGTTGATATGATTCTGTGGAACCCATGCAGATAGCCTCTGGTAAACATACAAAAAGCTATTGAAAATGGTCATAGAAATAGTGGATTTTCCCATGAAAAATGGTGATTTTCCATAGTTATGTTAGTTTACCAGAGGGTAATGATCGTGTTCAGTTTCCGGAATTATGATGTTATTTTTCATTGTCATTGTCATGAACATTGTCATTCTCATTTTGAACTATCATGAATTATCATTGGTTGTGATAGCTTAAAACTATGTCTTATATGTTATATACGTTTTATCATATATGGGAGCTTCTTAAGTCATGGGTGATCCCCCTGTCACCATGGTTGTTTTATTACTAAAGTGATCTACTGACTTGGACGACATGGGGTTACCCGCTGACTTAGGACACCTCCATGCCTCCATATACGGTATATTTACCATAGTGGTTAACCATACACAAACGTACATTAAATCTCATTGAACTATGGTTAAAACTTAAAACCTGTCAAACTCTATCATCGTATATTGATGATATACCTTAACATGGAATATAGAAGTGATTTATCAAACATAGTTATATCCACTTGATAATATACCACGGTTATCTATCTTACCAATATTTCACAATACCTATAATTATCAATAGATATATCTATAGATATATAGTTATATCATGATATATCTGGCTATTGTTGTATTAATATTACTGCTAAATTGTCTCACTTTGTTAGCGCTGACCCCTGAGCCAGGCATTGTTGGCTCAGGAGCCATTGGCCTCAGACTCCAGGGGTCGATGTGGGAGAGGTTTATGTTGGTTGATGTTAGTTGAGCCATTCCTATTATGGTGTATTATAATCCTATGTTGATACGTTATTAGGGGTATTATCTGATTGAATGGGGATTATAATACACCATAATAGGAATAACTACCAACCTATCCAATACTGGTTGGTGGTTTGGAACATTTTTTATTTTCCATAATATAGGGATAATCCTTCCCATTGACTAATAGTTTTTCAAGATGGTTAAAACCACCAACCAGAATATACAATGGGATGGGATAGGGGTATTTTTCATGGCTCAGTTGATGTTAGTTGACTCAGGGGACCAGATTGGAATGTCTAAAGTTCAAAGATTAGCCATCTAGTTGCCATGGGCTACCCAATTTTGATCCATAACCATATAAAAAATATACATAGATTTAATCTATGAAATTATATGTTTAAGATGATTAGTAGACTTACCCTCTGGTAAATTAACTTGTTGACCCTGAAACTGACCAATTTATAGTGGAAACTAGTCTTCCAACCCCTATTTGCCAGGGTCTATGTTAATTTATTGGAGGGTAAATCTATGACATATGTTTGTTTGTTGGTTATTTTTGTTTGTAATATTGTGTATGTTCATTGAAGTATCTTGATCACTATATTCCAGTAAACCTGCTAGATGAAATTAAGTAAATCTAGTACAGTAGATCTACTGTAATTCTATAATGATAGGAATATTGGTGTACTAGATGTATATGTAAAGAAATGTTTGGTTATTCTACTATGGTCTATGGTAGATATGTATACTTAGCTGGGATTATGAACTTGTTACTTTAAGAAAGTGTTTTTTTTTTAATTGGGGGTGGCCCTTTGTGTGACAATCGACGTTTGATTTATTTCGAGTATTGCTTCCCTGGCTGAATTTTAAGCATTTATTTGAAGTATCAACACGTGCACAGGTATTACAACCTCCAGCCAGAACATGCTTAATAGAAACACATATTACAATATATTAGATATTACAACCAGATATTTCAGCATATAACAGCATATTCTAACCACCAAACAGATGTCAGAAAGGTTCCCTCCCCAGTTCGCCAGCAGATTGGTCATCAGGTCTTTGGTAAAGGTGCTGGATCAGGAGGAGTGTACCGTCTTGCACCGCTGGTCGTTGTCCATGCAGTTGCTGAGCTTTGTTAGACAAAGGAACTTCAAATGGGGAACCAAAATCCTTAGCTTTTGGGGTTTTCACAGTGTGATTTGTAGCGCAAGAGCGTAAAGTGCAACGTGATGCAACGTTGCTTCTTCCATCTTATTGAACCCAAACATATTTATTTTTCCATGTTAGAGAAAGCAGTTCTCCTCCCTGCCACCAAAATGAGAAGCACCCTGACAGTTGGTTGTCGCAGCATGTTTATTGCTTGGTGTGTTGCTGTTCGCATGGCTGACATCTCGTTTAAAATTATTTCGAAATTGGATGTCATTATATCATAATTTATGACCCAGTATGTCATGTCAAAAAATATTATTGGCATGTATAATATTATTAGTCATTTATTGGCATTCTATCCCATTGTATCCCCATATCCAACCCCACGAATTTCTGTGTCAAATGGTGATTTCCAGATAAATGGTAATTTCCAGACCCAGGAAAGATACATGACATATCATAAATTTATACTGGTTGGTGGTTTGGAACCATGGAATTTTATGACCTTCCATATCTTGGGAATTTCATAATCCCAACTGACGAACTCCATCATTTTTCAGAGGGGTAGGGCGAAAAACCACCAACCAGCCATTGTATTCCCATAGAAATGTGGAAAGAACAAGTTATCAATGGCCATTCCAGGATCCTAAATTGGAGGTACCTACCATATATAAGGCCTATATAAGGCCTATGAAAGGGAATATCCCCACAAATTTTGGCCTTATATGGTACAGTACCTCCATTTTAGGATCCTGATATTCCCAGTGTCTTTCCTGGCGAAGCTGCCTTTCAGGAGGCAGCTGTACCCAGCTGGGAATTGCAGATGGCCAGTGCCGCTCGTATCAACGCCTTGGAGGAGACAAATTTCTTGCGGGAGAATCTGGGGAGTCAAGCAACAGAGGACTTACCCGGCCGGGTAAACATACAAAAAACGATGGAAAATCACCATGTTTCATGGGTAAATCCACTATAAATTGTCATTTTCAATAGCTATTTGTATGTTTACCAGAGGGTAACCATCAGAAACTAGGGATAATATCTGATTTCACTGATTTTAATGGAATTTAGAGGAGATACAAAGGGATTGCGCCAGCAAACATGGTGATTCAATGGGATTTAACCAACGGAAATTGGGCTTAAACCACCAGGGTTAGGCATGAACCATCCGGAAGTTTCAGGGTCTAATCAATTAATCTGGGTAAATTATAACGACCTCACTGTTCTCCCTCACTGGGAATAATGGTTAGTAAGGGAAATCATCCCCAAATGGCCTTAATTCAGGTTGGTGAATTATTACAATTTGCCCAGATTAATGATGGGATTTCGCCAAGAAAAAATAGGGTTAGATGTGGGGAGATACTAGGATATATTGGGATATGATGGGAGATATAAGAAACGATGATGATGGCTTTGTCCGTGGATTTTTTAAGGGCCATTAGTGTAGGTCACCCAAGCTGCCACCACCAGGTTCATCATTTTGCTCGTCACCGTTGGAATCACCATGTTTTTTTTTAAATCCCTAGTGTTGCTGGTTACAACTGTTGTTTGTCCCCATGTAATGTCAACTCCGGATTAATAAACCATGGTTTACTAATTGTGGGGGGTACCCTCCAAATAGTCACAATATGATACATAAATGGTATCCCCCCCAATTAAACAGCCTAGGGGTTTATTAATCCAGGGTTGACATTAAGTATGTTCGTTTGTTCTCCCCATTTGTTGGTTGAAAATCCCCACGTCCCTGGTTGAATTGACATATATGTGACATATGTGTGTTGTAATGGCAACCCGGATTAATGACCACCGGTTGAATGAACATCGGGTCAGCCCAAAACATCAGGGGTTTACATACAAGGTGGGGCCCCCTAGATAGCTACGTTGACTTACAACTTGGTTGGGGGTTGGGAAGGATATAGCAGCATATAGCCATACAGATCCATATAGTTAATGGGGTCTGTAAACCAACTGAATTTCCTGGGAGCCCACCTTTTTTTCGTCACCGAAATCACATCCTTTCACCCTTTGGCATCAGCGACAGGAGTTGATGTCATGGAAGAATCTGCGACAAGTCTTGTCTGACGGACCTGACGGACGCGAATCCATGGGCATCCTAGCAGCGATCAGCAACTCTTGGGCTATGGTAATAACTGGTTGGTGGTTAATGATGGTTAATGATGGTTAATGATGGTTAGTGATGGTTGCAATGGTTAATAATGATTAATATCTGGTTGGTGGTTTCAAACATTTGGATTATTTTCCATGTCATATATGGGATGTCATCCTTCCCATTGACGAACTCCATCATTTTTCAAGATGGTTATTGCACCACCAACCAGTAGGTTTTCACCCTGTCGTTTCAAATTAGCTACATACCAGTCTTGGTTTCAGCTTTGTGTTTTCGTCCAAATGGTTCATACGAAATGTGTGGTTCGTGCGGTACCCTCTGGTTATGTCAAAATAGCTATTGAAAATGGTGATAGAAATAGTGGATTTTCCCATTGAAAATGGTGGATCTTTCCATAGCTATGTAAACGTTTACCAGAGGGTAAACCTCCATTTTCCTATGGTTTTCCTATGGTTTTCCCATTAAAACCTCCATTTTCCTATGGTAAATGCTGTGTTTGTTTGAAGAAGTGGGGCACCACCAACTCCACCGAACTCAGAACACTCCACCGTTGTGACCCAAGAACTCCACCGAGTTGGTGGTTCGCAACGATGGTTCAGAAGTTGGGGTTACCCTCTGGTAAACGTTTACATAGCTATGGAAATTCACCATCTTTAATAGGTAAATCAACTATTAATGGTCCATTTTCAATAGCTATGTTAAATTACCAAAGGGTACAACAGGAGATGAGTCCATACCAAGGAAGAAAGGCAATGATGGCTGTCCAAGGTACCAGATATTTCGCTATGAACAGCACGATTTGTCCATGGATTTGATCCCCTCCGGTAAGTTGACATAGCCATGGAAAATCATTATTTGTTATAGGTAACCAGCTGAGTCTACAATCGACAATTTTCCATAATTAGCTTTTTGAGATTACCAGAGGCTATGTGTTTCTCAATTGATCATTGTTCTTTGTGTGTGTGTGTGTCTCACGAGATGTTTTTTTGGGTTTACACGATTCAACAGTTACCATGACTGGTTGGTGGTTTGGACAATTGTTTATTTTTCCGTTTCATATATGGGATGTCATCCTTCCCATTGACGAACTCCATCATTTTTCAGAGGGGTAGGGCTCCGCCACCAACCAGATTAAGATGTTACAATTCAGATGCCCATCCAAGCTGTGCTTCGCGATGAGGCACAGATTTGAAAGAGAAGTCTTTGCGCAGCGCGCTGGGCTTAAGCCTCTTGGAGGACCTGATGGCATTGGCGCTGGTGAATGGTGATGGTGGTGGGTAAATGTTGCTAAATCGAATGGTCGACACGCCTTTAAGATTAGTTTTGCATAGTTTTGCAATATTATTTGGATGTAATAGGGGGGTATCAACGTAGATTGTATATACATATTATACAGAAAAAACAAATACTATATACTATACAATATCTAGAATAATAGTAACAATAATAATGATAAAAATAATCATGACAATGGTACAAACTACAAATAACAGCAATAGGAATGATAATCGTAGTAACCAGTTATCTTTCTTTTCCAACATCTTTATTTGAAAAACGAATCACCCGGGTCGAACTTGTGTGGCACCTTGCCAGCCACGGCTACTTGGACGAGAAGTCATTGCCACACACACAAACAACATTGTGATATAGATTGGTTTAAGGGATCATCTACAGGAAACCATAGATGTTCATAGATTTTCCCATTAAATTCAGGGGGCTTTCCTGTAAATTTTCCCTTAAACCAATCATATCCATTGAACAGTGTCACAGACACAACATTGTCACAGACACGCTCGCACAACATTGCCGCACACACAAGCAATACAACGTTGTTGCATGTGACGGTGTCACTCATACAAAGCCGCACACAACAGTGTCACACACACACAACACTGTCGCACCCACACACGCATGCAACATTGTCACATACAACATTGTAACACACACCAGTGTCACACACACAACATTTTCACAGACCACTGTAACACCCACACACACAACCTTTTCACATATCATGTTATATCATTTTCACGAACAACACTCCCGCGACTGGTTTTGTGCTTTGGTTGCTGGAAAAAATGATATGTGGGGAACCGGCGGATTTAGGGGGAGGATGTAGGGCAAAAATACAACACATTCGAATGATATATGCTTGGTTGGTTTCTCCCAAAATTCATTTGCCCTTCAACCTTAAAAATCCCCAAAGCCAAGGGAAAAAGCCATTGGAGGGAACTAGTTCCGAATTCTTGGGCGATTCCCCTTAAAATGCCCAACATTGAAAAACAGATCCTGCAGGATTCCAAAGAAGCGCGCGATGCTTTGGAAATTCGACTGAAAGACGCTGCCACCTTTGACCCAGCCGCTGCATCCCCACAAAGTGCGGCCTTGCTGGCGATCTATGCCATCTCGGCGAAGAAGTGGGACGATGCAAGACGCTTGGTGTACCAAGGTTGCTTGACGTGGAACCCCTTTGGGTCTGTGCGAAGACGGGATATGCCCGTCAAAAGGCCATTTTTATATACCCTCTGCTTATTTAACATAGTCATGGAAAATGGCCCATAGAAATAGATGGTTTACCTATTAAAAATGGGTGGATCTTTCCATGGCCATGTTAGTCATAACCAGATGGTATGTTGATAACGACATCATGATCATCCAGTGGATTTAGGGGTGCCCTCTTCGCAAAATCATTTTTTGTTTTCGAGTGGTTGGAATCCTGAAAAATGGATGCCTCACCAAAACAACCAACGGAAAAACATGAATCCCTGTTTCAATTAGGTCTTATCCCGGGAAAATTGCATAGTTTTGCCCCCTTCTCCATTTTTCTCCCAGGTTACGATTCCTTCAACACCGGCTGGAACCGATTGCCCCTTCTGGCAGCTCGCGCGCGACATGAGAGGCTTTCGTCTCTGCCATTGTTACAGGGACTTGAAGGACTGGGTTGCAGATTTGAAGAAACAACAATAGTTCTCTGGTTGGTGGTTTGGATCATTTTTATTTTTCCATATATTGGGAATTTCATAATCCCAACTGACTTTCATATTTTTCTGAGGGGTAGGTATACCACCAACCAGTTTTATGATGTTTTATGTGTTACTCCATCATTGGAAACCTTAAGTATGGCCATATATGATTCAACAGGTTATATCTCAACATATCTCAACTTAGGTTGCAACCGGATTTATTGATTCTGTTGCTTTCAAATCTTCCAATTTCTTTCACCATTCATTGAAACTATTGGAGATTCGACCAAGCCAACGAAAGGTGACCCTTTTAGGGATAGCTGGTCGATATACACTTATGTAAATTATAACGACCTCACTGCGACCGAACCCTGGAAATCATGGTTAATAAGGGAAATCATGGTTAATAAGGGAAATCATCCCCAGATGGCCTTAATTCAGGTTAATGAAATATTATAATCTACCCAGACTTATGAATGGTTGTTGCTGGTGGATAAGGCCTTAAATCAACCCTCATCACTGGGGTAGGTTGAATGCCCATGAATAAACGTCCCCCCCGTTTAGCACGTAAATCATTTGGACATGAGTTGATTGTGTGGCCTGCCATGTTGGTTCGGCAATGAGACTATCTTGCATTGCCACTGTGACACACAACATGTATCAGTCTGTTTCTTCATTCCGTTTACGTGACACAAGCTGACTTTCTTGCTTGCATGCGCCTTTTTTTTTTATCAAACCACATGTTTTTATTTCCAGCATGTTTTTATTTCCCGCAACATATGAATATAGGTTAAAATTGTTTGCCCCTAAAATTGGAGTGTTCGATACCCAAACTGGGTTCCTCTGAGTGTAGCATTTTGACCTATACAAACCTTGCCCCCCTTTTGAATGCAGCAGACCGGAGGATTCCTGGATTCCTTAGCGGATGTCTCCGCCCGACCACAACGCCATCAGCGACCTCTTAGTCTGTTGCACGATCGCTTCAGTGCATGGATTGACAATGCTCTTGGCAAGGTGGCCATGTGCAAATTACGCGAGGACAGCCAGAAAGAGGCAGGAATGAAGCGTTTTGTTAGAAAGAACCGGCCAGAAACCATTGAAACAAGATGATGGTTTGATTTGTTTGGGGAAAATGGTAGTATTTTCAATTTTCAGATATCTTAAACTGGTTGGTGGTCTGGAACATGAATTTTATGACTCTCCATATATTGGGAATGTCATCATCCCAACTGACTTTCATATTTTTCAGAGGGGTAGGTATACCACCAACCAGAGATGGTATATCCCATTATATACCATTGATATCCCATTAAATCCATCGTTTTTGATGGCTAGGTCCCAATAAATCATGATAAATCTCCAATAATTTGCCCCATGTGTGGGATTGAAAAATGTCCAGGTGAAGGATCTTTGGTGAACTCCAGGGTTTTACTTCACATCTTTTGTCTCGAAACTGGTGGATACCGGGGATACCCTCTGGGAATGACTAACATAGCTATGGAAAATCACCATTTATAGTAGATTTTCCCATGAAAAATGGTGATTTTCCATAGTTATGTTAGTTTACCAGAGGGTACCTCAAACATGCAGTCTCCACTCGTCAGGAACCTCATCGCCCTAAGCCTATCAAATGCCTCCGAAGCCTATATGCACTCTATCCTCTTAGTGCTCTGCAAGAAACAAGCTAAATGGTGGCAAAGCAAGGGACTTTACCCAATTTTGATGCCCCTGTTCGATGATGTTGTGATTCCATCTCAATCGTTGCTTAAAACACCACTTTGGCTGGAAAAAAAAACACGCTCCTTTCCGTGCTTGGAGGATTGTCCCAGTAGTATGGTTATGCTAAGTTCTGGTTAGCATTTGTTTTTCAAAGTTCCCTGATTCCTTGATTTTCTCATAAGATATATATATATATATATAATTATGTAATTTATATAATTATAATATATTATATATATATATTAAATTATATAATATCATAATATCCCTATAATTTCCTATATATTCCCCTTAAATTCCAACCATACATCGTCCATGTGTAGCTGGGTTATCCAGTTCTTCCTATTTATCGCTGGGTAAACTAACCTGAGTTGCCAAGGATTAACGATTTCTCCCGGTGATGTTTATAATATACATAGAACCATATATTATACATACATACATGCATGCATGCATACATGCATGCATGCATACATCCATCCATCCATCCATCCATCCATACATACATACATACATACATTCATATTGTATATACACACCATATTTGTGATACATCTGACTATAGTTAAAGGGGGGGTTATAACTCTTTCCCCCTCCTGTGAGGCGGAGGCCTATTCGGAGCTGGGGCAACGCTGCCGGGAGGCGAAGAACTTGACGGTCGCGCAGGACATGATGAGACGCTGCTTGCAGAAGAGGCATGCGGCCCTTGGGCCTGACGGGATGTACGAATTTTCATGGGGATATAACTTCTATATTCCAAATATATATATATATATACATATGTTATATAATATGGTTGTATAATATGGTTATATAATATGGTTATATATGTAATATAGTTGTACACACATATATATATATAGGTATTTTGATATTATTCCAATAGTCCAATATATATATATACATACACATATATGGTACATCCATATGGTTATGTATATATATATACACATGTATATATTGATGATATATCACCATGATATTCCATTGAGATATATTTAAGATCCATCTTGGAAAAACGGGTACATCAAATGACATCATGTGATATTGTATAAGCATGTGTTCCCAACAAAATAAAGGGATACACAACATATGGACGACTGGTGATAGGACAGTATATTCTGGAACTACGAGACATGGTGAATTGTGGCATATCAATCATAGCTGGTACCCACAAATGGTACCGATGAATGATACCAAACCAACGACCAATGCCTTCTCTGCCCAAAAAGGACATGGTGTTTTTCTAGCACCTTCCGGTGTCATCAAATGTTGCTGGCTGGGAAATCCCCGAACTACCATCTGGTTATTTAACATTGCCATGGAAAGATCCACCCATTTTTACTAGGTAAACCATCTATTTCGATTAGGGCCATCTATACCATGGCTATGTTAGTCATAACCAGAGGGTAAATGGAGGTTTACAGCTTAGAAATCTAACTTCATCAATGGTGGATTTTCCTGCCAGCTATGTTTGATGACACCGGAGGGTACTAGCCATTGTCATATTGGTTGTGTATCCCCATGGTTCGGTTCACTGCCCACTCTTGGGTGATTCTACAAACCCATTTTACATATTTTAGTGCCAAGACAATTGCACATCAGGAAAACTCACATGATTTGCCAAGGGAATTCCAGGATCCTAAAATGGAGGTATCTACCATATATAAGGCGCCTATTTTTCAGGCCTAAGTTTCAGGGAATATCCCCCCAAAATATGGCCAAACATATGGTACGTTTACGTATCTCCATCTGTTGGATCCTGGAATGGCCAACACACATGATTTGCCAAGGGTCAACTGTCCATGGCTCTTTTTTAACCACGGAGGACTGCATGTTGTTTAGTCATGTTTCTGTGTAAATTTGATCACGACCTCATTGTTCTCCCGAAGCCTGGAAATCATGGTTTATGTTAGGGAAATCATCCCCAAATGGCCTTATATAATTCAGGTTAGTGAAATATTATGATATATACCCTCTGGTAATGACTAACAGTTTGCCATGGTATAATTTACCCAGATGTTTGGTCTATCTCGCATGTGGGTGGCGATGCACCACTGACAAATTCGGAATACACATCCAACCAAAAAAAAACATATTTCCTCCCTGAGGATGATATTCCCCACATACTAAGAGTTACTGAAAGGAAATCAGCTAATATCCCGTTGATGTTCTCGATGTGTTAACGATTTATCGGTAGTACCGTATTTTGGTATATGTTGGTTTTATCCCCAGAAATTTCCATTCCACGAACATAGATTATAGATGAACATATGTTGGTCTGTAAATCCCTTTAAGTACCGTCAATCTATGCACAAAGTGTTGGTTTAGCAAGGGTAACCCCTCTGGTAATCATGTATGTTTTGCTGGCAAAACCACCATTTATACCATCTGTTTATTTCACATAGCCATGGAAAATCCCTTATACATGGAGGTTTTAATGGGAAAATCATCTATAAATGGGTCATTTTTCATGGCTATGTTGAATAGCCAGAGGGTAGATTATTATCTATTAGGGTGATTTTCCATTGAAATGTCAATTCATAGGAGATTTCCCCGCCATGTTGTTTCCCAAAGGTTACCATAGGATTTTTCTAAACAATTGATTGATCCCATCTTGTGTACAACTTTTCATTCTTGTTCATTGCATCTCTCACTATTTCCCCTTCATTGACGATTTCCGTAGAAGATCATAATGAACGGAATCAGAATCCCACAGTTGTTCCCTCATTATTCCGTTCCATATCATTCGCAATTTGATTATTTGGTTCCCTTATTTTGCCACAGGTGCCAAAGGACGTTGCAGAAAAATCATGTTTTTTTTTGTTAATACCATGGTACCATTATGTTCATGCTGTTTAACAAAATGGTGGTTCATAATGTCTTCTTATGATATGTGAGAACAGTATATATATATATACATACATACATATATATATATAATAGGTCCCATGATATTCCAATAATCCCAACATCCTTACCTCATTTGTAGAATCCCACTGTTCCACATATATATATACAGTTATATACATATATGATTTTATATAATTATATATATATCAATGATGTTGGGATATCCCACTGTATCCCTACTTCGGAAGCCTGGGATGCTACAGGAAGATCCCGGATTTCCGCTTCTTTGACAACGTCCTGGAGCTCAAATTGGCGCAACGCGAGAAGCCCTGCATGGAGCTCTGCTCGGTGGCGCGGAAGGAGATTTCAAGACACCAGGCGGGCGGTTGGTCATCCGGATGGACCTTCCAAAGTTGAGATTTACCCTCTGGTAATTTAACATAGCTATCGAAAATGGTGATTTATACTTAATTTACCCATTAAAAATGGTGATTTTCCATAGTTATGTTAGTTTACCATAGGGTAATGTCATTTAATGGGGATTTAATGATGATTGAATGGTGAATAATGAGATGTGGGGGTATAATGAGATTTATCGGGATTTAATGATGATTTAATGTCATTTAATGGGTTTGCTGAAGTAAAACCCTGGCAAACATATGGACTTAATATGTTTTCGTGAACAATAAGCATTCAACCAATAATTCATGAAGGTGATGGTTTATTTCCCCTGTGGGAAATCCACCTTTTGTGGAACCTTTTTCCATGAAAACTCATCATGCTGGGCAACATGTCCTCGGGATCCAATCGAATCTCCCCTTCGCAATTTTAGGACCACCATGCTGAGAATGTGATTGGAACTGGAACCACCAATCATATCCTTTGGTAAACTAACATAGCTATGGAAAATCACTATTTTTAATGGGTAAATCCACTATTTCTATGGTCATGTTCAATAGCTATGTTAGTTTACCAGAGGGTACATGGCATGGGATTGGTTCCCCACGGGGAAACCAATGGTGATTTCACCACATGTCTCCTTTTTTTTCTGGGGAGTCTTATTCCTCCACAAAACCATGGTTTGATTGGAACAAACGGGTGCGGGGAACACTTAAAATGAAACACAAACGCATTTCCATCAAACAAAGTCTCCTACCCATCATTGGGGGTCATGTCAAAATTCAAAGTGTGTTTCCACGTTTAAAAAATACTTTTGGGCTGGCAATGTCAAACCCACATCCCAAATATGGACATATGATGACATATGCTAAGTATTTTCTAAATATTGTTATACATATATTTTTTTAACATGCAAATCTCGGTTCGTTCCCACTGGGCTGTAAAAAAACGTGACACGACACGGCGACACGACCCGTTTTTCTGCCAGCCTGCCTTGGAGGAACCTGAAAAGTCCTTGCCCTACACTCTGATCTTAGCCAAGATTGCGAAGGCCAAGTCCTGAAACCAGCAGTATGCGTGTGTTATGAGAGATGCATAGTTGCTAGTTGATGGTTTGGAACATGAATTTTATTTTTCATAATCTATGGGATAATCCTTCCCGTTGACTAATATTTTTCAAGATGGTTGAACCCACCAACCAGATGATATGGAATTGACACGCAAAAATATACTTTCCGAAAAAATATCCATGCAATCTTTTGTAAAGTGAGTTAGACTGCAGGCCGATGCATCAGCCAAATTTCAGCAAGTGATTCACCCTGAAAAACTGAGGGAACCAAAAAGTGTTGGTTTGAACAATGAGTTTCTCTTGGATGCCAAGCCACTCGTTGGTTTTTCAGTTGAATTTCCCAGGTGTCAGCAATCTATTTTTGAAGTTGTGTGGGATCGTATGTGTATGTCAGCCTCCGGTTCTTTTTGCGCTTTGGAAGGTCAAAGACATAACCAAAGTAATGGCAAAAGGTGATGTTTATTGTAGCTTCCCACACATTTGGAAGCCAATATTTAGTTTCTTTATCCTCACTTTCCCTTTCTTTTAATGGCCATGTATATTGATGCTCCATGGAAAACACTGCCCGGCGGCCTCCGGCCTCCCTTCCAATTTTCCCCAGGTGGGTTATGAGCGAAATGAGATGGACTATCAAGATGCGTGGCAGGCTCTTATTTCTGCCAAAGGCTG